ACAAATGACGCACTTACTGATGAACTTCTGGATCTGAAGGCAAGAGCGATAATTCCCTAATATATGATCCTCAGTCAAAGTATAAGGGAAAAGACTGAGTTACGCATGTAGTACCTAATATATGACTACAGAGGCATCATAAGTACGTTAGGACATAAGGGACATGAAGGGACATGGCAGACTCACTCCTCAGTCAAGTATAAGGGAAAAGACTGAGGAGATGCGGAGGGAGAGCTCCTGGTATATGTGAGGGAGCTCGAGGGAAGCATTTCCATAAAGGGAACAAAAGAATGTGCCTAAAGTGGTAATATCAATCAGGAAAGATAGAAGATCGCAAAGAAAAACACAAGAATAGAACATGTGAGAGAATCTGTACATAATAGGTAACGAGCATGTGATATTTCCATATATATATGATATACAAAGTTCAACACATCGTGCTCCGCGACACCGCTCCCGCCGCACGAACCGGCGGCACTACCACCTCCACATAACTACTCCGCGTGGCCTCCGACACTTAACCCTTCCCTTTCCCCTTACCACCTCTCTCCGGATGCTTTGGCGTCTCCTGCTCCTCCACCGGCGACTCCATCGGCGCGTCTTGGGGCGGCGCGACACTTGCCGATGCCGGTTTCGTCGGATTTGCGTCCTTGAGGGCACGGAGACGGGCTTGCAAGTCAGCACGCTCTTCGGAGACCGAGCGAGTGACTGGCTGACTGGTGGGGATATTCTTCTGAGGGTGGGGAGGCATAGCGGATGAAGGCAAGAGACGAAATTTGAGTCATCAAGTCTGATCACTTATCCAGATTGATCACCTCGAGGGCTCAGCAGCTAAGAGGGGGATACTGTCACGTGTCGATCCAGACTGACCTACGCCGATCCACTCCGCTGATCGTCACTGATCCGCACTGATCGTCTCCGATCCGTTCTCCGACTCTTCACCGACTTCTTCGCAAACGCCAATCCTGCCTTTCCCGTTTTGGTCGAGGGCGGGATACACCTATTACATGCACCGGGCCACCAGCGGCTCAATGCCCCGGTGGTTCCAGATCTTTGAACAGATTCAACTCCAACTTTCCTGATTCCTGTTCCCTTTGTCCGACATCATAGTTTCCCTTTGTAGACCTTAGTTTCCCGTCGCTTGCGATGGATCCTTCGGTCCGCCTTTTCCGTCTCTTCTTTAGATATGTTCCCTTTGTGCCCCATGTGTTATCTCCCGTCTCCGTCTGTTTCCTTTGTGCGCCAAATGGTGCCTCCAATCTCCATATCTCTGATTTCGCCATTGTTCTCTTTTATGTATATAAACCGTCAAACTGTACCATAGATAGTCAGTTCGAATATTGACTAAGCTTTGCTCTCTCTCTCTTGTGGACTCAGAGCGCATAGCAGCCTAGCGCACAAGCTTAGGCTTGGTCTGCATCCGATCTCGACTTCACCAACGCTTCCGACTTATCCACTCAACACCGACACATCTCCGACACATCTCTGACTTTACCTTTTGAGTTTCTCCTTCTCCTTCCTTCTATTCTTTGTATATATGTTTCGGACTTCAGTCCTCCAACCTCATTCCCCTTGTATCCGATCTTGACACCATCCCGAGGGATCTGTGCTGCTCCTAGGAGGTCCAGCGCTTACCCTGACAGTCACGATCACTTCCGATGGCTCCATCAGCTCAACATCGAGGTCGGACATGATTATGCTATTGTCTTGGTCTATCCAGTACTGCTCCTCGTCTTCATCAGTTACCGACATCATCTCATCAGTTCCTCCTGAGGTAATGTGTGTGGCATGAATCTCTTTGCAGCGCTTGTCACACCGGGCAATGATAGCAGGGTCTGCCTGTAGCAGAGACTCGATAAGATTCTACAACTACAGAGCCAGTTCTGTCATCCTTGCCGCTGTCATATTGATATCAAACTCTGCGAGTTGAGTATCTGTTAAGCTGCGAGAGGTGATGTGGAAGCCACTTTGCTTGTGGATGAGTGTAAGAATTTCAGACTGGTACTGGTGCCTGGCAACTTTACATACCCAAGTCTGTACATGTTGTTGTGAGCCGGGATGTTTAACGAAAGCATCGAGGATGCATGCTGCATTTGAGATCAGATCTTGTGCATCTTCACAGTTCTGTAGCTCCGAATCTTGAAGCAAAGATAAGAGAAAGTCTGAGATGGATGTGTGCTCTCGACGAAAAGCCGCCAAAATCTGCTGGACTCTCCTAGGAGATGGCATCGTGTTGAAGGCAGGCTGGTAATACTTGCACGGCTGTGATCTCATCGAGCATGCACCGGGATGGCGGTGTTTATGATTCCCCAATATGGTGTATCATCTGAGTGCTGGCACGCGCTTTGGGAAACCCTACATTGGTTCTTGTTGGGTATGCCGACCGGCGAGACAATTTGAAATTGCCATCTGGGCCAGCTGCTCTATCGCGTTCACTCCTTCTATCCAGGCCTAAAAAGGAATCTCGGTTAACCATATCAGGATATGACATAAGGATATACTGTGGCGAAAATAAGTATTGCCCACCCCCTCCGTGGCAACCTTTGGCAGTTGCTGCTCCTCCAGGGGTGGGCAAAAATTTGAGATTATGTGCATAAATAAAGCTCACAAGGTGCACATTACAGTAGTATACGCCACTGTGAGTTTGCTTGGAGGTACTGCTTGTTTTTGCTGACAACAGTTGGGAGCACACGATCACGCTTACATAATGGCCGCGTCGAGTGTACGCGTTGCGCACTCCTTGAGCAACGAACATCCCACACATTTGCACAATCTACACTGTACATTGTTTCTATCGGTCATATATCACGGCTCCTCATGGCAAAATACACCACACCCACCACAAAGGCCCGAATCGTCACGAGCATCGAGCTGGGACTGTCTCCAAAGACAGTGGCACGCTTGGTGGGTCGTGACCGGCGCACAGTCCAACGTGTCTATCAGAAATACCACGTTACACGAGACTTCTATCATATTTCACCGAAACCTGGATGTCCACGAAAGTTTTCGGACCGCGACGTGCGTGTAGCAGCTTGGATGATACGGTCTGGCAGGGCTCATACTGGAACGGAGGTGCAGCAGGCTGCCTTCAAGTCCATTACCCCACAACTAGTCCGTGCCTATCTGACGGCACAAGGCCTCCCTGGACGTAGACGCCGCCGAAAGTTTGTCCTTACTCCAAACCACAAGAAACGGCGACTTGTTTGGGTGCGTGAACATGAGAAATGGACGGTACCTGAATGGGAGTGCGTAGTTTTCTCAGATGAGTTCAGAATCAACCGGTGGGGCTCAGACGGGATGCAGTACTGTAGGAGGGGCGTAGGCGAAGAGTTCGATGACAAGAATGTGGATCCGGAGTTGAAGCATGGAGGCGGGTCAATAATGGTATGGGGATGCATCACAAGTCGAGGGTATGGGAGGCTTCACCGAGTGGAAGGGAAGATGAATGCGGACCAATACATCAATATCCTGGAAGAGTCACTCTTAGGTACCCTGCACGACCATCAACTCACACCGTCTGATATTCTCTTCATGCACGACAACGATCCAAAGCACACTGCAAAGCTCACCTCATGGTGGCTTTCATCTCAGAACTTCACTGTCATGCAATGGCCGGCCAATAGTCCAGACATGAACTGCATAGAACATGTCTGGCATCACATCAAGACCCGTGTTGGAGCCCTTCGTCCTCGTCCGCACAATCTGGATGAGTTGTGGGAGGCTGTGCAGTCAGAGTGGAAGAAGTTGGATATGGAGTTTCTGGAATCTTTGTACGAGAGTATGCCTCATCGTATCCATGCTCTGAAGGATGCAAAGGGGTCATATACTAAGTACTAATGTCTACCTTGTCTTCGTAACAAAGAAATACATTCATTTGTGGTCACTCACATGGTGTGTCTGCTGTACCATCCTTGATGTTCCATGAATTTCACAGCTTATGCACACGAGCCTGGTTTGCATGCTATATCAGTGTAAAGTACATCCCTAGTATACAGTTCCATGATATAGATTTTGGTCATTTGTTGTCGTGTGGAAGCAGAACGTCAATGGTCGTGACATGGGCAATACTTATTTTCGCCACAGTATATTTCAGGAAGGTCATTCCCATCTACTAGAATGCAGCCTGCCCTCCGTCTATAGGATTCAAGGAGTAGAACACGATATGAGTGGCTGGTTTAGGAGCCTGGCCTTCCACAACGTCTGGCATGTTTTTCAAGCTATGCTACCTATTCTGTTCCCTGTTTAGCGTAGCTTGCGAATGCCGTTGGCGCGCGTCCTAGGGCGCCCATACATGTACATAGGCCTTAGCGTATCAACATGCTTCGAATTAACCATTTGGGTTTAAATATCCCCCGCACCCGAGGGGTCGTGTGAGCATTCCATAAATTTTCAATCAATAATACACTGCACATGGTCGGAAGTTCGATCTGAGTTATGCATTCACCGGTCCGGAGCTCCAAGGCTGTGTCACAACGTGACTTTTTGACCTGACCCTGCAGGGCAACCGTACACATATACTTCCACACCGACCAAGCGCCGGTCAGGTGAATATCATTACCTTTGTCTATCATCATCAGACCGCGGTAGAGGCTACATACTAACATGCCAGTCAGTTAATTCTTGAGAGACATACTCCGTCAACAGATGTGCTAATTATTATATTCGGGATACATCCTACAGTACTTGATGCTCGTTTGTGTTTAGGTGGTCGTACCGCTAGACCGTCTGATTTCGAGACTATGTTCACATATGAGCGTGCCGTACATGCTTTCCCTGATGAAGTACGTCGTTATGGAGTTCGAAAATGGGGTACAGGAACAGCGGTCCGGGATGCAGGATACAGGACACAAGCAGAGGATAGTAGAGGTCCAAGACAGGCAATGCGCATGTCAAGCACGAGCATTGAAGTACGTGATTCAACCTTCCGCAAATGCGAATCATGACTTCCATATGAGTATAGCCAGGGATCCGACATAGAAGTAGATGAAATGCTTCGTTTCTGCAAAGAAATGTAAGAACATAGGTGAAAGGTAAGAGTCCCAACGAAATGACGGGGGAGCATGGCGTCCGGTAACGAGTACTCACCGTGAGTCACGTAGCTCCCGAAGTTCTTGCCTACGACGACATGCCATGTCGGCTGGTGTCGTCGGTCGAACTCTTTTTTGATTTGCGCCGCGATGTCCTTCTCGATATTGTACTTCTCCAGGGCGGCGGACGCAATGTCAACCGCTTCCTGTTGCATCTCCTCGCTCATATCGACATTCTTGATGATGGCCTTGGGGCCCGCGCCGGCACCTTCCTTGGAACCGGAACCGGTTTCCGTCGAGGAGTTGGTCGTTGGCGCGTCCATGATGTATGGATCTCCTTATGGTGGATGAGCTGGGAAGACGTTATGAGATGCATGATGAGCGCATGTCAGCCCGCGCTCACTGACGCTTTCCAGTTGGAACGGTCAAAGGAGCACTGTTCGAGGCTCTGAGGGTCGGGGGTATAAGAGACGGCGACGCGTGAAGAGGCGTGTTGCCGCGTGGTTGGACGGGCTGATCGTGGCATGTGGCGTGCCAACCAGCCAGTCATCCGCCTGCCTTGACCGATATGGCACTCAGGCTCATAACAAATCTATATCGCATCTTCTTTCCGCGTTGCACATGGCTCAAGGCTCTATATTGAGATCTCGCACCTGGTTGAGAGCTTGTGAAACAGTAGACTGCCTCGCAGATTGGACATCATCTAGCAGATCCAGCGCCGTCCCCTTCTATTCCGAGTCCTCGCTCAACTGTTGCTGCATGCGTGCATGCCCTGATACACTCTCCGTCGCGCCAGCATCCCCACGCTGTATAGCCTCTTTCTCCTCGTGTTTAGCACCGATTTAGGCTTCCTGCCTATGCGAGATCAGGTTCGCCCCTTGCGTCACAAAACGACATATACTCCTGACAACTTCCCCAGAGCTCTTGCGCCGCCAGTGAACACCAAATTTCTGTGGTTAATTCAATGAAGTTGCAACCAATACCGTGCGATCTCTCTCGCGCTCATTGTATCGAGGCACCTGAAGTCGCCAAGGACCAGGAGATTGTGTACTGACCCATGTGCTTCATCACAGTACATTGGCACGAGGTGAGCAAATGGAAAGCTCGTGTCGTTGTACAATTCAACGATACAGGTGAGTTCATTAAGTAGGGTAAGGGATCGATGACACCTTTTTCTCTCGTGCCTTCGCTGGAGAGATTGGGACGGTTCCAGCCAGGTATATTGTGAGTTGTGAGTGGGCTCATACACCCACATACCTCTAGCTGTTGTATGTAATCGACTATGTATACGTAGAATGCCGGTATGGGCGCCAAACTGACACCACTGCGCCCCTCTGCCATGATTTACTCTATATCCAAAACCGACTTTCTGTGGTGTTCTTTGGAAAAATGCAAATACGACTAGCCATTTATCCTGAGGTATGAATACTATGTCGTGCATCTCTCGCCGTCTTTTCATGTTTGTGGGAATGGAGCACATGACCTATTCAGCAGAAAACAGCAAGATCAGATGCTGACGACGTCTATGATTAGACTAATACTTCAAATCTCGCACTTCACGAGGTTGCTGGGGACTGTAGACGATCACATAATGACCAGACCTTCTCGCATGGACCCTGAACCGAGCGATCCGCCGGATCTTCAACCTACCATCGGCTTGATAGGCATGGGCGCAATGGGAAAGATGTACGCGCACTTCCTCTCCGCAGCTGGTTGGAAGAAGTGTGTAGCGGTCTCCTTTCTCTCTGCAATTCCATCCATTCTGAATAACCGTTCAGGATCCACGTTTGCGATCGGCCCCCCCATTATGAATCTCTAAGACTGGCGTACGATGGTTCGTGCTCGGAACATCTCATGGCTTACTCCGTCAACCAACTAAGGATCTACCACAGGGGTACCTGGTATCACGGTCCTTCCGGATGGGCATCGGGTATCTCGCACGTCGGATTTCATCATGTACTCGGTGGAGGCGGAGTTCATAGACCGCGTGGTTGCAGAATACGGACCTTGTAAGAGCAAGCGCAGTACTTCCTGGTTCGAGATTGATTGTTCATGCTAGCAACGAAGGTCGGAGCGATTGTTTCCGGACAAACTTCAGTGAAAGCGCCGGAGAAGGCAGCCTTCGAAAAGTACTTGCCCGAGGACGTTCATATCGTGTCTTGCCATTCGCTTCATGGTCCTACGGTCTCTCCCACTGGGCAACCCCTTGTAAGGCCCATCTCAAATGGCATTGAGGAGAAACGACTGACATAGATCAGGTTTTGATCAAACATCGCGCTCCGGACTGGGCCCTCACGCTTGTTGAAAGCATCTTGAGGCCGCTAGGGTCCCGTTTCGTCTATTTGTCGTACGAAGATCATGACCTCGTGACTGCTAATACCCAGGCTGTCACACATGCGGCTTTTCTGAGGTGAGCCATATCGCCCGTATACCGTTGTGCCAACTGAAGCTGCTTTGCAGCATGGGAACTGCATGGTCGAGCTCCCTATCGTATCCTTGGGAGCACGGTTACTACGTGGGCGGTATCGAAACAGTCAAGGTCAACATCATGCTTCGGATCTACTCCAATCAGTGGCATGTTTACGCTGGACTAGCCATCTTGAATCCTTCAGCTCGACTGCAAATTGACCAATACGCTCGTAGCGTTACAGAACTGTTCAAGCTCATGCTCGCCGGAAGTGAGGCTGCTCTTCGCGATCGCGTATATTCAGCGAGGGATACCGTGTTCCCCTACAGCCGAAACGGAAACTCCAGCCGTAGCCCGATACTGTTGTCCGAAGACGTACTTGACCAATTCAGTCTGGGCAAGAAGTCGTCGGTTGGAGGTACGACGTCGCCATCGTATGGAACAGATCAAAGCAACACGTCGCCAAAGGAGTTTCGACCCCCGGCAAATTCACACCTCTCCCTCCTCGCGATGGTAGATTGTTGGGCTCATCTCGGCATACAGCCATTCGTCCATCTCGAACTCGCCGCAACGCCCATCTTCCGAATGTGGCTCGGTGTGGCGGAGTCATTGTTCTGCTCACAGGAACGACTCGATGGTGCCATCCACGCGGCAGTGCACGACGTGTCTCACCGGTCCGATGACCTTGAATTTGTCGTAGCAGCTCGCGGGTGGAGTCAATGTGTTTCCTTTGGGAGCTTCGAGTTGTACAAACAGCGATTCACGCAGACTGCTTCGTTCTTCAGCACGCGGTTCGAGGAGGCTACCAAAATTGGATCGGCTATGTTACAAACTATCATGGAAAGCGAGATCAAGCATTAGCGTGCGATGCAGTGTACATATCTATTCGATATCCTACAAGTTTCGTTGATTAATAAAACTTTAGGGTGGACGTTATCTTGTGTCGTCTGCTGCTACCCTGCTGCCGGGACCTGAAGCGTCAGAGGGCGCAGGTGCTCTCCCGGAGTGAACACCCGCGCTCGAGAGTTTTTTGAACTCCTGCTGGACGGTTGGCCTATAATGTTTGGCGGACGATTCAGGGCGTACTCGGTCTGGGGATTCGTTATTGCAGCTAGTGAGAATGGCGAGTTTGGGAACCCGCTGCTCGACGAGGATGGGGGTACCGCGGACGAAGGAGCGATATCGGAGGGTCGCGCTTCAAGGATAGAAGTGCGGCGAGGAGGCCCATGCTCCGGCAAATAGGGAAACCCTCTGGAGATGCTGGCAGCATGACCCGTTGGTTGCCGGATGATCCCGGACTGCTGCAGTGCGGGAGGACTAGTCACATAATTCCGGGTATCATCTGGTGCATGCGTACGTCCTGAAGCGGCAAACCCTCTTCATACGAATCGGAATGGACATGAAAACCGGAATCACCTGCAACCGGGGGCAGATTGGCGGATGTTGTGCCGATTCCCCGGCTTAGAATGGCTTCCGCCTGGTCAAGCCGAGCCGCAAGACCTGCCACGACGGATTGGAGGCTCTGGTGCCGAGCCGTCAGCTCTTGATGCTGGGCTCTGAGGTCCTCGTATTCTGTTCGAGTTACGTATTTTTCACTGGAGTAAAGCGGTCAATGATACGAGAAGTGAGAACCATGAATGGGCCCGTACGCAGGCTCTATAGATGCCCAGTGGCATTTATCCTGTTCGTTACGGCGACTGCACGGGGCACATGGTTGTGCTCTACCCACGGTTAGCTACTACTCATTCCCGTCAAGATCGAATGTTTACCTGTCACATTTGATCTTTCGGCGTTTGCACTCTGTCGGATGCACTTAGCGCTGCATACAGGGATGCGAGGAAGGCCTTACCGGTGCAGCTCAGGGCCTGGCGCCTCCTCCGCTTCTTCGGCTGCTCCTGTGGGTCGATGGACGGGTCACCGCCCTCGGACCTCGGGGAGGGAACAGACGATGGTCCCGGGGCTTGGTTGGTCGCGGAACCTACGTCCGGCATACCGGTGCTCTGTTACGTGCGCACATGAGATGACTCGGAAGGGCCACCCATAGATAGTGGATGCTCACAGAATACGAATATCCAGCGGGCTCAAGAGATAGACGTTGCAGTCCAGGTGCCGGAGGAAGGTATGGGTGTAGCTGCCGAATCGACGGCAAAGAGACATGAGTTGACTCGGTGACAGATACGGTGGAACGGGCACCGGAGCGAGGAGGCGGAGGAGACAAAGAGCCCCTCTGCTGGGCAGAGCCAGTGTCCATCCTCAGGTGAGCGGGGAACGGCGAATACGATGCATGTGGGAATTGCTGGCTGTGACGAAGGAACAGGGCGTCCCGCTATATAAATCACCTTGTGTGGATGGCTTTCATCAGCATTTCCAAGGCCAACCGGCAGAGGGGCGATGAACATCACGGAGATGACACGCGAAAAGGTTCCGACAATACGTGAGCACAAGACACCTGGGTACCTGTTATCCCACTCCGGCTCGTTAGACGGCGTCCACCAGGATAGTCCCGCTCGGATCTTAAGATCTGATATGGCATGAAGTCAGAAAACGGTAGAAGCCGATGACTGTGCTCCACGTTTCGAAGCTGACGGGCAGATAACCTTTTGGCGTCTCCTCCGGCGGTAACGCCGGATGTTTTGTGGCTAAGTCCGAGTTCCAGACCGACCTAGAATGGCCTGCTTCCTCGCCCTCAGTCATCGACGAAGATATAAGGCACGGCGGAACCGTTCCACTGAGCTCGTCGGCCACTTTGCTCGCTTTCCGCAGAGCTGCACGGCCGCTCCATCCGTCTCGGAAGTTTCCCTGCCATGGGATCTCCACGGCACCAGTTACTTGGCGCGTCATATGTGTATCAGCGCATATCTCCGGCCGTGGTCCACCGTCTCCGTCCGGACATCGGGTCGTGAAAGCCGTGTCGTCGCATCTGAATCCATTGAATCGTTTGATAGTCCGTATGAGAACGTGGGTTTGTGCTCGCTACTTTCGGGACGGAGCTTCCTCCGAACATAGCCAAGTTCAACGGGACGCTCCTAGCTTTCTCCGATTCAGCATCATTTGACGTACTCACGTCTGTCTCGAGCCACTTCGTCTCGCGCAATGCTGATCTCATATAACAGTGACCTATCCGAGTTCAGGTACGTGACGCCATGGACGAGGACAATGCAGAGGAGAGTCAACTGAGCCAGGATGGCGCTGGCTTCGTGCGCAGCCATGCACAACTGCTGCCCCTCTATCCTTACGTGACGTGCTCCTTATCGCTACAGTTTGAATAACTGCTGGCTCAGTACCGCGGTGCGGCCTTCCGCTCGGGTTGGTCGCATGGGGACAGCATGGCAAATTACATGCTCGGAGACGCTCCGTGCATCGTGATCAAGGAGCATGTGTTTCCACCACAACGCCGCCGCGCATCTTCGGGAGCATCGCATGTGGACGCGCGATTTTACGTATTGTCTACGGAGCATTCGGATCGTCTGCGTAAAGATTGTCCGGATTTGTGTGGAAGGTTTGGGCGCAGGCGGTTTTCCCCCGGCGAACACAGCATTGATGTACAACAGGTTTCTTCCCCGTCTTAGCTCGCGGTCAACCGTTATCGCCGAGTCCTCCTGACGTATGCGAGCGCGACGCCTTGAAGTTACCATTACACCCGATCTTCATGTCCTTTTCGGTCACCTCATCGATTCTTCCGATACCGCAAATGGAAGACGATACCCGTTACGCCGAGATTGAAGTATGTGGCAAACGGTGAGGTCAACAACAGGCGCCGCGTTTGTCGCGTGGAGGAGCTCTTCCAAATGCAAGCAGGATTGCGGGAGAACTTCTACGAGTTATGTCAAGGTTGATTACAAGCTTTCCCCGCCCAATGGAACTGATGCTCGATAAACGAGCATTTCATACCATAGAAGATCGCCGCTGATAAGCATGCCCCAAGTTGCCGTGCAACAAAGGCTGGTCGAATTCATACGTAACGCCGTGAACGGACGACGTTGAGGACCAGGAACCTCGGACCGTTACCCATGGCCCAACATCCGAGAACTCATGTGTGCATGCATGGCGGAGCATCAACTGATGTACGGTCATAGGGGTAGGCGCCGAATGTTGCATGTTGAGCCTTCGGTCCTGAAATGGTAATGTATCGATCGAGAGTGATATGTTGTTATTTGCAATATACCAAAGTACAGATGCTTGCTCGAGTTACTTGCGACTCTGCCATCCCAAGTATGACCCTCTGGTCGTTAGCGCATGCGCAACAATCCTCAAACGCCAATACTTGAAACATAGCCGCCGTAGCCGGCGCCTTGACATCAACCGGCGATGAGGAGCAATCCTCATGATTCGCCTTGCGTTGCTTGTAATGGTGTGAGGCTACGAAGGGCATCATCAATGGCACGATTCACGCCACTCTGCAGAGAGAGGTTCCCTGTCGCATGAATGACCACCTTTGAGCAGCAGGTTCACGTGAACAGCGGAAGGTATCGACGTACATATTCATGTGCCGGGGATGATTAACTCTGATTGTTGAGCGACGTTGCGCCTTCCAAACGGTCATGGAATCACCTTAACACCCATATCACATACTGTAAAACATGTAATTCATTGCGATGGTAGATACAGAACCGAGTCCCATTCCGATGTTTCGAATGCTGATTAGCCGCTTCGCCAGTAAGGTGATGATAGCCAACGGCATGCCCAGATTCGGAGGATCCTTCTGCTCAGCCTGCATGTCCCAGAGCCCACGAATGAAGATCGAGTACTGGGCTCAAAGAAAGCGGAGCGTTGACTGACGACGGCACGCGCTGCCAGCCATTTTATCCCTTGAAGGTGGCCCGTGCGGTGGCGTGAGAATATGTGCGGAGTACATATTATACCGGTTTGGACTCATCGACTTTTTATCGAAAGTTTTCACCTGGCTGGATATTTGGGGCCTTCTACTTAGCCGTGCTCACGTAGCGGTTCATGAATCTTGGCTAGGAAGACCGACATTCTGTTACCCAAAGATCGTGTTGGCACATGCAATGTCGGACACGGCCCGTATAACAGACACAGCATGAATATAGTATCCGTCTAGTAGCCTGGCGGTTCAGCGTTCGGCTTTCGTCCTCACACGCTATGTCTCATCTACCCGTGTTATATCGTAACGAGTGATCTAGTGTATTACATAGGTATTTCAGAAAGAATCCGCAAATTGGCTTGCTATCGGTGGTGCCTGTCAGGCTAGTCATAACCGCGACGGAGGTAGGGAGCCGGGTGACCCTTTTCCAGCTCAATAATACCGGATGGATACGCCATTAATCTGAACATTGCAAAGCCTCTATCGCTCAAGCGTGACGGACTCTGCTTATACTTCTGCAATCATAACAATCTCATGGCGTAATCTGGTGGGGATTTAGGTGCGCGAAAAACTGAAGCCGCGTTGACGGACGTACCTATAGCATGCATACACGGCAATGTCAATCAGAGCCCAGAGATGATCTCAATGATCACTCGTGTAACACAATCGCCTTCAGAGTCAAAGAATCCTACGTCCAATTCCCCGACATGGCTATCGCTGGGTGTTCCGGAGACTTCGATGCTGTCTGTTCGCCGCGAACTCGATTCCGACCCCAAGTGCACGCAAATATACGCAGGCAGGCAGGCACCATCCATGAGCGTCGTGGTAGATACTTTGGTCAATGCAGAGGGCAAGAACAGTTTGAACCTGAATGCCTCGTTTGCACGTACGAGCATTCGAGGTATTGTTGTAGCATGGAGTTCACGTTGTGTGTAGAACGAAGAAGCCAAGGAGTAGGAGCCGACAGAAGCTCGTGCATTACTAGATGACAGAGCAGGGCTTGAGGGCTCAGTGTAGAAAATGGCCGATGTGCTCGTAGTAGCATCGTTCTTGTCGGCCTCTTCCCCCAGAGATCGCACATAATGCATACCGATGCTCAGATCATCGTCGACACGTGCCGTTCGATGGGGAAGATGCGAGGTCATCTGAGATTTTAGAGTGCCAGAGGTATTCTCCCGACTAGAGGAGGAACATCCGCCCGCTGAGCCGATAGACGAAGGAAGCCTCGGAGGAGGAACACGAGAGGCGCTAGTGAACGGTACCAAGCGTGGTCTGCCGACTGCAAGAGTGCCATCCGGTAGAGAAAGGAAGGAGACGCCACCGACACTCGCGCCACTTCTGACGCTGGTTTTCCGCGAAGCTTGTTGGACAACGGCTTCCGCGACATGCGTTGCGGAGGAGGAGTCAGTGTCATCCGAGGAGTTCGCGGATGAGATCGACAAAGGGCGGACACGTGAGCGCCTGGCAGCGCATGATAGTCCGCGCGGTGAGGCGGGGTCTGATCGTTCAAGCGGTGCGGGTGTAAAGGATAGGACCGGTGATGGCATCGACAATCTGCTCTGGTCAGAAGGTGAACGAAAGGCTGAAGTTTGGGGAGGATCGCTTGACGATTCAACCAAAACAGGTTCACCGATTACTGGTCGTTCTTGTCCGCGGCTAATCGCCTTCATTTGAGTTGCAATAGACCTCGAACGAGTGGCCACACCGAATCGACCGACGATCCCGCGTACTCCGCTAGTCAGGGTCCCATATAGACCGGGGTCTCGCAGAGGATAAACGCTTGGAGTAGGCTGTACGGGCGTAACCGGGTTGTCCATCAAGGAGTTCTTGTCGAAGGAATTGCCCTCTTCCATGCCATACCATCTTTTCTCGTCCAGACTATAGCCCTTCCGCCCTTCTTGACCTCCAACTACGGGATCGTCGAGTTTCGCATATCGCCTGAACGCCGCGAGTAAGATAGCGAACAAAACCATGCCCCCTAGTATCGCGCCTGCAACTTCGAGTCCCAATTCAACGTGCCTATTGGAAGCGTCTTCGCGGTGGGCATCCTGGTCATCCTTATAAGCAGAACCCGTGAGCGAAATGTTCAGCGAAGTATGCGAAATCGAATGCGTCAGATAGGAGTAAGCTGCGAACGTAACGGTGACACGGGGGTGGCTAGGGTCGCCATCCGGAAGTCGGCCAGCCAGCACACCAGCAACAGGGTCAAAGGCAAGATAGTCAGAATATACGTCAGGATCAAACGCGGCTGTCAGGTTTACGGACCCGTCAGCCGCTGTGAGCGTACTGCCGTGAGCATAGAATGGCTTGAGATCGAAATTGACCAGTCCCGCAGGTTCACCCAATATCGGAGGAATAGAACTGGTAGAGAAGAATGAGGCAACTTGCGCCAGAGAAACATTCGTGTGCAAGGTTTGATTGGCGGCAATGATGGAAACAGGGAGTAGGATGGTCTCCGTAGACTGTGCTGGACTGCCGCTTAATGTCCTGCTACCTCTGTCATATTGAAGCCAAGATCCGTAGGATGATGCATCGATTGAAAGATCTGATATATTGAAGGAATCTATCGCCTTTCCATCCAACGATACGCCCATGAAGTCCGCGGACGATGTGAGACTGAGGTTAAAGGGTGCCCCGGCTGTCACGTTGATTGTTGGCAAGGAGGACATAGGCATAGAAAGTTCGTGTGCTGCGATCACAAGGTCGAAAGGTAATATCACGGACGAATACCCGTCATGCTCAGAGGCATGAAGAACCAAGGACAAGAGAGACGGGGCTTCTCGGATAGTCGGCGTGACACCGTTCAAGGTGACCGTGTTGGGATTGAACCGGATCCAGGACGGGATCGGCGAACCATCGGCTTGAAGAGCGCCGTAGAAGATCTTACTAGAAGAGGTTACGGTGTCCCAATGGAAGCCAACACTAAAAGACCAGTCTGGTGGTATGCGCAGAGAAGGATTCGGGGTTGACAGAGCAGAACCGAATGAAATCGGAAAGACGGACGAAATTGATGGGCTGGACGCTGAGAACTGTGACGCAATGGACAATGCGACAGATGGGGGAGGCGTAGACACGGTGATCAAAGTCCAGGAGGAGGCCGCCGCATATTGTCCGTTCCGCGCGGTTACAGTCACGTCGATAGCGCCGTCTTCGTCCGGAATGCCACGGAACTCCAAATTATCAGGATGAAAGGTGAGCCAGGGAGGAAGCGGGGTAGTCGTGTAGGCGAGCGCGGCTCCATCTGTGGAGGCAAAGGTGTTCGAAGACAGCGACCAAGTGTAGGTTGAGTTGACTCGAGCAATCAGTGGCAGTTGATCCTGGATGGGGTGAAGGACAATGACATGGGCCGTAACGGCGATCGCAAAGTATGTTAGAAGGAGAAAGATCATAGTGATAGGATGGACAAGCGGTGAGCCGGCCAGCGACAGCGGAGGAGACTCGAGATTAGAGTGACGAGTTCGCGACGAACGCGAACCAAGCTCGCGCCGTCGCTGTCTTGGACTGTCACACCCGCCAAAGTGCCAGTGCTTTGGGCATGTCCTCGAGTTTGCGAGCCTTGATAATTGCATCTCGAATCGTGAAATCCCGCCAGATTTAGCGTAAGCAATGACCCAGAACAAGTACCCTACAGCAACAATTCGATACCAGATAACATGGAAGGAATAACCGGGGCCTCTACTGCACGAAAACGCCCAAACCCGCATTTTGCACCGCCGCAGGATTCTCTGCATGCAACGCCCTCACCAGACTCACTAACTCCGACCGCGCCTCGTCATTGATCTCCTCCGCATGCGAAGGATCCAGGACATATGCGAAAACATGAAGCAGGTGTTCCAAGTGAGGGGCCAGTGATTGCGGATTTGTCCGGAATAAATGGAATATCGCGCGGAAGACAGGACCGTTCTCGAGCGGGTCGTGCTTCAAGGGCAAGGCACCGACGAAAATGGGAAGAACTTGATCCAATGGAACCGCAGAGGTGTTCTTCAATATCATCCGCGCAACTGCACCGGCTGCATTATCCTGAGCGTTCAGGCGCGCGGTAGGTGCATTTGGTGTGACAGAGAAAAGCGGTCGTAGAGCGCCCAAAAGCGCGATGTATTGAGCTGAGAGATCGGTATCCGAATGCTCGACGAGGAGACCGGATGCGAACGCAGCGTTGCTTTGGACCTCGGCCTCCTCGTCGCTTAATGCGCGGTAGAAGAGCTCCAGAAGAGGCTCCGTCCATTGGGTAACACCGCTCTTGATACCAGCAATGATCTCTGCAAGGCATCCGATGGCAGATGATCGGTCGCTTAGGGAACGTCCCTTCTTCTGCACAGGGAGGTGAGACGAATCCTAGTGAGCTGATATCTGACTTACGTAGAATTTGGAAATCAATGGATAGAATACCCCGAAGACCTGGCACCAGTCGGGCCCTAGGGCGTTGGCTACAGCGGCGATCAGGTCGCCGGCGGAAGAGATCAGGACAGAATCCATTTCAGACTGGTCCTCTAGGGCTTCATCTTCTTCGTCTTGATCGGGATCTTGCTGACACAACGCCCGCTGTTCGAAGATCTGCGTGCACACGCTATGGATTACATCCAGGTCTGCTGAATGGTCAGAATCAGGGTACGCATCACTGATTCAACACGTACTGCCGTCGACGAATGCGGGTCCAATCTTGTTCACGGTCTCGGCGAGACCCACACATAGAGCCGAAACAACAGCCCTAGACGCATATGGTCAGAGGACGAGCTCACATTGAAGAATACGCATACTTGTCATCTTCGGCTTCTAATACTTCCATGAGCGGGGTCATCACGTGAGCGATGAGATCTTTGACGTGCTGGTCAAGGAGGGGTTGCTAAACATGGATGAGTTGGCCGTATCATGAAAGGAATCAATCAAAGATATACACGAACGGAATTCAAGCCCGGTTGCCATTCTTGAGGACCGCTGAGGTCGTAGAATGTTCTGACAATTTCCAATAGACTTTCACAAGCCGACTTTCGAATCCCCTCGTAGTAATGAGAAAGGAGATTGACGAGTACCAGGGTGCACTGTTCAACGTAAGGAAGGAAATGGTTCTTCGTGGCGCTGAAGAGCATGCCGATTGTGTCCGCCGCAATTTCCTTCTCCACGGCGATAGCGCTGTTGATATCGAGGGCCTTATCGTCGTCCACGTCGTTTTCGTCTACATTGATCTCCGTCTCTCGGACGACGATGGCAGTGGCAGGCGAGGCGCCAGTGGCGAATGACGCGGCAGCGTCCGGAGCCGTGACTATGTGCAAAGATTAGTTACTGTCAATCATTTGCATAAGAACGTACGATTGGAAGGCTCAGTGCCGTTTTCTTCCTGCTCGCAGCTGGCCACGAGCAAGGGAACAACGTTCGGCAAATAAGGCGCGAATTCATCCTCGAAAACCTTCGCCATGACGCCGAAGAACAGGAAGCTACATTCCCGAAGCCTCGCACTCCCCATCTCCGTGCCTTGGAAAGCTTGCTTCATCAGGTCTGGGAAATACGGTCGAAACACGTCTGCGCCGACGGCCTCCGCGAATGTGCCCACAGCGTCCATGCTGAGCCCTCTGAGCTCTTCCTCGCCCTCGCCCTCTCCTGTAAGCACCAAAAAGTGCTTAAGGCGCTCCATGGTCGGCTGAAAGTACGGCGTAAATTTCTCCTTGGAGGCATGCGCAGCACTACCGATTGCTCCAGTGACGACGGCCTTGACTTTGACCGGGGCCGTATCAAGGAGACCAGCGAGGCGCTCCATAATCAAGTGTAGATACTGATCGATCTGATCTTGAAGAATCTCCAAGAGGGCGTCAAGAGCTGTGCAAGCATACTTTTGTGTCTCCGCATCGCTGACGAGGTTCATGATAGTCTAATAATAGAGATTGTATTAGACCCCACCTGAGCATCGGTAGTCAGACTCACCGGGACGAGGACGGCATGTCTCGAGGCACACTCCTCCTCCAACCATTCACACAAGCATGTAATAGCAGTGCATGAAGCTGTCCGCACACTGGCATCGGGATCCTGCAAACCTCGCTCGATAACTGGCCAGATATGTTGCATGAGCGGAGTCATATATTCACTGCATCCCTCCACTGAAACTCCGAGAGCAAGCATAGCCGCTCGCCGCTGGGCAGGGTTCGGCGAAGAAAAATACTCTTGTATGAGGTCGCGAAGCGGAGGGAACACTTGCGTGGGCGGGAGGGATGTCGCGAGTCGGTCGATAATGCGTAGAGCAGACTGATTGCATAACGTTCAGTGCCGGACCAAAAGAGTAGAGGCTCTAACTTACGCGGCCCGGGGCATCCTCGTCCAAATCACTGGGGGTGTCCTCGGTAACAATACCCATGACGCCTTGCAGGATGACGGGTGCAAGTCCTAGACTCTGTATCTTGGTTTTTTTACTGTGGGGCGGTGAATTCATGGCTAGGAGCTCAATAAGTAGCTTCTCACTATTGCACAGTCCAATTAAGAGCGTTCAGGGCGAAAACACGAAGTTCGCTTTCGTATTCGCGGTTGCCTCCGCAGGTGAGCAGGAACTTCGTGAGCTCGGGTATGTGCGAGCCGAGCACCGGGATTTCCTTGGAGTCAAGATATCAAAACGGAGTGTTTCAATCGTGATATCACGACTCACGAGGATTAATAACACCTCGAGCACATCGAATAGCTCCCGGGCACCTTTTTCGTTTCCAGATTCGACACATTGCCCAATCACGTTTATCATCGCAGGCAACAGTGCCTGGAATGCCTTCTGTAGTGCCCGCGCATGTTTACGTAAGAATCAAATACGGACAACAGGCCAATTGCACCAACCACTTCAGCCTTATCGTCAACATCGATATACTGTGCGATCACTCCGAGGGACCTGACTGTGGTGATTCGGACATCAAGACTTTCGGGGTCGCTGAGAAGGTTGTTGAAGAGTTGAAAAAGCGCCTGCAGCTGATCCTGGAAGCCTTCTACAATATTCTCCAAGACAGTGAAGAGAACGAAGACTCCGATTTCGCGATGGGGGACCTGAGGTGAGGTCGCTGTCTGGTACAAGAACGGGAGCAATTGAGGCCAAGTTCCGAGGGGAATCTCGATGGCAGCGATAGCGGCGATGACCCGAGCCGTGGAATGGCGAGTCAGGTTACTGTAAGCACTGTCGGTCTTCAAGCTCCTCCATACATCGTGCACGTACCTAGATTGAGATAGACAGACTTCCGGGAGCTTGACTTTAATCTCCTCACGATTAGCTTGAGGCAGTTGTGTCCAGAAGTCGCCGCTGTTTTGAGCAACGCGTTTTCTCATTTCAACCGCCGCAAGTTGCCGCACCTTTTGCGGACACTGAGTGGTCAGGTACACGGTGATTCTGAACCGGGTTACTCACCGCATCCGAAGGTGAGCTTGCCAAGATCGTCGCCAAAGCGGGGATGCATAGTGGTGTCTTGTAATATTCCTTGTTTAGTTGTGCGGTAGCCTGAAAGGTGGATCGTCATTCAGACATCGATACCATCAAGGTGGAAAAACCGACCGCTTTGAGTTGAACCGTGTCGGGTGCTGTCGACTGGATGAGAAGATTATGCAACCCTTCGACATAGCTGGCCTGCACAATGTCATCAAAATAGGGTCGAATCGGGTCGCACATGAACACTGACATCCATGATAGTGTACAGGCGAAGGTAGAAGTCAAGAGTCAGGATCAGCCTATCATGGAGCAGCATTCAAAATTTCTGGGACTAGCACGTGAGACGCGACTTTGAGCTTCATGAATCAGTCCCGACGTTTCCCTCCGTCTGACTTACTCTGACATATACAGCGCATCCGATCGGTGCAACAACATCACTAATTTACCGCCGCTTGTACCCTTAGGCTAGGACACTCAGGTAGGCCTGCAAGACATCGAATAACCGATCAATTGCCTCAGCCTGAGAGCTAGCCACGCCTGTCATGTCTAATCGTAAAGGATGGAACGCAAAGCAGCCAGCAGGATCCCTCTCCTCCGATAGAATCCGGAGGCCAAACCCGCCTGCATCCGGTCATGCCAAAGCCAACGCTGCTGCGCAGGGCCCTCCGAAGAGCGCCGCAGTCACGAAACTCGAGTCTCTACACTCATGGCTCTCGAGGACAAACGCAGGGAAAAGCAGGGATCCGAAAGGCGGCTGTTTCTGCCTGGGTGAGCGGAGGGCCATTTTGTTTACTTCGCGGCGACGAGTTCTGCTTACCTGTAAGCATGCAGCCAGAATACATCCTCTATCGCCATATACCCCGATATGCCGCGGATGCGGATTGATCATCTGTCGGCTTAATCTACCCAACTATGCGTGCCCCCACTGCACATCTCCGTTATTCTCAGACGGGCAGCAGGGGGCCCTCATTTCAAGAATCGATGCGGAGATTGCGAAGCAACTCGCCGCCGAGCATGCGGAGCGCGAACGATTGCTGCAAGAAGCTCGCCAGGCAGCGGGCGCATTTCCAACTTTGCAAGATCAATCATCATCTGATATAGACCGCCCATCCGTTGCGCCTCTTCGTCCTGCTCAGGAGACCCATAAAGTACTGTCCCTCGGCGCTAAAGGGACCAAGGGAAAGAAAGTGGTCGTGCAATCGTATACCATTTCGACCACTCCGCCTCGTCCGAGATCACGGAACGGTCCGACAGAGGAAGATGGCGAGCCTACGAGAATTACCCCTCCCGGTCAAGAAGTCGAATGCATGTCACAGGGACAAAACATCAACTCCTGGATCAGTCCTCGGGGATTGCATGCGACCTACGTACCATCACGCCGCATTGACGGGAAATCTACTAAACGGTCAGACATAACCAGGCAACACAAGGGCAGGGGAACTTCCTGAGTTCGCCGTCCCTCCAAGTCATCCAAGCTTGTTGGTATACTATGGCATGCGCTACACTTCACTATCTTGTCGGTGAGTCCCTACAACAAGAGTGGTGTATGGGAAACCTTACCAGACGATTGCCAGACGATGTGGACTTGGTGCAAATGTGCGGCTATCCGCCGGAGACAGCTGTAAAATGCCATACCTTCGTCATCGTAGCATCTATGAGCCCTTGCATAACGTTCAGGGGAGGACGTCTGTTCATCGCAGATAAGCACGGGGCCGTGCAGTCCTTTGAATGCCTCCGCCCCTGTCAATGTAGAGTACCACATGCAGTATACTTCTTGTGATATATGCGGACACTGATTGCTAGATGCCGACCTCAGGATCTCCATCATTTGACGCGGACGTATATTAAGCTCTCCGGCGGATAGAAAGCGTCAGCAGGCCCTTGACTGCGCTCCATGATATGAACACCGTTTAGCGCGAACGACGATCATAACGCTCTCTGGCCGCTTCGCTTCGGGCGAGGCACGTCGAAGAACGTTCAGCTCAACGAGCGTTCGCGCGATTCCCTTCCGTTGGCGCTGATTGATAATATAATCTCCAAAGGTACGTAATAATGCATCCTCGAAAGATATGATACACATAGCGTTCATTCAGCAGAAGCTCATTGCTCGCTAACAAATACACCAGCCATACCCATGCCAGAACCAATGCACATGCTTGTGACGAAAATTTTGGCTCCGGTTTGCTTGGCGATGTTCAGCCCGGTAGCTATTTGCCGTGCGCCAGCTATTCATCGACGGTGAGATGTTGAAGTTCGCTACTGTAACGCACGACTTACTGCATCCAAGTGGATGTCCGATAGCGATAGCACCCCCGTTGAGGTTGACCTTTTCGAAGGGTATACCGAGATGTTGAACGCTGAAGACGGCTTGGCTGGCGAAGGCCTCGTTGATTTCGTAAAAATCGACTTCATCTTTCTTCAACCCGGCCTTCTCTAGAGCCTGCGAAGGGTTCATGTCAGGTGTGAGAGGTCCGTAAAACGAAACACATGCGCTCGCCTTCGGTATCGCGAAAGCAGGTCCGACACCCATGATCCTCGGAGGCACACCAACCGCGACCGCGGTCACGAACTTGCCGATTATCGGCAAACCGAGTCGCCTCGCTACTGAGCGTCGTGCGAGTAGAACGGCAGCGGCACCGTCTGAAACTTGGGATGCGTTGCCTAGCGTGGGATGTTAACACCACAAAAAATGTAGAGAACACGATGATGATTAACCTGCATGGGTGCTACCGGTGGGTGAAAATGCAGGCTTGAGCTTCGCCAGACTTTCTGCCGTGACGCCGGCGCGAACACCATCATCATGCTCAACGGTGATGACTTTCTCCTCTTCGGTCTTGGGATCCGTCCATTTGACGCGAACGGGTACGATCTCATCCTTGAATTTTCCCGACGCTTGTGCGGCAGCGGCCTTCTGGAACGATTTCGCAGCGAACTCGTCCTGACTCTGGCGGGATATCGAGTAGTCGGCTGCAACGTTTTCTGACGTAATCCCCATCGGCAGCAAACAATCCTCGGCCTCGGCGTTAGACAGGACGGCTTCGGAGTAACCAGAAGGTTGAGCTCCAGGACCGTAACCGAAGGTCATGGACTCGACGCCGGCGCCTACGAATGCGGGGTCAGGAGATGTAGAAGAGCCCGCCAGTCGAGATAGCACTCACCAATGCCAATGTCGATTTGACCCAGAGAAATCTGGTTTGCGATCTGGTTGACGGCAGCGAGCCCGGAGGAGCACTGTCGGTTAATGGTATTGATGGCGGAGGTGTTTGGGATTCCTGCATGAAGAGAGGCCATCCGAGCGGCAGTCGCCCCTCCGCCAGCTGGGAGCACGTTCCCGACAGCGATATCCTCAATGAGCTTGGGGTCGAGGTTAACGCTGGTGTACACCGCCCGTAACGCAGCCGAGAGCAGTTCCTCTGGACGAGTGTCCTTGAAGCCGCCTTTCTTGGCCTGTGAGTGCTGTCTGATGAGCATTATACAGCGGAGCAAAGGAAAGGAACCGGCCTTAGTTATGGGGGTCCGCAACGCAGCCACGATAACCACGTCGTCGTCGTGTTGGACAAGAAGCTTGCCTTTGCCGAGGCCCGTAAGCTGAGAGATACGATTCGAAATGGCCGCCATAGTAGGAGGAGTGTAAGTGACGCCGAGCACTCTGAGACGAACCTTTTCAATCCGTCTGCGTACGGGGGTAATCACATGGCCGGATTGGCCGGCATGTGAATTCGACCGGCAAGCTTGCGACTTGGAATCAGTATAACGGAAAGCACTTGAACGGGGAGAAAATGATGCACGGGTTGAGAAGGACTAGAAAAGGTCATAGCAACGACGACGAAGCTCCATTCGCCAGAACCTGGCGAATGAAAAGTAAAAAGTGAAAAGGGCCTGACCGGGAATTGAACCCGGGACCTCCTGCACATGAGAACGGATGTTCCGGGAAACCCGAAGCAGGAATCATGCTACTAGACCATCAGGCCGTTGAGACAGCGGATGTCAAAAGCGTTATATATTTGCCAAGGCAATAATAATACCCGCTTCTCCGTCCGTATGAGCGTTATCTCCCCCAGACATGGACGACGCAGTCTCGCCAAACAGCAGTGTTGGTGGCATTCCTCTCTTCCATGTTCACTCTCTTATCCATCTTGTGTTCGAACAGCTGGCCTCACTGTCGCATTTGGCCGAAGCACACATGGCTCGATCATCTCGCCTTCATGCCCGCCTCCTCTTCACGCTGGACACACTTGACACACTCCAGATCGCCCACGAAGAAGAACTACGGTCCCATATAGCAACTAACAGAGCTTTGATGGAGGCCCTCGAGCGATCTACGTGCTTCATTAAAGATCTGGAGGCCCAGAAGGACGATCTCAAGGATGCAGTACTACGGCTGGTGGACAGGGGTGAGTCTGATTACAACCCGATTTAGGCATCGCGTTGACGCTCACCAGGCCGTGGTATGCGCAACAGTAGAGGCAATTCAAGATTACGGCTTATGGCCCCCTAGCAGGATTAGTGTGTCACAAAGAGCAGGTGTGTTTTTTCCCGCTCTTCCTGGATATCATTCGACGGAGTCTTCGCAGATCCCATCAATAGTGCACTTCCTACGGTAGCTGATGATACTTCTCCATTGATCGCTTACGCGTCCAAGCTCCTCTCATCAGTGAGAACAGCGCTCGAAGCCGAACGTCGGTCCCATGTCGACACTCGACAAGCCTTGATGGAAGCACGCACCAAGCTGGCATTGCGTGAGGCGGAACTAGAGGCCTATATCACTCATGTTGACCACCGACTGTCGACAAGTTCTCCTCTGTCTTCTCAGGAGAACAGGACATCACCCCTCTCACGCCTGGAATTAGCAGACACCATCGATGCGTCTCACTCCCGTAATCGAGCGCTTCAAGAGGAAGTGGATCACATCATTGTACGCGTGAGTTGGTTGGCCCATCCGGAGTCCCTATACGATCTCACCGGCGCGTACCCAAGCAGTTAGAGGACGCGCGTGCCGGTGGTGCTCTCGCGCCGCAAGTACCAACAATCTCCGAAATACAGAAGGAATCTGTTTCGCATTCGTCTTTACCCCCCGGCAACGAGTTGAGCGTGGCTAATCGCGGGGTCTATGTGAGCTTTTCGTGTGGTTTGCTGAAACGTCTGTCAACGGTGTGATTCAAAGACTCAGGAAACAAGCAATCCTGTGGCAAGCGAGCTAAGACGAGATGTTGAAACTTTTGCTTCGGCTGTCGATAGCTTCTCCAAGGAGCGTCGCATGCTGGAGCAGCTGCGACAAGAAAACGCCGCGCCGCACCTTTTCGAAGGTGCATATGCAGAAAAAGCACCTGAATTGCATCAGACGCCCGTCAGGTATGTATCGTTCGCCGCTTGTTGCCATCGTTCTGACGGATGGCTCCGTTGGTCAGTCTCGCGCGTCGCCTTGATGCTCTGGAGAAGGCCCATATTAGAGCGGATGCTCGGAATACCGAGCTGAAACAGCATATCCTTTCCTTGCGCAGTCAGCTCGACTCCGTGACGAAAGTACGTTTAGGCATACCCTTATCATGCACGACAGCTCATTTCACGACCAGCTAATAGCCACGAACGAGATTTCCGGGATTGATCGCGTCGTTGAGAGGACCAAGGAGTGCCCGCCATTTGAGGCTGAATCGGACATGGAGCTCGAAACGCCTTTGGCGGGGACCATTTCGTTATTGAACCCGGACCCTCCCGTCTGTGAGACAGGTAACGGGCAATTTGTCTGTTCTCCCAAGGCAAAAAGTATGCTTGCGCAGGTGGAGCATACGGTTACCGGTCAACCCATTGCTCCATCCTTTCCTGCCATACACCCGGTAGCGGGCCACATAAGATCAATATCTGCTTCACCTACGTCTTCATCGCAATCCCTCACATCTGTTTCGCCAACTCTCTTTCATCATCCATCGACGGGTTCGATCAGCGTATATGGTTCGATCGACGAAAACTCATATTCAAGCAAAACGAACGAAATGTCTCGTATTGAACAGGAGCTGGTTGGCACTCGCCAAGGCCTGGAGGTACAGAATATGGAACTCGTTCAGCTACGGCAGACGATCCAATACCTATGCAACAAGGCTTCTATGTCATCTGTAACAAAAGCATGTTACGACAATGTCGCACTCAAGCCTGCATTGTTTGGGTAATCTTCGGACAGGGATTGGCATCTTCGGATACATGAAATCGTCAGAAATCGGGTTCGAGCTAGTGGTATCTTGAGCTAGTTATCACTCGTGGCCAAGTTGGCTCTCTTGCGCTTCTCCTCCTGGACCTCCTCCTCTGTAGCCAACACAAAACCGTACTTCCAGAACCAGACATTTGCTCCCCTTCGCTTGACCTCTTCGACATCCCAGCCCCAGGCCTTCCATCGTTCGGGGTCATCAACTCGTAGGAGGTCACAGACGAGCGATTTCCGTGTGGCGAATACGGGGTCAGTGCCCAGGAAAGGGCTATGGGAAGGGTACAGGGCGGTCGTAACGGAATCGTATCCGGGAGCGGTGATATGAAAGTGCAAATGGGAAGCGCGATGCGGATGACGGCCTGTGACGCCTCAGGTTGGACTGCTACGCAGGACAAAGGAGTTATACGCACCGAGCGCACGCAACATGTCTCCGCAAGGACCATCATCAGGCTGTCGGATCATCAGCAGGAGTTCGTGGCGACGGAGGCAAACTCACGATGGGATAAGCCACCGGCAGTACTCCGCGATACCAAAAGTGGCCGTTTGACTCGGCCAAGATCCGAGCTCTGTCGTCTGCGCCAGCCGGGTGTGGAGTGTCGTACATAACATCGTAAACTCCCTCTCCATCGGATTGCCACTTTCAAGACTTTAGTCGGCACTTTCGAATTCTGCATGGTTATGGCCAACTTACTACCTCAACTTTCGCCCCTTCAACGCCTTCTCCTCTGAGGTTCTTGATGTCCGCCTCGAAGACCATTGGTTCCCCTACTGTATCCGGGTGGGAGATTGAAACCCCGGATGGCACTTCCGGAAACACCTTCGTGTAGAAAGGGCCCTCCTCGCAGCTCTCGGTGCATCCGGCAGGTCGTGGGTGCTCCAGTTCGTCGACAAGAGCACTCAAACCCAAGCAATCGCTGAAAAGAACCACCTCGTCCTTCCCTGCGGTGCTCTCCTTCCCTGCACGTCCAATCAAAGTGACGGCTTCTGCCCATTCGGCATGTGTGAGGCCGACCTCGCGCGCGAACGCGTGCAAATGAAACACGAGCCTATCAGCGATGAAGGCTAGTCGGGGCGATTTTTGGGACGTGAGGGAGGCATGAAGCGCTCGGACGTGATCAGTGATAGTGTGGTCCGTGCCCTCACGGAAGTCGGACTCGAGGGGCAGGTCTAGGGGAATAGTATGGGCCGTCTGCTGCCGGATACGGGCCCCGACGTAAGTTGGATCTCTCATTCGCGCGGGATCTGCCATGTCCAGGTGGTTGCCAGTTGTCAGACACAAGGGCCGATCGGAGTGGGTGATGATAATGTTTCGTTGGGCGTTGTTAAATGCGTGCTCGCGATACGGATGGGATGGAATCATAAGCGCAAACGGTTCCGGTGCTTCTCAAGTGACAATTTGTACGATTAAACTACCTGCTGACTGATTCACGAGACCGAGATCGTCCAGTCCGTTCAGATGTTCCCAGGCACGCCGGTATAATACAACATACTAGGACCGCGCCACGACTAGAAGCGCGGACTGTATCGTTGCGTAGGACGTGCGTGGAATTTCAATGGAATGGAATCACCGTCTAGTTTTGGTAGCCGGTAGCCTCTTCCCATCCTCATCCCGACCGATGAGCGGGTTCAGCAGATGATCCCGATGCAAACATGTGATGAAGCCATGAATGAACGGTTCGTAATCGTGCGTGCGTTTTACTTGCTCGGTCTCTTGCAATCATTAGCGTAGCGCTGGTGCATGACAAGATCTACTCACATGAGTTTGATATGCTTTCGTGAGCTCGTCCTCAGCTGCGATCTTTGCGGGGACGGCTTCGCTGACACAATCCTGCCACGCATCGACAAGCCTGTTTTCCGACATGTGAAGCACGTCGATACTCATTTTCAGCGTCCGCTGGCCGAAATCTTTGGCATACGTCGGGCCAGCTTCGGAGCTAGGATTCGCTGACGTAGCGAAGGCATTCGTCGCCATTTCGGAAGCCTCAACGCGAACCTATCTCGAACAATTCGTTAGATCGAGAGTCACGAGAGCGACAATGGACTCCGCACCTGCCCTTGCCATCCTTGCGGATATTTTGCATCGAGACGGCGCTCAAGCTGTGATCGTTTCCTTTTTGCTAGTTCCAACTCGTCGCTAGCGTTGCAATACTGCTCATTCACAAGCGCTAACAAGTTGAACTTGATATTTGCTCCTTCTTCTGCACCGCCGTACTTTTTCATTTTCAGCCTCAATGCTGGCCGAACAACGTCCATCCATCCTTCTGCACCACTTCCACCGTAGTTCATTTCCCCCACCTCAAGAGGCCCTGGTTTCAGTCCATCGAGTTCCCATACCTTCCCGTGCGCCGGGATATATCCAATGAAGTGGTATGTCTCTTCTAGATCATCGGCGCTCTGGATGTCTGACCTTTGTCGTTGTCGGGTAGTGGGTGAGGTCTTGTCATGGGCAACAGTGTGTGTAGCCTTCCTATGCGTCCTTGGCGATTTCGCGTGCATTTCCGCTTCAACGGTGGATACGGCTATGGCATTGATGGATCCTCGAATATCTGCTGGACTTCCTGAGGTAAATTAGTGCTTGTAAGGCATAGCTGAGATCAGACGTACCGCGCCAAGGCATTGTGCGCAGCGCGTATAGGAAGCGAATTTGATATAGCCAATCCACGCATCTGCGTATGTTGCAGCGGACAGTCTTACCCAACTGGGAGTATGTACTTACGACCGGAGACATCTCCATTGTATCGGCCTTGAATGCTGCCAAGGTGCCCCCAATTTCCACATCCGTGTTGAACACGATGTTCAACAGTGCTTGAGAAGCACATGCATCTTCGCACAGTTGGTTCGCAAACCATAGCCGCTCTCCAGCGGAATCCCTGAACTCGCGAGGTCGATGTTTATCCTTCTGATATAGGAAGCAGAATATGAGGCCGATGGGAGATCCAAGGTGGTCTACGAGCGCAGTCAAGCCTCGCATTATCCGTGCATAGGAGCTCCACACCTGTCGCCCAGGGCTCGATATCGTAGAGTTCTACAACCTCTACCTTCGGTATGCCCAGGGCACGAACCAAGGTCGTGAAGACACCTTACGCAAGTCAGGACGTCGTAAAAGGCCGCTAGGACCCGAGCCACTTGCCAGGATCGGATTCCAAGACAGCAAAGGGTTCCCCAATCAAGTCTTGAGTCGAGTCGTAGTCGTCACTGAGACAATCCTTTTGGCTGGCGATAATTGGCGAGGCCATGTCCATATCGTCGCGAATGACCCGCGGCTGGTCACGGCAAGTTTCTGCGTGGGGGTTTACGTAAACCTATTTACGCGCGCGTGATGTTGCTTCTTTTTCCTGCGCGTCGGTCACTGAGAGTCTCAGTGAGAGATATTTCTTCATGGCGCAAGAGCGGTTGTATCCGTATGAAATATACATGCAGCCCGGAGACTTAAAGCCTTCATATTACGTATCTTACTGCAAGAAGGAGAGCTCCCTCCGTAGTTGGTATCGATATCACACGACTCTTTACCTGGTAACTACCTCGAGTGTAAGTAGGTAAAAAACCGGTCGTATGGTATGCTCAGATCGGGTAATGTGTTGAGACTGTGTAAATTTTTCACATCGTAGTACCTACCACAGAGCCACATATGTGATACTTACTGCCATAGGTTTGATGTTCTCCGTATGGAATTGAACTCCTTACATGTGGGTGATGGTGATACTGATTGCTTTGTGGGGCATGTTGTCGGTCAGAAGTGCGCCACGACGAACATGAGGCGGCTTGTTTTCATCAAGAAGTGTAGTATACTATGATCGCGGCGACCGTACAACCACGGGTTAACGACTGGCGAGGTGATAGTGTCCAGTAGCTAGCCGCTGCAGAATCACACCATGGCAAGTGGCATCGCAAAGTGTTAGTACTCAGTACTCAGGGAGCAAGCAACCCTCGCCGAACGTATGGCGGCGTGACACTGCGTTGTGATTGATATTATAATCTGATTCAATGCCCACATATGCCAGCTACATCTGTCCTCAATGGTTCATCTTCATGACAATGGAACTGCCCCAGGGCTCATCAGCAGCGCGATATTGATGGAACGATTCGATGGGCCCGTCTTCTCTGTCGGTGGCGAAGGAAGGCAATAAGCTGTATCCGCACGCGCTCAAGCGGGAAGGGCCTAGGATTGGGCATTAATTGGCACTGTACTCTCACAGAAGCACCGTATTATTAGACAACATGGGAATGTACGCCATCACATCAATCGTGACGGCATCACAAAGATATCGGAGTAAAGGGGGCGCAGCCCACAAACCCAATATTCAGGCGCTGAGATGACGGGCTCTAAAGCAGTCGCGCAGAGCGCAGCGAGTGACTGCGTTGTGATGCGTAATCAGATACATTGATGCAGTTTCGGTACTGGTGAGAGAAATGCTTCAGCAAGGAGCCAGGATACATCAGGAGATAGCTGCGATGCCGAAGAAGGGACAGAAACTCATGTATGTACAACGAAGATGCGCGCAGGGGTAGTTCGAAGCAGGACAGACAGCGGGCGGAGTACGTGAACCGGGACAGCCTGCGCCAGGTCGTCCCTCCCGCACCAACAAGAACAGAGGGCAAATCGAGCGGTGAGAAGCGAGGGACACGTGCGGGACAGCAGCAGCAGGTGGGCACGGTCAACCTCCACGAGCCGCTGGCTCGAATAAATAAGAGGTCAACATCTCATTTCAAGCAGTGACGGCTTGCTCCGAAGGTCGTGGAGGTGACTGGCGGTTTCCCATGACGGACTTTTTAGAGGTCGACGTCGGCTTTGAATGCTGAGGAGAACGAGTAGTGGCGGGGGACTTGTTTCCATCCCGCGGGCTTTCTCGGCCATGTCCATCAGCCGCATCGAGCTTCGATGCACTCTCGATAGCGCCGGGCGAGTTGAGCCAAGTCTTGATAGCTGGGAGATCGCGTTGCTCCGCCAGACTCTGAGCCGACTTTTGGTCGGTGATTGGTGGCAATGACGGCAGGTTGGGTGAGAGTGGGCGGGTAGCCGTCGAGGATGCGTTCGGTGGCAGGCCATAATTCGAGATGGACGGCAGCTGAGGAGGTGGGGGCGGGGGGCTTTTGTTTGCCTTGACAGCAGACGAAGCAAGTGGACCTCGCTTGTGTGGAAATTGATCTGGACGGGGACGGGAGTGCGTCCGCTCAAATAGCCCGCACTTGTTGCATAACTAACACATAGCAGCGTGAGGCGGGGCAAGGACCGAGAACAGGTTTGCACTGACCACTTTGCCAGGGTTAAGGCTCGAGCGACGCCAGGTCGAGGTATCGGTGGTGCAGCAGTTGAAGCACCTCCTTCGTACCCGGTCGCTCAGTTTCGTGGCGGCATCGTCGGTGTGGACGATGTCTTGCGGTGGATGATGCGTGTAGCCCTGGCCAGATCCGTACGTTGGCGGTCCCTGATGATGGACCGCGTAATGGCGCGCACCAGGCGGCGGATAATGTCCCGGATGAGGATACTGGATGGAAGGATGAAATTGATGCGGCGGCGCGGGGTAGGCGTACGACGGCGATGCGCCGTAGTGTCCACGAGCATCGTAGGGACGCCAATTGCTCCGATCGTCCTGCGGGTACTGCGGGGTGTGCGAGTACGGGAGCGGGTGTGGCTGAGCAGCCGGAGAACGTGTCTGGGGAGCCGACGAGTCTATAGACGAGACGGACGGCGCGGGCGAGGCAGACAGAGTGGCCACCGGAGGTGCAGACGGAATCCGTTCTACGACGTCACGTGGTTGGCGGTCATCGTAAGGCCTTGAGAGCGATCAGACGGGTGTTCAAGACGCGCAAAACAATCGCGACGGACCTCTGGCTGTCTGAGGAGTCGCTGCGACGGAGCTCGGGGGGCGTCGGGGCGCCGTTTGCGGGTGGCATGTCGCGATAAGGGTAGGGCGGGGCGCCTGATGCTGTGGGGAAACCCATGTCAGTACTCGGTAGTGCTCGGGGTCGTGAGGAGAAGGCGACCTGGCATGGGCAGCGGAGGGATGGCTTGCGGAAGCCAGGTATAAGGGGGATCCGGAGCAGAGCTGTATCCGTGTACTCTGACGAGTAATCAGTTCGGAATGTATGGCGAAGAAGGGAAGCATGCGCACGGGCTGCTTACCTGTGTAGCATCCCTGTTCCCAGCCTTCCGCCAGTGCAAGGCACTGCGCACACCGACGCCGTCTGTTCTCGTTGGACCGGGAGAGACGACGTGTGCTGGTCGTGCTCGTCGCCGCCACCGCCGATGGTGCTCGGCGTGCTCGACTGGCGGCGGGGATTGGTGTCGCCGGACGCGGTGGAGGCGCATTCGGGCTCCGACGGATTTCTGGCCCCGCGAAATTCATTGACGCCGGTGATTGGGTTTGATAACCAGCGTCGGGGTCTGGATGGGACTGATCGCGCGCATCCGACCCACGCTGTGCATGTGGGCGCCCGGCACACCGACTCGCCCGTGCAACTTGCGTGGAACGTTCCGTCCCTCTTGATCGTGAGCTTATCAGAAATCCATACCCCGCCAGCGTCTCGTCTGATTGATCTGAGATGCCGGTCATCTCTCAACTTGATAGCCATGCGAAGATCCCTGCCGTCGACCCCCGCGCCTCTTCCGGCGAGAGGCCGGGATGTACATACGTCCGGGCGGGGGAACCGTCAATCGCCATTGGGCCGTCTTGCGCAACTCTCGCGTGCATCCGGATCAACGCCATCGTCGCCCGCCCCCGATCACCGAACATGCTGCGTTCGTTATCCGTGCGGGGTTGTCCTTCATCTTCTTCCATCTTCACACCGGCGCGATTTTTAGGTGGCCACCGCCATGAACCTCGTTTCCTTCCCCAGCGGGTGCCATTTTCGGAGATCCTGTCGTCCCTCACCGCCCGTGTTCTGATCAGATCCCGGCCCAACGAAGGCCGTCGTCGTTCCAAATCCATTTGCTGCCCATACCTTCCTGCACTGCACATGGAGGAATCGTCTCGGCACGGTCGAGGCACCACTGCGATATCGTGATCACACCAACGCTCCACTCAAACGACGCGCGATCGTCGAGTCAATCACGCGGAACTGCGATATCTCCTGCTATCTTCGCAGTCCATTCTCCCTCGTACCTTTGCTCTCCGATCATGATGACTGCAGGCGCCACTGCGACCGCCATGATCGCGGCCTCAAACCTGGGATCTCACGCTGCACAGGCATCCGGTGTCTTCACCACCTTGCCCGCTGCCTAGAAGGTCGTGTCGGCCGACGAAGCAGCCGCCGTGTACGGAACTATGCATCAGCATGTTACTTCGACTGCCGTGATCGTTATCCCAACTTTGGCCGTACTGAATCCCGCCCGTAAGCTCGTAGACACTGCGGGGCGCTGCCTCACACCTTCGAGAATACCTCTCTTCTCTCTGTTCCAATCACCATCGAGCCTTCAAACCCACGCTCGGGCTTGCCGGCGTTGAACTGTTACCATTACAATCGCTATCGCCGCCAGCGAGTGCCATACTTCAGGCTTCCCAAAACGTGACTTGCTATATGTGCCTCTTCGGAACACTCCCATGCCAGTAGCACGCTCCCATATCGCCATCACGGTTTGCTGCATTACAAGCCGTAGCCGTTTATTCCGATGCCTCACCTCCACAGGCTTGTCGCGAGTGCGGACCGTCTTGAAGCCGTGAGGTAGGCCTCCCCTGCCAACATATATGCGTTGTGGTCATCATCCAATCAGCTCAGCGCGGGTGAAAGGATCAGGATCATGGGTATGCTGATAGAAGGAGAGCTGCCATGGCCAATGATTGAGTAAGATTGGCTCGGTATCGTCGTCGTCCGATCTGATGACCATCCCTCAGGCCCTTCCGGGTTCCTCGCGAATGCCTTTGAATCTAGGAACGGGGAGGATACATGCCATTCAGATGCCTTGATGGAGTGACAGCTTGTATTATCAATGCATCTTAGTTTGTGGACTATATCACTACGCATTCCAAAGAAGCAAACGGGCATCGTGCTGTAGCCCAGCTTGACGGCTCCTGATCATGTGACGTATTTTCCAATGTTCACTGTTGTGGCTGTTGTAAGTTACCAGGGTGCGCTGGCCGTGACTTAACCTTTTTCATTTGTTACTAACTTCCTGGTCAAGCGAGGGATCGGCCGCGCAGCAAGCGCGGCCTTTTCCCAGTACATTACATAAGTATACGGCGACAAGGACCAACGTGCTGTACACGCGACACCTTTGGTTGCGGAGGTCGTGCTAACCGCGCGCGGCGCAACGCTGCTGCCTTGAACATTCACCCAAGCTCTTCTTCTATCGCAACACTTGAGGGGTCTAACACTTCAAGGGTACGTCGTGTTGGAAAGTTAGATGTCAGGAGCTATTAACCTTCGCTCATGACATAGGTTAATGAATTCTCTCGATGGAGACTGGTCCCATGTTCAAAAGCTTCGGCAGTCGTCGCGAAGCCCGGAGTATGAGACTGCATCAGTTAGTGGGCAGAGATGACAATATTTGTGAAGCCAAGTGACGTGACTCTTGCAGGAATGCCAAGCTTTCGATGACCTTGTTAATGCAATGGACCTCGATCAACTCTCGCATGGGAAAACAACTCCGTCGGAACGCGAGTATGATCCATTCCGACTGTTGCGTGAGTGGCGCTAAACAAGTTCCTTCGGAAATGCACTTTCACACCACCCAATCAGGTGCACCATGGTCCTCTGATCGTGAGTCATGATACACGGCCTAAGGTGATTGTGGTCACAGATAGGCAATTGTTCTCCATCGGTAGTACCGTCGAGCGCACCCGAAGCGTCCATCTCGCTGTCATCCGAACAGCGACAAGTTTTGGAACGTGTCAAGAACGGCGAGAGCATCTTCGTAACTGGATCCGCTGGTTCTATCAGTTCCCTTCCGAGCTACGTAGACGACTGACATCTCCTCAGGGACAGGGAAATCTGTTCTTCTCCGTGCAATAATTGATTTTTTTCGCGAGGACACCAAACCCGAGAACAAGAAACTCGGGGACGTCGCTGTAACAGCCACAACAGGCATCGCGAGCGTTTCCATCGGCGGTGCGACCATATATTCCTTCGCAGGAATTGGCGTTGGGAAGGGACGTCTTGACGATCTCGTCAATAAGGTCAAGAGGAACAAGAACAGTGTCGAACGATGGCAAAGAACCCGAGCATTGATCATCGACGAAAGTAAGCTTGCTTCAGCGCAAGCTCATCAATCGCTGACTGTCCCAGTCAGCATGCTCGATGCCGAGATGTTCGATCGATTGGTGAGAGCTTGATATACAATTGGTATTTGTGCCATGTTCACACAAACTGCAGGAATACGTTGCGTGGCAAGTCCTATATCCCAACCTCCCACGCTACCAGAAACCTTTCGGTGGAGTTCAGGCTAGTAGATCATATGAGGGCATAGAAGTTGGCTCATCTCTTCTTCAGTTGATTGTGACAGGCGACTTCTTTCAGCTGCCGCCGGTTCCTGACAAGAACAATCGTGGTCTCCCCATACCCCCGAAATATGCGTTTGAAGCAGCGAGTTGGTGTCATTGCGTTGGTAGGCCTTTCTTGCTGAAACAAGTCTTCCGTCAGAAGGATCCTGGTAAGCTATGGGCATAGTTCCTGCATCAGAGTACTCATCCCGTCAGGATTCATTACCATCCTTAACCAGCTCCGTGTTGGCAACGTCAGTGAACAAGCGGTGGATCGCATGAATGGGTTGGCCCTGCCGCCCTGGCGAGATGAAGATTTGGGACCTACTACGCTGTACGATATTCTCCTTCATCAAGCAAAGCGAATCAGATACCACTTGTCTGCAGGTTCCCTACCAATAAAGAAGTCGACCGCCTCAACTTAGCCAAATTGGCCCAACTGATTGGGGAAACGCAGATATACATCAGTCGTGACTTCCGTGGCCATGATCACCAGGGTGCACTCGTCACGGTGCCATGGGCTAAGCAACGGTTCAATGATCTACTAGTTCCGCACAAACTGACCTGCAAGGTGTGGACAAGTTTTGTATTTCAATAGCATCCTGGGCTAAGTAATCTCCCAGATCGGTGCCCAAGTCATGTTAGTGCGGGTACGCTGCTCTCGTGATGGTACGGAAGTCCCATTGCCACTAATCCCTAGTCATAAAGAACGTTTTGCAGGGTGTCCTGGTCAATGGAACCCGTGGAAGTATATTAGATTTCGTCACCGTTTCAGAGGCACGTGAACGAGGCATGGAGAGAGCTAGCCAGCTCTTTATTCAAAGGCTGGACCCTACCAGCGTCATCATATACCCCGATATCAAACCTTCGTCGGAAGGCAGGAACGGTACCCCCGAGCCGGTAGCCGAACCGCTGTCTGACGAATTGGAACCTGAGAGGCACGAATTTGGAAGGTCCCAACGATGGCCTTTGGTTCTTTTCGAGAACGGCGTCAAGATGCTTGCTGTTGCAGTCGAATTTCAGTGCGTAGGTCATTATGGGAACATTGAGGCGCGAAGGGTGCAAGTATGAGAGGCAGTCAAGTGTGATGTGACTTTTTCTCTCATGATATTTCATTCAGGTTCCACTCATACTCTCTTGGGCCTTGACCATACACAAATCACAAGGACAGACATTGAGTAGAGTGAAAGTCGACCTGGGCCGTACTTTTGCCCCTGGACAAGGTGAATCTTGCGGGTACATCTACCGTGACGAAGACTGAAGCGTAAAAGCATATGTCGCGTTGTCCCGAGCAACCAGCATGGATGGCTTGCAGGTGGTGAATTTCAATCCCAAAAAGTACGCACTTGAATTCTGTCACGACGATGCATTCCGAAGTACTGTTTCAGGATAACCGCTGCCACTCGTGTGATCGAATGGACGAGGTCGTGGATGGATGAAAACGAACTGTTCGCCACCTATGGCAAGACGCGGGGCGACCAGCGTGATCAAGACAAGGGATGCTAGTCCGACCGCATTTGAGTGACCATCTTGCGTTCGTCTAACCGTCATGAGAGTTTTTTACAAAACTGTATTTGTCGTGAACTTGTATATATTGTTGAAAGAACAACGTTATTCTCCACACGCCAACCCGAAACCGAGTCAGCGGGACTTGTGCTTCTTCACAGGGGTCGTCGCCACGAGGGTCGTCCCGGCGAATTGCTCTTTACGGGCTCCGGTAGATGATCGAGGCTCGGTAACGGCCTTATCTGCATGTCGAGAAGCAGATCTCTTATCCTTGTCCTTGAAAACCCGAGTCATGCTGACTTCACGACTAAACGCCCGTTTCTTTTCAGGCGGACCCGTGCTGGCAGCACGATCTTGCGCGAGGGTGACAGAAAGGGACCGTGATCGCGTGGTCGACGAAGCGCCGCTCAACCGAGAAGACCTCAGCGGTAGTCTGTCGTTGCGGGGAGGTGCATCGCGCTTGGTGGGGTTAGGGGACGTCTGCCTCGACGAGGTCCAGTGTTGCTGTTCATCTAGCGGTGTCTGCCCACTGTTAGCGGCCGAAGGAGAGTCACCGTCGTCAATAATACTGTCTGGTTCGTCATCCACGAAAGGCGAGTGCGAATACACTTTGCTTCGCAGAAGGGCGCAAAGGTGTGGGAGGTGGCGCCCGAATCTGGGTACCCATCATCAACGCTGAAGACAATAGGAAAGATGCGCTAACATACAAAGGGTCTACCACGTCTTCCGCGAACATTTGCTGCCAGTCCCTTGGACGATCCTGTCCGGCTGACTCGGGTACGTGGTTCTTCTCACTTGTCATTGAAGCAACAAGCTGCCAAACGGATAGCTTGTCCATGAAAGACTCCAATCTACCTTCCAGTAACGAGGCTATCTCATTCTGTTCGAAAACTTCATTTGTCTGCTTGCGCTTCTTCATACGCGTCTCGGTGGACGCTTGCGCCTTCGTAATGGTTGGGAAAGGCCCAGGAAGTGACAGTTTCAGCATGTACAGGAGAATCTGCAACTGAACCCTGCCGTCCGTTGAGCGTGTACCTTGTGCAGATATAGTTACTTACTCGCGTCGCTCCAGGCGCTCAAGCCAATCCTTGCATGAGGCCGGGTCTGTCACGCCGGGTTCTCTCGTCTTGCTGCTATCTCCCATTTTCTCGTACGCGAAGACGTACCACATCATGGTTTCCTCCACTTCACCCGCGCCGCCTCCTTCTGCCAGTATCTGCGGCAGCTCCTGCTGATACTTGAGGGCGGCGTCTCGTGTGCTCATTAGCAGTGGCTCCAGCAATTCGTGGAGGGGGTGGGGCTGATGATACGACGTCGATGGTATCTCTGGAACGACGCGTAGCAAGGAAGGGATTATCGACCTCAGCGGCATAAGAGACTTCGCTGTCATGAGTGAACGATGAATGACATTAGGTTGCGGTCGCGTACCTCTGGTAGCCATAAGTACTGGAGGTAAGTGCGGATGACATACTGCCCGATGTCTTCATGCCCAATTTCGCTGAAGGGATAATCGGTTCGCATAACTCGCGCTTGTGTAGTAGACCATGTTATAGGTAAGTTTGTGACGAGCGAATACGCCGGCGTCAAAAGCATCGCGGAGTGGTCTGGCAGTCTCCCGCTGCACAGATGAGACACTTGAGTTCGGTTGAGCTGGCACCGCCACACGCCTGCGCGCGGAAGAGTGCGGCGGCTCGGTGCACTCCTCTTAGTCATGCGCCGCCCTGTCCTCTGTTCGATTCCATATCTAACGAGGACTTCAGCTTCAATCGTTTCATAACAATTCCGACAAGCTTGATGTAAAGTGGGAGACTCGAAGGGGGGGGGATACGCGCGCTGTGCTTTTTGTCTCTTTTGTTCGCGGACTCCTCGGCAGTGGCCTCTCCTCCATTCTGGTCCCCTCGATCGCGGGCCGTCTTTTATTGTTGGGGCTGGTATATAAACTCGGTGCAGTACCAGTTCAAGAATGACATTTCCCGCCCTTTTGTACTCCCGCGACGAGCGACTGCCCCGAGATCAACTGCCCAGGCTCTGCGACACAATCACGTCTAGCTCGGTTACTTGGAAGCGCACTATTTTCGCCCCAAGAACACGTCGGCCGGACGAGCTTTGTATACGTTCTACCAGGTCTCAATACCATGAGGATGTCCTACATTGTCCTCCCTGCTCGCCATATTGAGATTCCCGCTTCCGCTCGTGATAAGCCGCTTCCGCCGCTCCCGCAAGGTGAAGAGAGCCAACCAACCTCGTGAGTCCGAGATCAGTACTTCATGCTCGGGATAGTCACAGTTGGACCCTCAGTGCTTCTTCCTGGCGGACCCACGTCAATCACCCCCTTTCAAGCTGGTCATCTTGCCTCACGTCCTCCCCACCTCGCCATGACTCATCCGACGGAAAGCTGTCAGACGTTCGATATTCCTCCCCAACTCCCGACCTCTCCTCGCGCCGTCTCGATACGCCTCATGGATTGGTTGACTTATCCTTCGTCTGTACCGATGTCGATGAAGATGGGACCGCCATTATCTGCGTGTCGCCACCAGAGTTGGATCACTCTCATGGGCACCCCACAGTTCCTGGCCCACAGGCAAAAGGGCCGCACCACTCCTCATCGAAACGTAGCGGGCAGCAAATCCATTCTTGTAGTGGCAGGCCTTCCAAGTTCACACAGCGACGGCGTATATTGAAGGAAAGGTCTAAAACGTTCATTAAGGTTCTGTTTTCAGCACCTTCGCCTTATCCCGAAGGCTCATCCGGACGGAGTATCGTTGACCGAGACTACTATGAACTACGTCCAGCAGAGACGGGTACCGCGCTCTGGTCGCCATAATTCAACCCTTTGCATTGCGTTATATACTGTGTATTGTGTCAATGGCCCCCCGTACTTCTGATTATTTCCGGATCGTAGCTATACTGATAATTGTTATGATACAAGTCAATGCGCGATTGTGTGGCTGAAGAGGCGCTCAAGTGGGAAATTATTTGAAGCCGCATATCCTGGCGATGCTTCACGTATCGTCTCCGCTGTCGCTGAAGTCGTAATCCTGACTTCTGAACTGCACCCGTCGCATGCGCTCAGGTGTCACTGGCACTACGTCTGGCTTCTCACCCATATCCACGTCCACCATGCCCGCACCTGATTCTACGCCATCCAGAAAGTCTAAGCAACCGGGCATGCAACCCCTCCATAGCAGCGGAACTTCCTCCGGAAGGCTGATCCCTGCGACGTCCCGAGTCCAGATTAGCTTTTGCTCCGCAGGGTGAGCAAAAACTGACGTCTGTTGACGATGTCTGGGTGAAGGACATACGCCTATCCCTGTCACGTCCGTACTGACCGTCGGTGGCTGCTTGTCCAAGAACGCGGGGGCGGGTCGGGACACGGATCCGGGGGCGCAGGCTGAAAGAATTTCGACCAGGGACTGGGGGTAGCGACCTTCAGGCAATGGTAATTGGAATGTGTCCGACAGCATCGTGCCCCCAGAGGTTTGCAACGAAGGTGTCAAGAGCGCTCTGAGGCATAACTCAGTGAGACTGGGGAATGCTACGAGACACGGGGCCGGATCCTGCAGTTGTGGACGGAATGGGTTTGACACGACGTTTAGCAATGCCAATTGCATTCCCAGTAGCTCTGACGGAAGGTACTCCAATTTATTGTAGGAAATATTCAGATCCCGTAGGTTCACGAGCTTGGCGATCTCCGGTGGTAGCTTGATCAATGAGTTATGATCTACAAAACAAAAAATGAGTGCATTTCGATGAAACAGAGGCCACAATAGCATACGCAGAGACAAGACAGTAAGATTTCTCAGTTCGAACAGCTCTTTTGGTAACATGGTGATGCTGTTATGTGGAAGGAAAAGCCGAATTTGTTGCTGATCGGGCCCTGGGGGTGATCGACGAAAGAGACTACGGTCAGAACCGGTCCTGATGGTATTGCTAGCGGATGAGCCAGGGAATGCGGGCATTGTAACGCTGCGACCTAGTTGCCTCTGTTGTGTTTCGACCCAGCGTAGGGACACATTATCGCCTTGTTGTCTAGTAAGCACGACCATTTTGCCAAGATCCTCAATCGACGCCGGAATAAATGTTAGTGCATGATGCCTTCCGCCCGCCGTTCAGCATGCATTGCCATCCGAGTGTGAAGCATAACGTACGAGAGGTCGAGAATAGTCACCAATTTGCCATCGTCCACAGCTTGCGTGATGGCTTGGTCCCAAGAAACACGGGGCTCCAAAGACGAGGTGCTGTCAGTCCGCATCCGCTGCCGCTGCAGTTTCACTGGAGAGCCGCGAGCTTCTGCATCCGTGTCGCCCTCTGTGCCGAAGACGCGCTTAAGAGAAGATCGCAGGGCCGGTGGCGAGAGCCCGTATGACGGCGAGGTGCTGGCGGAAGGAGGGTATCTCCTTTCATATTGCGGTGGACGACGTGTGGCCTTCGCCGCACCAGAGAATGGGTCGATGATCGGGCTGTGAGGCGGCGAATTGAGGACATAGGTCGGTTGGATAGATGGCGACTCGGGAGGCGACGAGTCCACCGGACCGAGTGAAGGCGACGATGGAGGCGACGAGTCCTCTGCCATGGACGGGGAGGATGAACGCGAGGAGAAGCTCATGCTCTCGACTTGCTGTAGTGATGTGTATTGTGTATAGAAAGAGAAATATGGCACGCTCGTTTACGTGCAGACGCGACCAGGTCAGCTGACCACGTGTCTTGCCGCGGCATCGCTATGGTACACATTAGAAGAGATAGTGGGTGCTATGTAACTCATGCCTGAGCCAGGGGCGTATCTGCATGATGCTCTTCATGAGGCCTCCTCCGGATTGACCTCGTCCTCTTTCGCAGGTGACGGAGGCGCGCTACTGCCAAGCGTCGGAGTCCCGCCACCGGTAAACATAGCCTTCAATGCCATGTCGTTCCGCTTCTGTCTCAACCGTTCCGTCTCCTCCGCACCCCCAGTCATCTTCAACTTCTTCCCCTGCACGAAGCCGGTCAACTCTTCCTGGAACTCGTCCGAACGACTTGAGAGCTCCTTCTCCCGATTCTTCTGGTTAGCGGCGATAGCTTTCATCCTCCGTTCCGGGTCAACAGCTGCGCTGCGTATCTCCATCATGACGGAGGTCAAACCACCACCACCTTCCTCGGGAGGTGGGGGAGGACGGTAACCTCGCGCCTTTCCTCCTCGCCCGCTGGTACTGTTGCCTCGAACGGAGAGGACTTTCTCGACGTGGCCCCACACCTCCGTCACCGCCTTGTGGTCCTCGAGCAGGTCGCCCATGAACTCTTCCTGGTGATGTAAAAACTGCTGTTCCTCGACGATGTTCTGTAGTTCCTCTTCCCAAGTCTTCTTCCACATTGGCTTGACGGTCTTGATATGTTCTTCGAGGCTAGAGAGCTCGGTCGCCACGGCCTCCATGTCCTCCTTGATGTTCTTCAGTAAACCAGGCTTGGGGCGAACGTTCTTCTTGAGAACATCGTCCTTCACGCTCTCCACCAGATCCTGCAGCTCCTCCATCTTCGTGAGTACCGTCTGGCTACGCTGATCGAGATTCGCCTTGCCCGAGTCGATATACGCACGCGCGCCACCGACCTTGGCTGATGCGAGCTGGCGCACGTTCTGTGTTTGTGCTCGGAGATGGCCAAGAGAATCTTTGGTCTGCTTGATGAAATCGGTATAGACCTGGCGCATAACGCCCAGATCTCGACGCAGGTTTTGAACCTCGTCGAACTGCGTTCGCAGGTCAGACACAATACGTGTCGCATTCTCGGAAAGGACGGAGACGCCTGTCATCTGAGGCACGAGAGCGGCTGTGAATTGGGAAGAAACAGGGGCTGCAGAAGACGATGCAGACTCCTCATCGACTATACGCGACAAGCGACGAGCAACGTGTGCCAGTTGCCGGTCTGTTGGTCTCGTTGGTCCCGGAGTAGACGCATCGAACGCCTGGCCGACGATGGGTGGTAGTGCAGAGGACATTCTTCGATTGTTTGATACGCTCGACTTGAGATCCTTGATGTCTTGCGCCAAGCTGGCAATCTGTGTATCAATATGTTGCTTGATCTGGTCGAGAGCTATCAGAGGGTAGATCAGGATGGAGAAACGAAGGTCGTTATCGATGGGAAAACGTACGTTCGATGTTGAGCGAGAGCAGACACCGATCCTTGACCTCGTCCATATCCTCCAACTCGTACTGTACACCGCTCGATGGATCACGAATGTATATAGCCGGAAAATCTCCTTGCCCAGGGCTATAGGCGAACTTGTCGACGAAAAGCATCCTCAGAGAAGAAAAAGAACACCCATGGTCCATGGTAACCTTCTTGACGTCTCGACCTACTTGGAGGAAGACAGTCAAATGCGAAGATGTACTTGATGATGGCGGAGGAGTCAGCGTCGACGGCCCAACGGAAGTCTGCGGGGGTCCAGTGATGCTCATTCCGTTGGGCAACAGGGAGGGCTCTGCGGTTGCCTCTGGTGCAGGAGATGGGTCGACGACCGATGGAGGCTTAGGCAACGGAGGCACCGGCGGCGCGTCCGGTGAATGTCCCCGAGAGCGACTTTGAGATGTGTCCTTCTTCGGCGTAACCTCCTCACCCTCATCGGCCTCGGTGAGTACAGCGAGCTCCCCGGGAGTAAGGGCGTTGGATGCAGCAGCCATCGAGCGACGGTTCCCTTGGCCTGGACTGCGTATTGACCCGCCTGTCATCTTCGATATATTGTACATGGAGAACCGTTTTGACGCCCGTCGTTCCAAAGTGTCGCTTTTCTTCAGAGCGGCGAGAGAACTAGCCATGGCAGGGATTTGTTGAGGTCCCTCGGCGGAAGGAGTCTCTGGAGGAGGTGATATTGAAATCGGGGGTTCATCGCTGGGCGACTCCACGACTACAACGGCCGGCGGAGTGCTTGGCTTATCGACCAATGAGTATCGCTTGACATGAGCAGGGGCTTGTTGTATAGGTGGCGGAGGTGGCGGCAGTTGCGAGCTGTCCGCTGTAGGCGTTCGAGACGGTGCCCCGTTACTTGCGCTGGACATGCTCCGGGTATGAGGTGTGCCATCACCCGGGGGATCAGAACGCACACTGAAGTAGCTGTCACTTCGAGGCGGGGGATGCTGTGGTATGCCCGATGGAGAAGGGTTCACGAACCCCCCAACAAACGGTTCGTCATCGGCCTCTCTAGAAGGCATGGGAGCTCCTTCCGAGTCCTTGCGACGACTTCGCGTTGATGCCGTACTCCTACGCATAGTACCCTCTTCGGTCGCTGTCCGGCTACGCGTGGGGAATGGCCCGTCCACACCGCGAGATGATCGTTCAGTGGCGCGAGATGATCGTTCAGTGGCGCGAGACGACCTGCTGTCCGTGCGGTCATGTCCCGACGATGCGGAAGAACGATGGCGATGTTCTGATATATTCTTGCGATACAGCGACTGCTTGTTGCGCAACCCCTGGAGGAGACGAGTGATGATTTGCCGGACAGTAGGCAGGTATTTGTCAAGATTCTTCGGCGTCGCTTCCTCAGAAAGACACTCTTCAAGTACAGTGCGAAGGTCATCCGGGACAGTGATCAATTCGCTGCATTGATGATTGGAAAAGGAACATGTTTGTGCCAGGTGCTAGACTCACCTCATGTCGATGTCATAAACACCGAACGCAGACACGGCCGCGTTGAAGTCGTTTCCCAGCCGTACATATACATCGCTAACTTCAGATTCCGACTTCTCTAAATTGCTCCATAGAGTGAGGTACTCGAGGAGGCTCTTGATGGAGACCAGTAAACGCGTCACCGCCGATTCAACTGCTGGTTGCTGGGTCTTGTAAGGGCGCGTAACGGGGGACGAACGATAGACTTATGCTCACATTACCCCTTGTACGCGTGCCACGATCATTTCTAGCCGTCGACGACGACGCAGAGTACGAGGAGGAGACGGACTGGTTGTCCCGACGAGATACATGTCCTTGCTGATATGGCTGACTGGGCGGCGATCCCGGGGTTCTTGGTGAAGACATGGCGAGACGGAAAGGAGGGCTGGTGGATATTCAAAGGGATGGTCAAGCCACAGTAAATGGGCCGGAGTATGCAAGAGGCCCTAGGTATAGGTTGAGAACCTGAGGGCGCGCGTGCAGCAGGTGCAGCGAGCATCAACAACAGGTCCACACAGACATATCCGCTGCCGAGGGCCGTGGCCTGCTCCTTACCTGCTGCGACAGCAACATCATGCTAACATCGCCTACTGCCTGTGCTGCTCTGCATTCAAACTGCCTTGCATGGTTGATCCTTAACTACATGGTCTGGAAGAGGGTCGATCGTTCAGGGGGTATATGATAGGATGCACAGCTCTACTGCTGTTATTGAACACGAAAACGGCAAACACAACTGTGTTCGATAGCGATGTGCACAGCGAATTAAGTATGATTATTCGACACTCAGCATTCGACACGGATACTCTTCACCACCGCTGCGATCCGGCCTGGCACAACGTCCCATGCGATAGGACCCTTGCCCCACTCTGAGGTGCCTATGGGGTTGCTTGCATCCCAAATCCCAAGCTGTATTCTCGCCGGATGAGAAGGGAAGTGCAGGACCCCATTCTTTTGCGTATCATCTGTGAAGGGATGGTAGTACAGCCGCCGACAAGGTCAAGACGACGGATGGACACGTACCTCGGTTGATGGTCATGACATCCTTTCCGTCAACGCTCCAGACTATCTGTTCCGCGGTCCAGTCTACCGCGTAGCTGTGCATTTCTTCTATAGTCGAGGACCCGCCATCGGATGCTACACTTTGCACGCTGGAGAACACGCCATAGAGTTCGTCGTTGTGGTCCTCTGGTTGGGGCACGAATATATTTGTTTGGAAATTAGACGCATCGCCTCCCAGAAGTTCAATGTCGATTTCATCGTGAGCTGGGTCCGCTGAGATGCTCGTCAGAACTGGAGCACGAAATACAGTGGAGGTGGTAATACCAATGAGAATGACGGCGGTGACTACTCCCGGTATGGAAGGGGCGGCTAACTCAAATGTCACTTTGCCATGTCTATTTCTCAGGAGTCAGCCTTGCATGGGTGTCTCAGGGTTACGCAAAACCTACAGAAGAGTGAACGTCGAGTTAATGGTCGCGCCGTCGGCAACCTTGTCATTGATGCCGTCTGTCGTAGATATCTTTCCGGTCGGCCGGTCGAGGAAGAGCCGCAGGCCTTCCTCACCGGCAGAGAAAGATCCTTGCGGGCTGATGGCGACAAAGGGCGCGGAATCTGAGGCGGAGACCTCGGAGGATGTGAATACAGTGTGGAAAGGTGTGCAACCTGATCCTCTTGCTGATGGCACGCTCGCCGCATATGCGATGTAAACGAGGGTAGCGATGAAAAGTGACTTAAACATGCTGAGAGAGGGGCCAAGGTCGAACGTCGAACGTCGAACCTGGTTGAGGACCGTACAGTCATAACGCCTGGAGATGTGCTGACAGCTGTCATCCGCTGCACCGGAGTGGATAATGATATTAGGAACAATGTATAACATGGTCAAGGTCTAGGACGAGGCTGAGCCTGAGGAGGAGGAGGGCTTTGGGATGTCGATCAAGACCGGACGACCAATCGACCGCTGATGAAGCATAGATTCCTTCACCGCCGCCAGCGCTGACTCCCGTTGCTTTCTCGCCTCCATCACCTGCCTCAAGATGTTGCCCCGCTTCGCCGTTGCCTCGCCTCTCCATTTCCAGTTTTTGCTGCCTTGCCTGGTCAGCCTCAGCAACTCGTACGCTCGCATCTCGTCCATCAATCCGGTCTGGAACTTCTGCTCGATCCACTGTTGACGCTCCTCACGCTCGGCTCCGCTCATGTCCTCCAGCGCATCCGGATAGTAGAACGGCTCCACGAGACCGACTACGGCACGCTTGTACGACCGGTAGGACAGCGGTTTCGTTCGTCCATGTCGAATTTGTTTGACAGGTGCAAAGTAGTTGTCTGTGCGGATGTACGTCGTTTGGACGCCGTAAACGGAGAGGAGGTATGATCGAATGTCGGCCTTGGTGATCGAGTGCGGGAGACGGAAGGTGGCCTCGTAGGGGTTGTAGGGCCGGCCCGGAGGTGTGAAGTTGCGGGTGAGCTTGAAGATGATGTTCGGCAGATAAACCTTCTGTCCGACAACTCGGTCACCCTTGACGCCCCGGATGCGATGGCGCCGGGCGTCGCGTTGCTGCAGCCAATCTTCCGCGCTGAGCTCTCTGCCGTCCTCCGTAACCGTCTCGCCCTTGGCATACGCGTCTTGGTACAGCTTGTGCTCTCGGAGAGTGAGACCTTCCGGAGTGGTTGTGTCGACCCAACCGTTGTCGACATCCCATTGCAGCGCAGACTTGAGCTTTCCATCGGGCTGTGAGCGAGGGCGGATGCGCTTGAGCCATACGGCGGTGGGGGAGGACGCGGACATGGCCGCACGCGCCGCCTCGGGCATTGTCGCGTACGCGCGGCGGGCGCATCGAGGGATGGTGTGCATGCTGCTTCTTGGCCAAGTTCGAGGAGAGCTGGCAAAGGCGAAAATGCGATTACATAATAGACGCGCCACGGTACCGGTGAACGCCATGTCTGCGAGCGAAATCCCTCCTCGTTAATACGCCGCGCCTCTCATGTCCTCCTGCGCACACTCGAGCCCGTAGTCGTCCACTGCATAGCAGCATATCCTAGTATTCTGCCTCCACACCACCGTTCCGACATCCGCTCATTGGTCGACGATGGCCAGGTCCATCCGGCAGCGTTTCCTGCCCGTCCTTCGTGCCATCCTCGCGCCCGCCTGCGCAATCATTGCCTTTTCGTGCCTTCTCACCTTTTTCTTCGTCCTCTACCAACCCACCCGGGGTCCGGAGGCAGTTCAACGACTTGGATGGCAGGCTTGGGCAGTGGTCTCCCCGCAAATAGCGGATCAGGTACCCCTCCCGAACGATGGATCATCCGCACCTCCGGTACAGGGTGACGTTGATTGGTGGAATGTTACCACGGAGGACTCATCGGTGGATACGGCCAACTTGCCGCTCGACATATGGGCACCACTCCTTCCCCACGACACTGGCTGTACGTAGGTTGCTATAATGAATTGATCCCCGGAACTGACCGTCCATGTGTAGTGACCGAGTTGTCGATTGAACGATGCCTAGTACCACCTGTGATGGCGTCCGGGAACATGTGCCAGCCACCTACTTCACCTGAGAAGGATGCGATCAAAGGAAAATGGGTTCGCGTAGAAGGCAATCTCAATGCTCAATCAGGAATGTGGTACCTCGTGAGTGATTTGCACGTCCTCTCGTTTGCCACAGCTGACCGAGCAGGCAGAATGTCTACTACCGCCGCACCAGGCGGCTAGACATACCCTTTGTTTCTCAGCTGCTGCTCCTCCCCGATAAACAGTCTCCTCCGGATATTGACGATACCTGGCACAAGGTCTCGCGCTCCATCAAGGACGGCGTCCCTGGTGCGAAGCCTCTTTATCTGTGGTACAAGCTCGGCAAGACCATGCGTGAGATGACGGCGGAGGATAAGGCCGGATTGATCACGGAGTTGGATGTTCTGTACGGAGAGGACGTACCATGGCCAGGCTTCGAGAAACTCGAACCGGCCAGCACGGAGGAACAAGCAGAGAGAACAAGCAGTGTTCACCTCACGTACCGACGAGGTGTGCAGCGTGAGTCGTTCACTGCATCCATCGCTCCTTTCCCCCTCACTCGTGTTGTCAGCGGTTCCCAAAGCGCTGCCTCTTCACTTCTCGCATGACGGCCGCTTCAAGATCCTACAGGTAGCCGATCTGCACTTCTCAGTTGCCCGGGGGAAATGTCGAGACACGGACCTCGTGCCATGCTCTAATTCAGACAACCTGACCTCAACTCTCATCGACCACGTTCTTGACGCGGAGAAGCCGGACCTAGTCGTATTCACAGGCGACCAGCTGAACGGCCAGGGTACGTCTTGGGATTCAAGAAGTGTTCTAGCCAAGTTTGCGAAGGCTGTAATCGCGAGGAAGATTCCTTGGGTACGTTATGCGATGATCATCTTGGGATTGACGGTCGAACAACATACTCCGCTCAGGCTGCAGTATTTGGCAATCACGACGATGAGACGGGTGGTTCGAAAGAATACCAGATAAAGCAGATGCAAGCGCTACCCTACAGTCTCGTTGAACCTGGCCCCAAAGATGTTCATGGCGTGGGCAACTATGTGTTGAAAGTCAAGAGCGCTGATCCGTCAGTGATTTTCTTTCGTCGTGAGCTGAAGCATACCCAAGCTACTTGCACAGGTCCATGATGCATTTACTTACTTTGTACTTCCTCGATTCTGGAGCATATTCCAAGGGATTTTACGATTGGTTTGGATGGTTTACTGGCACGGAATACGACTGGATTCATCGGGTAAGCTCATTAATGAATTCCTCGGCCCTATCAACTTATGATAACACCGCTGTAGGATCAAATTGATTGGTTTTTGCAGGAGTCAGGTAATCTCAGAGGAACTGTACTTTTAGCGGCAACTGACGGCCACATGCATACTCGCAGCATCGATCAAATCTATTGAAAGACCATTCACGCCAGATGGAGGCAAAGACTTCGGGGACATTTGGAGTCGCAGGCGGCGGGTCAGGTCCCTCCGCAAGGCAGGCGTCTAGCCAAACCAAATGCCCTGATGTTTTTCCATATTCCTCTGTACGTTATACTCCTTTTTCGACGGCACGATGAGTGGCCTCAACGTGCATTGATCACTCAATCGAATGCTCAGCCCTGAGGCTTACAACAAGGCCGATCTTGATTCGGATGGAAAATCTCTCGACGTTGGCATTCATGGACTAGAGGACAAAGGTTCTGCCAAGAAGAACGAGGGCTTTTTCGAGAAGGGTCTACTCCAAGCCCTGGAAAGCGAGCATAACGCTGGCGGGAATGCTCGAGAGGTGAAAGTTGTCGCGAACGGACATTGTCACAGTGAGCCTGACCTCATTTGAATGGCCTGAGGTATTCACCGCCTTGCAGTCACGGAGAACTGTAGGCGCGTTCGTGGAATATGGAACTGCTTTGGTGGAGGAGGGTAAGTTGTCGCGCCCATCATCATCGATTCGGCGGCACTGACCTGCATGTATTAGCTCGTACTCAGGATATGGCAAGATTGGGTGGATTGTTCTGCTCGTGGACGTTTGATGGCCGTACTCACTATATGCTTGCAGATTTGACCGTCGATTCCGCGTTTACGACATTTCGGCGTACGGGGAGAAGATCGAGACCTACAAGCGTACGGAGAACGACGAAATAATCGACCGGATGGTGCTTTCTGGACCTGGGGCACCCTCGACGTACGAGGGCACCAGGTAACGCGATAGCGTACGATAAACGTGTATTAGTAGTGTGTATTTCGGTATGTTTCTGGGAGAGAAACGACCGATCGCGAGCCATAAATGTCCTGCTGTTGGTACGTGTGAAAGGCGGCATCGTTCAATACCTCCGGGTGGTTTTTGTAGGGCGATGTGGGGCATTGTCCTTATTACATGGCTGCCGTCCTCGTTTCTATTGATTACTGTGCTCGGTAATTTTACATGAGTGATAAACGGGTTTAATAATGGTCCAAGCAGGCATCACCATGCCATTGGCGGGATCATAATCAGCAAGCAACTCGCAATTAACGCAAAGGAAGGAGTAGCGACAGGTGCGCTGCTCTGAACCTTATCCGATTTCGCCGAGGTGGTGGCTTCGACACTCGCCGCGATGGAACCGATGGTTGCGGAAGGCACAGAGTCGCTGACGGCGGCGAGAGCGGTATCCGACAATTCAGCGAAGCCAACCGAGGGTGGGTTGTATCGGAATACGGAGTAAACGTTTTTCTGCGTAAAGAATGAACAGAACGCCCCTGTGCTACCACCCGGAGGAACTCACAAGGAAAGTGTCTCCAACGATCCAGGATGGCGCGCTGCTCCCCGTATCGAGCGCAAAGAATGCGCCCAAACATGTGTTCTGGCTCAGCTGCGCCAGCCGGAAGTCCGCGGGATCGATAGCCCACAAGCGGCCACCAAACGACATCTGCACGGTGACGTCCGTGTCGCAGGGGTACATCCAGTATCCGGCGTAGTCACCGGTCCCAGCGACCGCGTCAGGGATCTGAGCAAAGATAGCAGCAATGGCATCCTCGGGGCCTCCTACGAGCGTCGTACCAGTGTCGATGGCTGAGTAGGACGATGATCCGGAGGGGAGCGTGACGGTATTGCCCTGGACTGTGATGTCGGTGAGGGGGAGAATCCAGTACGAGACCGCGCCGCTGGGGATCGATTGATACTCGATCTCGCCGGTGTAAAGGGAGGAGTTGGTGAACCCCATAGTGAACGACCCTCCTGGTTCCAGCGTCTGGGCTTTAGAATCGTTCAAGAAGCTATTGTACGAGGTCAGCCGCGCGAAGAGCAGGGAGGTTACATACGACTCACCGAGTAAGTTGGAAAGCCATGACGGGTTCGTCCCATAGACTATTCGCGGCGAGTTGTTGCCAGAACGGGGTGGCTCCTGACGAGGCAATAGTCTGCCATGCGAGGCCCATAAGGCCGGAAGCGGGTTTGTTGAGCAGACCAGATGACACCTCGTCACAGACGGCGAAGATCTGGTCAGACACAGAGAAACCGGCCATCTGTATCGTGTCTTGTGCGAGGGAACCAGCGGCCCTGCCGGAGCCATAGGTGATATCGAACGTGGTGGAGAGGTTTCGGAATGTGGATGAGGAGGTCGTATCAAATGTCGCAATTGACTCGCATCCGAGGAAACAGTTGGAATCGGCTAGCCAAAGGTCCGAGGAGCCAGTGTCGAGGATGACATTGTAGGACGTTGCTGGTGTGCCGACAGCTATGGTGCCATAGTAGCTGACCACGGGCGAGTGAGTCAAGCGGACGAACGCGAGCAGTGAAGCGCTGACCTGGAATCGGCGTTCTGGTTGACAAGGAGATTGGTGCCGGAGGCTCTCTTGCGATTCGAAGACGAGCCGCCGTACTTGACCTCAAGAGCAAGCTTGTGGTTCTTGGCCCATGTTCCCCAGTCGGTAGCAGAACGAACGGCATTCCTCCTGATGAGGGGTATTGACTGGCCAGCAGTACGAGTCCGGGAACGGGGTGCAGCAGAGATGGGATCGAGGAGGGAGAGCAGGAGAATGAGGGCGAGAGAGACGGGGAGAGAAGATACGAGCATCGGAATGAAAGACGAGGCAGCGCGAGGCGATCCGGCCGCGTTGGCTGAAGGCTGGCGGCTTTTGAGGTCGTGGGCTCCGGGCGGAAGGAGCGGAACGAGGAAGTTGGCTGGATGAGACCCGCACCAAGCCGCGAGCCAAGGCGCCCGCGCCCGCGGATGAGCAACGCGTTCTTGGCGCCATGGCGGCAGCCGCGTCTCCATCTTCCGTACGTGCCCAGCCAGTACAGTACCTCCACCGCGCCCTCGCCATTGCAGCAATATTAGTCCACCCTGGGCAAACCAGCATGCCGTAACCCGGCTGGGCATCCGTCTCGCAAATATCTTGGCCCCCGCTGAGCGCTGATCATCTGATCGTCTCACTCCAACCAGTGCATAAATGGCCCATTCCGCGTCCTGCGTCCAGCTGCCTCCAGGTGCCGTTCGGGTGGTCGATGCGGACGAAGAGGCACATCGTAGTCTCATCCTCGTCGCCGCGTCTTGTTAACCCAAGCAGCAGGTCTTCCTTCTCTACAGCGTCCTCGCAAGTCGGCCCCAAGCCGACGGATCGACAGCATTCCGCGGGCTTGGTTCTGTTGACTCTCGCCAAGATACTCTCAACGTTCATCTCGAATATGACGTCGCTACCGAGTCCGATGGGGTAGTCAGTGAATCTGCGACTTCTCGGAGAAAGTCAAGGAGAAAGGCAAAGTCTCAACCAGAAGGTTCGCGCATGGCGCTGGATATCGTGCTGGCTCAAGACAAGACCGCGCTGCGCAGCCGGAAAGGCGACACCGGTAGCGTCCTCTGGCGGGCGAGGTAAGGTTGAATCAACAACACCGTCCCGTTTCCGACTCCATGCTCTTCGTAGTGTCGATTTCGCGCAGTACGTTCTGCGTCAGCGCTACGGCCGCCCGGAAACTCCCTTGATAGACCCAGATAAATTGCAAGACTCCCATGTTCTGGAGCTAGGGTTTGTCGTCTGTTGTCCTGTACTGCACTCGCCGATATACTCAAGTGGATTTGTCAAGCGCGGGAACTGGCTTGCTCGCCCTCGCATTCGGTTCCCTCGTCCGTCACTACACCGTCACCGATATAGAGAGCTTGATGGACCTCATCCGCAAAAATCTTATGCTGAACTCGACCAACATCCCGGTTCATAATATTTCCACCGAATCGTTGGACTGGCTCGCGCTGCAATCCACCCCGCTGGAATCTCGCTGCCGCCTCTTCCCAGCGCCTGAGGCGGGCCCACCAGATCTCGTCCTGGTGGTGGATTGCATATACCATCCGTCCCTCCTGCCGGCGCTCATATGCACGCTTGAGCATCTTTGCTCTGGAGGCAGTCCAGCGCTCATCGTGGCAGAGCTTCGGGCTGAGGATGTCGTGCGCGAATTTCTGCAGCTATGGCTACGTAGCGGACAGTGGGAGATTTGGAGCCTTTCCAGTGGCTATGAGATTAGGGATGAGAAGAGACCCATGGGCATTGAGTACGTCTTGTGGTTGGGATGGATACGCAAAAATGAGCCGTTGCAAAATTCGATCTATCAGGTCAGGGTATCCTGGCTCCATGCCGTCGCTCGCTGATGTTGAATAAGTATAGGTACCGACCGCGTGACTGGCGTTTGTGATACCTGTTTGTCCGGTGTCTCGAGCGGCGCGATCAAGATGAAAGCCACAGGCCAACATTAGACGCTATCACTCCAGGCACTCAACATCGCCACGTTCTGGTATGTTGCGGCGAGGAGTTTGAGGGCAACGCAATGATGGGAGTGTATCACGCTTACCGACAGCGGGTAGGTTTCAGAGCAATGGTTGTTCTGCATATGTATAGTCCTGCGCTGGAGTCAGCTGCGCTTATAGTCTCTCAGGTGCATGCTGCATTGCTATCAACATTACGTGCCTGCGTCCAAGTAATAGTCACCCAGTGATACTCAACAGAAAGTGGCATTACCAACGGGCGCTTCCCTCAAGATAACGTGACCGCGATTCTCGAGATTCGCGACAGACAAGTCGTCGGCGCGCGCTGTGATTTTTCCGCCAGCCAGTCCCAAACCAAAGAGCTTCCCTCTCCGGCACGACCCACCTGGCCGCATCAGTACTATCATAAGTACGTGCCAGGCGAAGGTTTCGGGCCGCCCTACTCATTATGTCGGAATTTCCTCAGTACCCCGAAGGCGTCCAGCCCGAATCGCACGATGGGTCGCCTAACGTGCATTGGGTGAAGCCCGTTGTGCCCACCGTTCTCGGTGACGTAGACAGATTACCCATTCCTGGAACTGATCTCATTTTTGCCAGCGTAAGCATGAGGTTTATCTCTGTTTTAGCGACTGACTACTGACAACGCGTCAGCTCGATGGAGGATGGTTTTTGCCTGGATCTCTTGACCTCCCAAGGCTCAAGACGGCATACTCAGCAACTCTCCACGACTACCCTCACGCTGCCGGACGCCTTAAATCTGATCCAGACACTGGGAAATGGCATATTGCACTGACAAATTCCGCCATTCCCATCACCATTCATCGCACCTCGGTGGATCCCAGGCCCGAAGTGGAGTTCATGCATGAACGTCACCCCGACTTCATCGACCAGCTCCCGTGGGGATTTGCTCCCACCAGCAACAACGACGAACCGCTGGTCAGATGTAAATACACATACTGGGAGGCAACGAATGAATGGAGCTTCAGCATGAGCTGGTGCCATCTGCTTGGTGCGACGACCTGCTGCTCCCGACAGTTCGTTGATTTGATATTGGCTCTGTTCTCAGGCGATGGGCTATCGCTCTGGCGATTTTGCGACAATCTGCACCGCCATTACCTCGGCCTTCCACCTAGGTTTATACCCACTTTCGAGAAGTATACTACAAAGCCGCCTACCCTCGAACGGTCTGCGTTGCTGGATACTATTCCCTTGGTGCCCCATTTGGCGGTTGATTATGCACCAGAGCATTTCTTCGCCATGTACACGCAAATGCTCGAGACCACCTCCCGGATCGATTTGCAGTTTAGCAAGGATCAATTGCAGAAGATGCGCTTGATGGCAGAGAAGCACGCGGGCGTCAAGATTAGCACGCAAGATGCGCTGACGGCTTACTTGATCACTGTTCTGAATCGCACAGAACAGGTCCCGGCTAGTTGGCTCATGAACGTCGTGGACGTACGTTCGCATACCTCTTGAATGCTACCTCAGTCCTGCTAACTTGTATCAGTACCGCGGGGTTTCGGCGGCCCCTGGGTGCGACTATACTCCACCGCCCATCACGTCCGCGGGTAACATCACCCTGACGCGCTTTTCGGATAAGATTCCTGATGAAGCCAAGCTCGACGTCGGGTTCGTGCGCATCTCATGCGCATGCATGTTACATTCACTGAGGTCCCCTCAATTCGCAGACGTATCGCTACAGTTGTCCGTGACACGATCAGCAAAACCCGTGACCCTGATTACTGTCGGCGGGCCGTAGCAATCTCTGAAGAATTATACACACGTAGCTCGAACGCAAATCGTTGCCAATGGTGGTTTCCTTGGGAGGGTGGGGTAGCGGCCAATAACTTGTATTGGTATGTGATGGCTGTACATGGCTGTACTTCCCATGTTCAATCTAGTTCCACAGTGTACCGTGGACAGGATGCCACTTTGGCTACCCTGGCAAGGCCCGTTTTCATGTTTACGACTCTTGGGAGAGATACTTCCGCATTTGGCCTGGTAATCCGACGAAGAACGCTCAAGGGGATTGGGATGCAAACGAAGGTACTTATGTCGTGAACGGAAGCTTGTGACGGCAACTGACTTGCGGTGTCCATCCAGGGAGTGCCCGAGTCTTCTTCCGCATCAAACACCACCATAAGGACAAATTCTTGGAGATTGTCAAGGACGATCTGCATCGCATGGAAGTAGTAGACATCCTAAAGGCGAAAATGTGAGGCCACCTGCCTGTACCGCCTGACTATGTTATTTTCTTTCAGAGCTCGTCGTTCATCCCGTAGTCTTCACGCCAACCCGTCGCTGGTTTTTGTCTCATCCGCTCCCCTCGAAATTATGCCTATTTCCTGTAACGTGAAGCCCCCTTCAGATCCTCTCTAGTATTTTCTCCTTGTACAATCGCTTCAGCTGTTACGGATGAATTTCATATGAGCATCGGACGTGCCAAGCTATGGAAGTGATACCAGCCCCAAGTATATCTGAGCCTCTTGGGAATCACTACATATTGTGCGCATACTAAATATAGCCTGAAAGTGTGCGGTGGCAGCGCACTGTGTTTCCGCTGCCTGAATCACATCGTGACCGACTCGCTCACATTCTTGCATTTGCTTTCTCCTATGGCTGAGGCAAGCCGGGGCCTATCCACCACAGCGTGAACCGCAAGTCGATGCAATATGAGCCAACCTCAACAAACGTCAGAAGCGGGCCCGGAAGCTCCGGACGTTACCAACGTCACTGGCTCTACGGACAACGGCAGCGATGGGCTACAGAATCGTAGACGCCAGCGTGGATCCGTCTCTTCCTTACTCGTCATGAGCTTTCTTCTCTTTGTCATCACAAATCGCAATAGCGAGAATGAGGCAACGCGCGTGCAGTACGTCGACGCTATGAAGTCTATGGAGAACCAGTTATCCAACTTCTCGGCTTGGATCAATAGTACGGAATCTAACTTCACGATGGCGAGTAACATGACAATGCTCTCTGGATGTATAAGTCAACTCAAAAATTCAGCCAGCCAAACCTATTGGATTGAACACACTCCTCCCATCCTTGATAAATCTCCCTGGAACGCTTGATCCTGCTCTAGAGGCTTACTATAGCAATATAACCGGATACTTCCATGGCAAGGCGTTGATTCATAACCTCACTGCCCCGGACTTGCCTCCTTGGAAGACAGCAGCGGACACATTTATGGCTGGCAGTAACGCTTCGGCACTTGCTGAAAACATCGGCACTTGGAACTGGGCGGCATCGACTAAGGTTGGACTCAGTGTCACGGACAATTTACCTGCGAGCAAAACAGAAATATACGGCCGCGATCCTAGTCAGGTCTCTCGAGACATAGCCATAGTTCACGTAAGTGGTTTGACGCTATGCTTGCAAGCTCTGACTAGTTGATGTACAGGGCAGGATCGAACTCACGGATACTGCGTCTGGAGAAGATTTGAGCCTATTCTATGAAGGCGTCCACTTCGTTCAGAACGGATCAATCTATGGGCTAGCCGACTCCACAGGGTATGGGCTTGTGGTCTTCGTCTGACCCCGTTACTGACCATAGCATTGCCAGGAAGCATCCCGATATGCGTCTCCTCCCTGCTCTCGTCCCCGCCACGCATGTCAACGACACTGCACTAGTCATAGAGGTCGAGCTCGCCTCTCGTATATCTCGCATCAAGGACCTGATCGATTCCGGTAATTTGGATGCGGATTCTCCGTCTGATTCGGGTACGTTGTCCTTCGCATTAGAGCCAGCCCTTGCATCTGATTATGTGTCAGAGTCCGCACCGAAATCGTCGTGCAATCTCTATCTCTTCGGCCAGGTTGCCGCTATACCCATTCCCGAGGTTGCTCTTCGCGAGGTGGAAGCGGAAAACCAAAAGCCTACCGGAGCCAGTGTTGCTAGAGCGCCAGCAATGCATATTGATGGCGTACTCATCAGTAAGGATTGCGGTTTTGCGATGGAGTTCCAAGCGGATGGCATTAGGTGAGGTGTCGGCGATGCTCCATGACCGAGAAGAACTAACGCCCACCGTAGTACCAGGAAGTGGTATCGCAAAGTCACCACCTGTAGGAATCTGACTGTTCCGCTGTTTCCAACTTGACTGATGTGACGCATACGCAGACGCGGGTGCATCTGCTATGATGTATCTCATCATACTCATCCTTCTTTCGCGTCAAGTGCAACGCAGTCGAACGCCAGCAGGCATCGCTCGTGTCTCCCGTTGGCCTTTCCTCTCACAGGCCGTCGTAGATTCCGTGGCATTCGCAGGGGTGAGCGTTTCTGTCATCTGCACCACTGTGACTAGGATGAATCCGTTTGGGACAGCACATCACCTTTTCGCTATTGACAGATGGAAGGGCGTCGGTATCGTTATTTGCGCCTGCTTTCCTAGCATTTGCGCTCTTCGTGGCAGAAACGGTATGTCCACTATGCATCGGGTCGTGCATGATATACTCATCAGCCGTAGCAATTTGCTTTGTTGGTTTATCAAATACAAGCACCCGAGGATGCGGCTGCGACAGTTGCGACACCGATACCGACAGCTCGCACCACTGCACCGCCTTCCGTCACTCCTCCCGTCGAGGGGGCACCTGCGGGCGAAGTGCCTGCTACCCCCACCACCAACAACAATCCAACTTCAATACTACTACCTTCCTTCCTTGGCCCCTACCTCAACTACGTTCGCACAGATCCCCAGGCCCGTCTATGTACGTTTGGAGTCATAGTTTGTTCCGTTGAGGCTGACTTTGGACCTTTAATGCAAGGGCTAATCATGGCTGTCCTGCTGCTCGTCATTGTTCACACCATCCTTGCCCCCAGTCTTGCGTTTTTCTTCACTGGAACCATGTACACCTTTTTCTGGCTGCCGTTGATCGTGCGCTCTGCCAGGAGAGGCAGGACAAGCGGCATTTCCATGGAGTATCTCGTCGGCACTACAGCTTGTCGATTAGCAATCGCGTTATGTGAGTGCAGGCACCGTTACACGTGCGTTCTCGGGCCTGATGCCTTTCAGACTTCTTGGCGTGCCCGGACAACGTTCTGGAGGTCGAACCAAGGCGTGGGTTTTATTTGTACTCACGAGCGCAACTGCTGACGTATATTCGTTAGCGTGGATATGGGCTATAGCGACGATTGTCTGCCTTGAATTAGTTGTTCTTACATTGCAAGAAATATGGGGGCCGTCTTTCTTCCTCCCGAAATCCGTACGCATCGCAGCAATGTGCAATCTTGGTTCTGCGTTTTCACAAATTCTGCAGATGGCTGTTTCACCCGCGTACGACTATCACCCACCCATGCTGCTCCCTGATGCCGAGGCGCCTGAGAAATCTCTGGGAGATTGTTCAATCTGCATGGACGCCATTCTCATCAGCGACTCGTCTAGCGGACAGACATCGGCGGCCAAGCCAGGAGACGAACGAGATGGCTTGGTCCGGCGGGCGGTAGGCGGGAGGAAGCATTACAGTTTGGCGCCGTGTCACCATCTCTTCGTGAGTGTAGTCTACAACATTCCTTAGTCTTCCCCCTTAAGGAGAACTGAAACTCGATGAACTGGCAGCATACGGCATGTTTGGAACAGTGGCTGGCAATTAAGGTGACTCTATCATCATCAACCTTTGCGTACGCCTCTGACCGCGTTATCAGAATATTTGCCCCCAATGCCGGAGGCCATTGCCGCCATTATAGCTCGTTTCAGCCGGACGTACATACACTTTTCTCACAATCTGACTGTCGCACACATCTCTGCTGCATCCATAGATCATCAGAAGCACTCCAACGAGTTTTAATATGTGCAAATACTTATGTATCATCAGCAATATCACACGAGATCTGCAGTGAGACAATATTGGCATTGGCAATGAAGACCTGGGGAAGACGCGAGTCACGAGATCAAACACGGCCTGCTTGTCGCGTCGATGGCAGCATCTAACGACAGCCAAGGCAGCCAGCGATGGGCCTACTTTCAGGACGCATTGGAGCTCGCCATACAGCGCGTTTCGCATAAGTGGACGTGAGTCTTGTCGCCGCCTTAATGAGGCGAGATCTCTCTGAGTCCTGGATCAGTTACGAAGACTTCCAAGCATGTTTTCCCCTATTGTGCGAGGAGCAGCCGGTACGCGCGAGGGAAGTTTACAACGACGTCTCCAAGTATATGGAAACCATCGTTTCCGTGAGTCCTGCTTTGTTACACATCCCTTCGCGTCTTACGTCTGCAGAGGAACTCGAAAGACGTCCTGGCCAAGTACAACTTGAAGGATAACTTGGACGAGCTACATGCCATCATTACCGAAGCGCGCGCACGTCGCAAGGCACGAGAAGCAGGCACACTGACGGATGACGATGAGAAAGATGTGTGGCGGCCAGATCTTCCACCGAGAACCGCGACCGTAGCCAGGGTGGTGCCATTATTAGAAAGGGAGAAGGAGCGAATGTTAAAGGAGCTTGCGGAGGTGAGTATCTCTTAGCGCCAAACTTCGTGCCGTTATTGTCACCCACATTTTCTCGTGAGATGGAAGAAGGCAACCTTGCGCTACAAGCCGAGCTACAGGCCAACGTAACAGAATTGGAGAAGACGGACGACGACGTCAATGAGCTCCTTGCTGCATACGATGAGGTATAGCTTGCCATTCGACGTCCTTCCTGCCGTTGACAGCATTGCGATTTCCAGGCATGCGCACGATGGAAGGCCGTACCCGCAGATGATATCGCATCCGCGACGGAAGACATGGTGCTGGATCTCTCTCGGGCAGACGTCATCCACTGATTTGTGTGCTCTTTGCTCGGCGATCGCTCGTACGGTAAGGTGTTGGAAGGAAAAACAGTCTGCTTGTGATTCAATAACGTTACAGGCACCCCAATACGCCATACACTGTCAGCTGGCTGGGACGAAGCTCTCATCGGCCCCATTCGTCAGCTCGAATGTTGCCGTTTCCACTCAGCCAACATTTCCACGCTGATCACCTTCAACCCCCATCGGTCCGCAAAGCGACGGCAGTCATCCCTGCGTGCCATAGACCCCTGCTCGTCATCGTTCACCAGCTCGCACAGTACGCCAACGCGAGGCAAGCCGACCAGTTCGCAGAGGTCTACGGAAGACTCGGTGTGTCCTTTACGGGCGATGACTCCTCCGTCTACCGCGCGGAGTGGGACGAGGTGGCCGGGACGAGTGAACGACGAGGGAGTTACGGAAGGAGAGGCAAGCATGCGGGCGGTGAGGGCGCGGTCATGAGCGGAAATCCCGGTCGTAGTTCCGTGCTTGTAGTCGATGGTGATCGTGTACGCTGTCCGGTGGCGTTCCTGGTTCTGCGGGAACATCAGGGGGATGTCGAGTTCGTCCAGGCGGTCTCCCGGTAGTGCGACGCAGATGAATCCGCTGCGAACGAAGGGATGAATTGCGTGCTTCTCATGCTCCCATGTCGGATTCGAACGTACCTCGTATGCTTGATCATCCATGCCATCTTCTCGGTGGTGCATTCGCTGGCAGCGATGATCAGGTCGCCCTCGTTTTCCCTGTCCTCGTCGTCCATGACCACGAGGAACTCGCCGCTCGCGAAGGCGGCCAAGGCGTCTTCCATAGAATCGAACGCGAATTCGGACCTCTCGGGTACAGGATTGGCTTGGACGGGCCGCCACGGTTTTGAAGGAGAATCCTCGGCAGGCATGGACAGAGACTTCCTGTTCGGGGGTTGCTTGCAGGTCGGTGAGGCAGGGGCGGAGGTTACGAGTGCGGCGGGGGACATGGTTTCTTGACAGGAGTCCGATCCCGGGGCGTACGGGCCATCCGGGCTGAGAGAGGCCGCTTATATCGACGGTCGTCGTCGGATTGGTCAACGCCGGGTGATGCTCGCAAAGCCGCCGTCAGCCGCCGTAAGTACAACGGTCCATTCCATTCTCCAGCGCCCCCCTCCACGGCTTACGCTCGTCTACTTACGCCCGCGCAACAACAGGTCAGCACTGACATGGATCAGTAGTTCCGACTTCAGTCCGACATCACAAACGTTCTTACTCGTCTTCCCACCCTCAGTCGGACGGCCCCGGGACGTGCGGACACCCAAATTTGTTCGGCACACCGCTCGTCGCGCTTGATACTTCCTCTCCTCCACCTCTCTCCATCCTCCCCCACTCGTGCTCGGACTTGAAGAGTCCAGCACCGTTAGATTCCCTAGATCCTATATTTCTCTAATCCGCGATGACCCATCTCCAGCCGCCCGTCAAGTGGGACGCGAGGTCCGTGCCGCCGCGCTGGCAGTCTTCCGAACACCAAACTCAACCTCTTCGAACAGGTACCTTGGCCCCGTCCCCCACGACACCTCCTACTACGCCAAGTGCATGCTCGGCGGTGCCCTTGCGTGTGGTTTTACTCACGCCGGCATTACCCCGCTCGACGTCACAAAATGTAACATGCAGGTGAGCTTCGGCGCGATACCAGTCCCGAGCCTGCACTTAAAGCTTCCGTCGACAGGTGAATCCTGGCAAGTACAACGGTCTCGGCGCTGGTCTCAAGACCATCGTCGCCGAGGAGGGTCAGGCCGGTCTCTGGAAGGGCGTCGGCCCGACATTCGTCGGTTACTCTCTCCAGGGCATGTTCAAGTACGGTCTCTACGAGGTCTTCAAGGATGCGTACATGAACCTTGCCGGCGAAGAGACCTCCGCCAAGTACAAGCCCGCCATCTGGCTCGCTGGCTCGGCCTCTGCCGAAGTCTTTGCGGACATCGCCTTGTGCCCGCTCGAAATGACCAAGGTCCGCATCCAGACCAGCCCCGCTGGCACCTTCCCGGTTCCCTTCGGCCAGGCTCTCCGTGCCATGTCGGCCAACAAGCTTGAGACCAAGTACCCCTTCGGTTCCCTCGTCCCCCTGTGGTCGCGCCAGGTTAGTGTTGTTCTTCTGCTTCCGTCGCCAGAATTCGAGGCTAACGCGTTTTCTTCAGATCCCCTACACCATGGCCAAGTTCTTCTTCTTCGAGTACATCGTCTCGCTGTTCTACAAGCACGTCTTCACCGCGCCCAAGGACACCTACGGCAAGGGCACCCAACTCGGTGTTACCTTCGCTTCCGGTTACCTTGCTGGTGTCGTCTGCGCCATCGTCTCCCACCCTGCCGACTCGCTCGTGTCCCTCATGGGCAAGTCAGCGAACAAGGGCAAGTCCGTCGGCCAGATTGCTTCCGAGACCGGCATCGTCAACCTCGCCACCAAGGGTCTCGGCACCCGTATTCTCATGATCGGTACCCTCACCGGCTTCCAGTGGTGGATATACGATTCGTTCAAGGCAGTCATGGGCATGGGTACCTCTGGAGGCAAATAAACGGCTTAGATATGATGGTCGTGGTGGACCCGGACGGAGATGAGGCTATCACGGACTCGCTTGTGTATACGTCTCATTTTCTTGTCCTTTTGCACGTTTTCGATATGTCGATGGTTTCTCCCTTCATCTACGATTCTCTGAGCGCAATATTGAAAGAGAAGTATGAAACGGCGACATGACCGACATCCCCCGCGTGGACTGCGATTGCAACCTCAGTTGGTGGTTCCTTCGTCCGCGTTGTTGACGCGGTTTGCTCTATTGACTTGAACTCTTGAGCTGCAAAACACAACCAGCAACTCCGAAGCTCGTTGCTCTCAATAGATTGTGAGGGTATACAGGATCGAAGGTTGTCGTTTTTTGCGGACCGGAAATGACCATCGATGCGTAGCTCCCATCTATGCTTGGCAAGCCAAGATCGCAGTGAGTTTGTGCCTGCGCATTCAGACCAGTCTTGCTTGTTCACCTCCCGCTCTGATGCATTGGCAGATACGCAGCAATGCGATACCGCCATGATAAGATCTCGAGGTCTCTAGGGTCTTGACCACGGAAGACTGCTACAACCCTCCCTTCGTGCACCGTGCTTGCTGTTCGTGTCTTGACTGGAGCACACAACAAGCTCAACGTCGATTCTCGAAACCAAGGCTGGGGTCAAAATTGTATGCGTGCGAGGAAGGTACGCGTCTTTTCTTCAATGCCCCTAGGTGAGCCCGCTCATGCATAGGTTAGTCTACTCTCCAGAAGGTGCCTGTCCTTGGGCCAATGCCATCGCACTGCACAAGACATTGTACGAGGGCGCGATTTGAACGCGCCTACGAATGTATTGGAATTTGCCATGATCTCCTGCGCATTCTCACCACAAAAGGTGAGGGTTGCCGTTCTCCTATACTGCCGCGACCCTGCCGTAGTCGAGGCAGCGATTGGTTTTATGAGAGAAGCCATAGAGCTCTGATCCGAGGAGCACTGGGTGCGAAGCGCCGCTGCACATGCTCAACCAATGCCTGTAATGGTGCTATGATCTGCAGGGTTCCGAGAGCGATCTAACGGAGGCCCTCGATCTCGCGAAACCGCGCTCTCCTTCGGTTTCTATGGAACGGAAGCCTTAGCGACCTGGAGAAGGAGATCGCGGCGCTACGCCGGGAAGTTCATCCGCTATGCCGTGGACACGATATAGCGAACTTCCGGAGCCTTGCGAACAGCTAGCGAGCGCGGTTCTTCGATCTATGAGGTGGGGTCAATTAATGCTGCTGTGCAGGAGCTTCGTCGGTGTCGTCCCCCTCATAAATGGGCTCGGTGATACCTGAGCTTATGACCATACGCATCGTAACCGAAGGTTTGAGTGGAATTTGAGATGATTACATTATTCTATCCATTACTAATGATACATCGCCTGTACTTTTCGCCCTATTCGTGGTTTCGAGTCTATACGGCGTGAGTGCGAAGGTGCGCATCCGAGCCTGCGGGCGAGTGCTCGGTGAGTATTTTGTGCTCGTGATGTGCCACATCGACACCGGACTTGTGGCCGGACGCCTCAGCAGCGGTGAATTCCTGCCGCGTGTTGAAGCCTGGCGGTGCCCAGCGGTGGGACGTCCAGGGCTTGCAGTTGGGGTCGTTGTACATCATGTCGACGGCCTCGAGCGTGAGCTCGCTGCTCTCATAGGAGAAGAGGGAGACGGCGAGGGCGGCGGCAAGGTTGCATCCGGCAAAGACGAAGCCATAGGCGTAGCCGATGGAGCCAGAGATGTAAGGGGTGAAGAAGGAGATGAGGAAGTTCCAGAACCAATTGGAGCCCGTCGCGAGTGCAGATTGCTTGGCGCGAGTACGAGGGCCGAAGGACTCGCCAATGACTACCCACGTTCCAGGGGCCCAGGTGGTAGCGAAGCCGCTGAAATGATCGCATAAACACGGGGATATCGAGGAAGAGCGAGGAACCTGGCTTACAGAATGAACATGCACGCGCTGGCGACCATAACGCTACCGATTTGTTGGTCGCTGGTGGGGTCTCTTGCGGTGCCGACGGCGGCGAAGACGAAAAGCCAGGCCGACTGCCAGAGGCCGCCGATAATAAGAGGCCAACGACGACCGAAATGGCCGAGAACGTAAAGCCCGCCGAACGTGCAGACGAAGTTGACGGCGCCGAGGACGATCTGGGTGACGAACGAGTCGGAGATGCCGACGGATTGGAAGATGGTGGCGCCGAAGTAGAAGAAGTAGTTGGCACCGGTGAGTTGCTGGAACGACTGCAGAGCCATGCCGAGGATGGTCCTGTAGAGCGTCTTCTGCCCGGGCTTGAAGCAGTCGAGCCAGCCAGCGGTCATTCCCTTCTCGGCTTCAGCCTGAGCGATGACGGCATCCATTTCGCGGGCAATGGTCTCGTCCTGATCCGCATTTGCAGCAGGAATGGCACGTACGCGCGCTAGCGCGACGCGGGCGTCATCCATACGACCTTTGCCGGTGAGCCAACGTGGGCTTTCAGGCTGAGAAGACCGTCAGCGAGGGCATGTTGGATTGTACGGAGGTTGCTCACCATGAAGATCATGCCGGAGATGAGGGTAAGCGGCCAAATCAAACCGAGGCCGACAATGGTGCGCCAAGAGCCTGAGGAGTCGATCGAACGAGCTCCAATGCTGACACAATTGGCAAGCAAGATGCCGAAGGTGACGAAGAGCTGATACATGGCGGTGACGGTGCCTCGAATTCTGAAAGATCGTCAGCCTCGCGTGGCCGCAGCGAACGATGCGATACTCACTGTGGTAATGACATTTCGCCCTGGTACATCGGAACGACGACGCTGAGAGTGCCGACGCCAAAACCACCAACCATACGACCCATCGCGTATTGTACCCATGCGTGCGAAGCAGATAGCTGGATGATGAGGCCGACCATATATACGAGACAGGCGAGCATCATCGTTCTTCTCCGTCCGAGAAAATCCGAGACGTAGGCAGCGCCAAAGGAGCCGAAAAATGTGCCAACCGAGAAGAAACCGACGATTGCGCCGGATCTGACCTTGGAAAAGGCGCAGGTCGAGACATCGGTCGGATCTGTGCAGATGGCGAAGCGTTGCTTGAAGTCGTCGAGGAGGAGAATGTCGGAGATCTGTCCGGTATCGTAACCGAAGACGAGACCGCCGACCGAAGCGAGAAGGCCGACCATGGTCGCGACGACGCCCACGGGCGCGCCCTGTACGTAGAATAGCGTCGGCATCGAGTGGATTTTGGGTGTTGTGAGTATGTTTTCAGTCGAGGGTCACCGCCCGGTTGTAAGGGGGTGCCAGTCAAGGTGTGAGATGACCATCGAAAGGCGCACACACCCTCATTTTTGAGCATTGGCCCCGCCTGATGGATGAGGTTGGTCTGCTTTGCCGGCCGAGGACGAAATATTCGCGCGCCCAACGCGAGATAAGTGTAGCCGGGGGTCGGGTCGTCTGCGGCCAACGAGGAGGGTCTGTCCGTCAGGGCTGGTGATCGGGCCGGCGATCGCGAGCCGACGGGGGACTCGGTGCGTCGAAAGAGGTCGAAAGTGGACACCGAATACTTCCAGGCGACGCTGGAAGCAAGGCAATGCTGATCAAGCCGCATGCGCTCCCTCACTCGCGCCTGGCTCACTGTTCCGACAGAGCCCGTGAGAAGCGAGGAACCCCGACGATGGTGGGGAACAGGAATCCAGAGCGGTGCCCGAACGTGCTTTGGTCGCTTGTCAGCAAAGAAGACGTTTGGGGTGGGTCGATGGGCCCCGCCGGGTGAAATCTGCCGGGAGGATGGGGACGACCCCAGTCCTCGGTCCACGTCGCCTTCCACGGGCAGCGCGGGCGATGAGCATTGTGTCGGACGTCAGCGCGCCCTCGACCAGGGCATTGCTAACGGGTTCGGAGATGGGGCGCGCGCAGCCGGTGGGCGCATCGGACCTCGTTTTCTCTCACATCCGCAACGGAAGGGACATAACAGGCGGCGCCGTGTGTTGACTGGGATTATAGGGAGTGTCCACGGGCCCCGAAGAGGAAGGTGGGCGATTAACGGCGACGCGATGGGGAACGGACTATTCTTGCTGTCCTCGCTCGCAGGAGAGGCGACCCATCCAAGCGACATTCTGAGAAGCGCACGCGACGAAGAAGAGGCAGACGCCCGAACCCAGTGCACGCACTCGCGTTTATATGTGTATTCACCGCCGTCCCCGCGGTCAGTTGGCCAGGGCCGGGCGGACCGCGCAGCCGATCCCATCAGCCCGTTCTCACGCTCCCGCGTGAAGCACTGCCACCCCGACGCGCTGCCGCCAAGGTGGCGGGCGGTGACGGTGGCGGCGTGGCCCGTCGTCTCAGGCTGGACGACGGTCACGACCGCACCGGAGACGCTCGCCTCGTGGCCAACGCCAAAAAGCCTTCTTCACGCTCACAGCGGACGTGCGCCTGACCCGGAATGCAACGACATGGCGGTGCTCTCTGGTTTCCCGCGCTGTGGCTTCTGCGTGCAAAATGTTCGGACTCCCGACTTGATCAATGCTTGCCCTAAGCTATCATCCCGCTCATTGGTGCGGGTCCGGTCGCGTCTGCTGAAGTGCAGCGAACTGTCGGACTGAATTTAGACGTTGGTTATCCTGCTGGTGTGGTCATTGCGTCGACGACCTTCCTCTGCGCGCGGATGTAACCGGCATGGCAGTCAGTCCTGACGCGATGGCGTCCGTACATGGCCATAGGGATAACATCGCTGAAACTGTGCCAAACTGTGAATGTGATGATGGTGAGCATGCGAAACCTGCGCTTTCCCGAGCAGCGCTAAGCCATGATCATCTCCAGTCCGCCATGCACGGTCATGGCCACCCTGGGACACTGCCCTTCGCCTGTACGACGAATTCGTTATGCAAACGGCGCTGGAACCCCTGAGCAGATCCATCGAAATTTGCGAAGCACTTCTTTTAGACAGGTCTATTCTCGTCAGTGCACCCTGTCCGGACGATCGCCTCCCACACTCCGACGCATCCAACGCCAGGCTTCCTCCGTCGAGCCTCAAACGGCACCATGTTCTCATCCAGCTCTCGCTTGCAATTCGCAGGAGATACCAATTCACGGGTGTTAAGAATGACCTAGAGCAGGCCATGCGCTACGGGAGAGATTCTCTTGACCTATCCCAAGCCGAGGGCATATTTTGTCCTACCGTTTGGACGATCTATGCCGAATTACTCCGGCTAAACGCAGACGACTGCGGCTTGTCGGACGACAGAGATGCCGCCGAGCGCATGTCCCGAACCACGCTTCAACGTTGCCCTGCTGGCCACCCCTTGCGCCCTCCTGCCTTCCGAACTCTTGCCATAATCCTTGTCCGTCGTTATGCAATGACGAGACAATCCGTCTTTATCGAAGAATCCACTAGGTGCCTGGAAGAGGCCCTGGGGCAGATCCCTGCAACGTCACTCAACCTGGCCGACTACCTCGGCATGCTTGGTTTCGCCTTGTCCTTCCACTGGGAGGGGTGTAGGGACATTGGTATGCTCGAGGATGCCATCCGGCTGGGTAAAAGGGCGATAGCTCTCTTGCCGCCTCGTCACTTCGAGCGTGGATTCATCGAGCAGAGGCTCAGCGCGCAGATGTTGGATCGTTTCCATTGCACGGGTGACCCTGAAGATTTGGAAGAAGCGCATAGCATCGCAAAGGCCGCCCTAGAACACGCAGTCCCTGGCCGCCGTGTCTATCGTCTGACATCTCTCATCAACGTCCTGATGGCCAGCTTTTCGCATGCTCTCGGCACCGACCAGGATTTGGACGAGTTGATAAGGACCAACGAGGAAGCTATCCGTATATGCCCACCCAAACATGACATGCACCCCGGCGTTCTCAACAACATGGCTACTGCTTGCAAAATTCGGTTCGAGCGTCACGGATTACCTGCGGATTTGGAGAAGTCAATTGAGCTTCACCGCGAACTGCTCGAACTATTGCCAACGAGCCACCCCAGACGTTGCATTTCGCAGCATAACCTCGCGAACACGCTATGTCTGCACTTCCAAGAGACGGGCATCATCGAGAGTCTCAACGAGGCCATCTCATTGTATCGCCAAATCTCCCAAGCCCGCTCGCCAAAGCATCACCCGCTTGACCCGGCAGATCTGGCTAACGCGCTTTGTCTGCGATACCAGACGTTGCATCACGCCGAAGATCTTGAGGAAGCTGTCAAACTTGGCGAGGACTCCGTGGCCTATGTCACCGCCAACATTCGCGAGAAGGTCGAGGTTGCATGCACGTTAGCGGACGCTCTCCTTCGGCGGGGAAAGCACAACCAGAGCTTGTGTGACGTCGAGCACGCACTTCGAATCCTCGAAGAAACTGAAGCTGCGGATCCCTTGTATGCGAGCAAAAACCCCTCGTTCATGCACATTCTAGCATTGACCTACGACGCCCTGTATCACCATACTCGACAACGCGACGATGCCGGGAAGGCAGTCAGAATCATGCAGCAGTCGCTTTCACTGCTACCTGTCGGTCGGCGCGATCGCTCCCGCTACCTCTTGGACATCGCTGAGCTGCATCTCGCCGAGAACAACCCAGATTGCAATCCTGCGCTCGCCTTGGACTATATTTATCAAGGGATCACGGAAGACCATCAAGACGTGAGGCCCCGGCTATTGCAAGCAGTCAGGCTTCTCCAACTTATCGAAATCCATCACCTCCCCGTATTTCTTACGGACGTATCGTTACGGGCACAGCTCGTGGGTGTGTATGCTACTGTGGTTGGCATGCTACCTCGGGTTGCCTTCCTTGGCGTCGACCTCCCTTCTCGCTTGCAAGCCCTCGGAATAGGACGGAACATCGCCATCACAGGTGCCGCTCACGCCTTGGCGATATCCCGGCCAGAAACGGCGCTGGAGATTCTCGAACAGGGACGTGCTATATACTGGACTCAGGTCCTTCGCTTGCGCTCTCCTTTCGACTCCGTCCCGGTACACCTTCGCCAGCGCCTGCTGACCCTTGCGCGGCAACTCGAGCACAGCGACGACCCATCCGTTGATAGCGTCTCGGATCGACGCGTCATAGAGAGGCAGAGCTCTCGCCGGAGGCAACAGAGCGACGAGTTTAACTTATTGCTCAAGCAAATCCGGGCCATGCCTGGCCTCGGACTAGAGCGGTTCATGATGCACGACGAATTTTCCTCGCTCGCGCTGGCAGCGGAGAAGGGACCTGTTGTCGTTTTGGTTTCCAGCGCATCCGGGTGTTATGCCGTCGTCATGAAGTCGCCCCAGAGTTCCCCGATTACTCTTCACCTATCTGGCGTTGCGGACGAGTGGCTTCAGGACGCTAGCGACGAGATATCGGACGCCGTCATGGCGAAAAGTCTTTCCTCTGCTCGCTTGAAGCTCGTCAAGGTCCCGAAAACCTCGGGCTCGCGGGTTGAATCGAGCAGAATATACGGCATTCTGACTGTCCTATGGGAGCGCGTTGTGAGCCCGGTATTCCGAGCCTTGAATTTGAAGGTGAGAGCGTTGTCATACGCAGTTGCGCTCCGTGGTTGATCCGCATTCCGCCCTAGCCAGCCGTCGGTCGAGATCGGCCTCGCCTGTGGTGGTGTCCTACGGGACATTTTACGCATCTGCCTGTTCATGCTGCCACTACCGATCGCGAGTCGTCCATGGACTACGTTGTGTCTTCCTACACGCCGACGCTAGGAGCGCTCATCAATGCTCGGCGATCCTACGAGGCCGTCGCGAGGTCTACAACCAAAATGTTGCTTGCCGCCGTACCACGTCCATTCACCTATGACTGGATCGACTTGCCGCATACGATAAATGAAATCAGGAGGGTCGCGAGTTCGCTGCCTTTTCGGACGCGCATCACGATCCCTCAAGAAGATGATGCAATGTTCGGGGAGGAGAACGGCATGACGGCGCAGATGCTCTTGGACAAACTTCCAGAAGCGACACTACTTCACCTTGCCTGCCACGGTCGTCAAGATGCTGAATGCCCGCTCAATAGCGGCTTCGTCATGCGAGATAAGCTGCTCACTATCGAGGAACTCGTGCCCATTCCGCTGCCACGAGCGTTCCTCGCATTCCTGAGCGCGTGTGAAACGGCGAAAGGCGACAAGGTAACATAGTCCAAGGCTGATTGTCGTCAACATTTGCTTATTGAGGTCACGGTAGAATCAACCAGATCAAACGATTCATCTGGCTGCTGCCATGCTCTTCGCAGGATTCAAAAGCGTCATCGCGACGTTATGGTGCGTGCCTCTTCTCAGCTCATGACAGCCAACGCTGACCGGACCCTCATCTCCAGGTCCATGGAGGACGTGGACGGGCCAATGGTAGCGGAGTCGGTGTACAAGGAAATATTCGACGGGGACTCCGAGTACATTCACCCGGATACGGTACCGTATGCGCTTGACACCGCGGTTCAACGACTTCGACAGGAACATCCAGACCCGAACCGGTGGGCGCCTTACATCCACCTGGGTATGTGATCGATATATATATAAATGTGTAATGGGCCAGCTATGACTATTATATATGATAATCTATCGATACTGTTTGGCACGCGATACGTTGGTTCAACTATCCTGTTACTTCAGGTAACCTATAGCTATGGCCTCAGGTGCCTGATAGTGGCGGTGTCGGTACGTTGTGAGTGGCGATTCAAATGCCCAGAAGCTGCGGCCCACCGCGAGCCTCATCTCCGTAAACTGGCCTTGTACACTGTTCCAGCCACAGGAGGAATCTTGTTGCCTTCTCATCTGTTGTTGTTGCTAGCACAGCGTTTGTATAGACTGCGGTATCACGGCGGTTTCGCAGCATTCATGCAGTGCCACCGCATGTGCGCAGCTGTGCTGGGCGAGGGCTTATAACCTCCCGGACACAGAGACGGCGCTTAGCATCCAGTATGAGTCTTGACCAAAACCTCTTCACGCTCAACGTCGTCCCAAATGAACAAGATCCCAACGTGTTGGATCTCGTCGATCCGTCGGGCACAATACATTATCACAAGGAGAGAGCGCAGGATGTGATGTACAAGATGAACCTATACGGTGAGCAAGTGTGAGCACTCGATCCGACTAGCAATCGACTCACGAAAATGCATGATCAGAACCCCTTTCAGGTTCTTTACTTGCGTCGGCAACAGCGCCTAGCGCGACAAGCAAGCACAAGACGATCGAGCTCTTCAATCCCACCCTTGCTGTCGAATTGAAATATACCGGGAGCATTTCATTCCGATGGGCCTTTCAATGGGAAGGGCGAGTAATACAACGTTATGCTGGATGATTCAATGATTACACCACAATTCGCATAGACATGAATTCGAGTGGAAGCGCGAAGAGTGCTACATGATCCGCAAGCCTGATCCACCGGTTCTGATCGCCGTCACCAAAGAGCCTGCTGGTCGTATCAAAACGACATCGGTTCAAATTCTGGACTATAATATCAATAGGTACGTCCGCCTGTACCAGCTGCATATATGCGATGCTGAGGCCATATAGATTCGATATCGATGACAAGAAGGGTCTTGAAATCGTCCTCTTGAGCGCACTACTCACTTTCAGCGATACGAGTGACGCGTATCACACTGCAAAGCCCGAAGGCTCTCCGAATCCCCCTCCTTCCGCCATCAGGCAGTCATCCGGACCCAGACCCACGCCTCCACCGAAGCCCCCGCCAAAAACCGGGCCCGAGCGTATTGCAGAGCTGCAATCTGATAAAGGCGCCATGGTGAACGAAGTGACGGTTGAAGAGGAAGGTAGTGTGCACGACTATGCAAGCCATTGTTACACTCTCCTCCAGGTATGCCTTCCATGCTCCTGGCCGCCTTTGGGAGCTCATAACATGACGTGATGTAGGATGAGGCGATGCTGTTCATCTCTATTCAGTCATCTGCTGCCGAGCACGTATCTAAGGTGCTTCAGGTCGTAGAGGAGACAAAACGTCTCAGACACAAGGCTGGAGAAGAGGCAGAACTGCACCAATATGTTGTGTACGACGCGGCACCGGCAGCCAAGGGTCCGCGCAGGATAAATCTGGACGACGACAAGGGCAAGGGCAAGGAGAAGTACGAACCTCCGAGCCGTTTGACGGTGCATTTGAGCAAAATACCTATGCCGGAGTTGCAGCCCAAGCCGACGCTTGCCGAAAAAGAACGCGATAAAGCAAAACACAAGGGCAAGGAACGCCAAACTGAGAAGGAACGTGAAAAGGAGGCTAAAAAAGACGCGAAGGAGCAACGTAAAGGTATGTCTTTATTCCGATGTATTATCGAACACCACATAACGTACATCCAGCGGAGGCAAAGTTATCCAAGCGGCCCTCACCGTCGCCCACTCCAGGGCACTCGCGCATAGGGTCGCATCAAGCGAATTCACATCAGCCTATGCCGTCCCCCGCTCAGTTGAACAACCCCGGGATATACGTTGCTCCACCCGCGACAGGACATTCTCATTCGCCTAACGCCCATTCGAGTCATGCGCACTCAAACAAATCTAGTCTCCATGCTGCTCCACCACCTCCGCACCGCCCCAACTCGCCGTATGCTGACCCTTACTCCCGTCCAACGCAACCTTCACCAGCACCACCTCCGCAGTCGTTCTACGGGGGTGGATTCGTGCCGCCAACAGGACCTCCGCCCGGCGCTGGCGCTCTGAATTCAACACCTGCACCTTCCTCCGGTGCATCGGCGCAAACTGTCTATGATAGGCATCCTTCGGCAAGTGCGCTCGTGTCAGGCTGGCTAGATAAAACGAAGAGCATACTTCAAAGTCATAGGAGCAGCTGAACGACTTTTTTTTGACTTTTTTTTTTTGGAATCCGTGTTTATTGTCCGTTGCGGTCGAACCGTATGTTAGACATTAAACTACTGCTGCCTGTATCCCTATGCCTCTCTAGCCCGACTGTCCTGTCCGATCCGTACCACTGCTTCGGCGGGTGAGACGTGTCTCCCCGCGTGGCCGGGACGCCTTTAGTTAGGCGGTGTGATGCTGGGTGGTATGGGTCCCCTCCCCTCCCTTCGTGTCTTCGTCGGTCCCTCTGCTGTCCCGAACGACAGGTTGATACACATACTGTATAGTACGCAGTTGTAAATTACGTTCTGGCGATTTCGCACCAAGGTGTATGTTGGCTCGGCGACGAGTCTCTGGATCAAGTCTGGTATTCATGCGCAGGTCGAGTGACAAAGAGGGTGTCTACATCAAATACCGAAATCGTCCAATTGTGCCAAAACGCCCTGGAGACGCCGCTGGCGGCTCATGAGTTCCTCCCGCCTATTCACAATGCTGGGTTCCTCGGCTAGATATCTAGCGAAGCGAGCGGAAGTGTCAGTGCTGCCGAAATCTAGCTTGCGAATAATGTGATGTTGCATTGCACTGGCAACACCTTGCACGAAGAGGCCGTCGATGAGCATAGTAATGATGTCGATGAAGCGCTCAAAAGGAGGTTCAGTGTTACTATACGATAGATCCACACGCCCGACATACCTTATGGGATACGTCGAAATAGCCACGGACCTCCGCCATCGTTCTGAGTTCGGTTTCGTACGGATCAGGTACGCTGATAGCGGTATCAGACAGTGGCTTCGGAGCATCAGCTCCGGGGGCTTTCTCGAGGGGTTGCTGCGACACAGTGATATTTGAACTGTGTTTGTTGATAGGTATGATGGGCTTCGGGGCAAAGTCTGACTTTGATGGGGTGCCCGGCGTGGATGCCGCCGATCTGCCTTGAGATTGTGGAGAATCAAACTTGAAGGCGGATAGACCTCCAACAGGAGTCGTTTCGTCATTGTGAACAGGTTTAGGACCACCAAATGTGAACGATGCTTCGGTGCTCCCGGTTTGGGCCTTCTTAGACGGCGAATGAAACCCATACAAAGACTCGAGCCCGGGCTTCCCGGAACGGACGCCTTGGTATATAGACAGCCAGTGATCTGAATTAGACTTTAGGTCTACCGTGTTGAGTGTATACGGAACCATTTCGGAGGATACGATAGCCAGGAGGGAAGCGAGACAAGTATCGGCACACTGATTTGCCAGCTCATTGGCGTGCGACCTGGAACGACGTCAGATCGAGCAATCAGACAACAGAAAGAGGCGGCCGCACCTCATCTGGCTGGCGAGGCGCAAGTACCGACCGAAATGTGACTTGATGAATTCGTCAAGCGTGCTGCGCATGTTGGCACGAACCGCGTCAAAGCACGAGTGCACATGCCTCTTCCAAGCGGTTTGGTACGCCTGAATCAACTTCACCTTCGCTTCGTACGGTATATTTCCAGGAAGTTCACGGGTGACAGACATGGCGAGGGAGCGATGAACATCGTCGAGATATACGTCCTTCATCTCGGCGATCAAGTCTTCCGCCGGATTAGCTGGCTGCTTGCCGGAGCCCGATGACGGCTTTCCAAATTCGAACGAGGGTATGCCCATATTGCCGGCCACATAAGGTTGGAATCGAGGGGCTGTGTTCAGAATAGACTGCCTGAAGGCGTGATAAGCGTCGCGGTTCTGGTGTATCAACGTGACCGTATCAGGGGCCCCCTTCACTATGCGCTTTATGTCCGTACAAAAGCCAACGACGAGATCCATGAGCTGGGCGGTAGGTGCTATTTCCGTCGCTGGAGGTAGCTGTTCGAGCTGAGACTGACACAGTTCAAGACATCGTAGGCTTTCCGCTTGAAGACTCGGTAGCCTGAAGAGCTCGATGAGAAGCAGGAATGGTGCAGTCGTCAGGTGCTTACGTGTCATTCATGAGCTGAATCAGAAGACCGCTCAATGCCGCCACAAGGTTGGGTATCCCGAAGCGTTCCTTGAGAATGCATGTCGACCATGGAGAAGTTTCCGCAAAAAACTTGGCCTCGGCATCCCGCATCTCAGAGAACGCGATCTTCCTAGACCGTTCGTCATCATCTGGCTGACGTGTCATGCTAGGAAACATCGTAAGCCGTCGTCCAAGCTCCAGAAGCCACTCACTAGTAGCCAAGACGAAGCGGATGTGAGCGTCCCTCCACGACGTCAAGATACGATTCCCTCATCTTGGTGGCTCCCTTGCCAAGCACGTCCGGTTTTGTGAGGACACCTTGAGAACAAATCAACAAAGAGGCCAAGACAACACCGAGAGTTTTTTCTTTTACCGATGGTCCGACGACCCTCAGGATCGACCGTGCGAGCCAGACGAAGCGCCTTCTGATTTTCGAGGTCATCTGCACAATACGCAGTTCAGGAACTGCAATAAAATCGAGAACAACCCTAGGATGTACCAGTCATCGGGAGAGCCACTAGTATCAGGCAGTTCTCTTTCTTGATGTGCGACATCACTAGATCTTCCACAAGGCTAACCACCTCGTGATCCTCGTTCTGGATTAATCCTAATGTTGTTTCATCAGTATCGGGTGACCCAGGTTGGACATCTGGATTACCAGGCAAGTCCACAAAGGAAAGATCGGTCACTTCAGGCCCGGAGATATTGAGGCATATGGAATTGCGAGAGAATTTGCGCTGCTTCGGGTAGCCCTTAAACAGGCCCTTATTCAGGACTTCCGGCGTCGCGCTGAGGATCTCGTCGGTTGGTATGGTCGGATTCAGCAGTACGGACTGCGCCCGACGTAGCATCTGTTCGAGGTCATCTGGGTCTGTGATCAAGGTGCCGAACGGTATCTCGGTAATGTCGTTCAGCCTTGCTCCCTGTTCGTTGAATTCGCGACGCAGGCTGATCCGGCAAGACCACGGCTCAGCGGAGGACTTCAGACGAATCACACAGGGAGTGCGCGTGCAGGTGCCGGCGTCACGAGGAACTTTGATCTGCAGGGAGTTGTGAGCAACCAGACATCCGTCGCCGCTCATAGCACGGGGCTCACGGCTGAGATGGATTCGACAATGCTAGATTTTCCTACACTAGATGTATGAAACCTGTACTCAGGACGGCAAACAAGGGCCTAACCTGCGCTCTGGTTGCCAATCACTGCTATACTGGGCAGGTCGAGCTCAGCTTGTGCGCTACATCCCCGGTGGCAGGTCAACATATGCAACGAGTTAAGACCATTGTACTGCCCACCCCATGGACGACAGATCATTAACGAGTGTCATAAGCTTCTTCTGCTCCTCGCCAAAAGGCGTGTTCGAGAGCCGGCTTTCGCTACCGTCTGAGGGCATGGCAAAGACTCAAGGTGTGCCTCTATACGACGGAAGGGATGTGGAGGGAAGAAGCAAGAACAACACCGGAGCTCTTTCTGTCATTTTCCCTTTGTCACGCGTAAATATGTTTTCGCGTCGGCCTCGCGTGAGGGAACGTGCCATATCACGTGACCGCGTTTCGCGCCGCCAGGTCGCTCGAGGACTCAGTCAGACGCAAGTGCCATCAATACCGCACGCACGCATAGCTGCCTGGCGATCTCCCACCTCCGCACTCGGATGATCTCGTCAAATGCAGTTGTCGAGTAGCTGTGGATAGCATAAGAAAGTTAGCTACGTTCGTCTAGTACTTCGTGTTGAATCCCACACTCGGTGAGTGAATGCCAGAGATAGTTTCGTCGCCTCCGGCTTAGCATGCAGTGGATCACGGCAGTCCGTGTCGAGCTGAAAAGGTCGAGAGACCCAGCGTTCATCACGCCACTTTCTGATCTACTGGCGTATCGACATCACTAACGAGACGCCGCGCGCCGCACGCGCCCCCTTTCACGCGCCCCCTTTCCTGCATCGCGGGGACCACCATCAGGACTGCAACACGGCTGGAAGGGGAGGTTGAGCGGCTGCATCGCGAAATGTCGTGACCGCCGAGCCGCCGGAGACAGGATTGAGAGTTGCGTGAAAGCGCCACTCGGGACCGCGGGTGAAGGCGTATTTCTCCCCGAACCCCGGACAGATCGCGATTTGGGGCAAGACCCATGGCAATCGAATGCCCATTCACGGTGATGGCAATCCAGAACGATGCTCCGAGCTTCAGGGGGAGAGACAGGGCCTGGACAGTGTTCCTACATGAGCAGATCAATATGTTCATGTCCGTGCCACGAAACGCGAACGCGATGGCATGTCCCAACTCAGTGCCTCTTGATGGATCCGGACGGAAGGTGCCGACCTGTACCCGCTTCACGCTTCATGTCCGAATATTACCATCGATTGATGATGCAGACTCCGGGTCCGTGGATAGCGTCCAATACGAAATCCGGGGGGGAAAGCAGGAGGCGGAGTTCACCTGGGCTGGGGCAGAGGTACCCCAGTCTGAAAGCCAAGACGCAACGAGGTGCTGACATCGCGTTGACCATGAGCATGCGAGATCGAGCATAGATGGTCTGTATGCGTCGATAAGCATCGTCGATGGCGAACCCACGGCTGCATCGCACCACGTCCGCCGCAGCCGTATCCATCGATTACGTACCCAGTTTCAACCGCCGCCGTCGACGAGAAGAAAATTGGGAGTATGTACTTGGCACCGAGCCGCCAACATGGAGCAAAACGTTGCCAACTGGCTAGACCTGCCGCTCGTCGCAGGGTGATTGGGGGGGGGGGAAGGGGGGTTCTAGTATGTGCATAAGCCATCGCGAATGGGTATGTAATCGTGTGGCAGGTATATGTCCAAAGTGAGTTTGGCGCAGCGACGTGATTGCGGTCGAAGTTGATGCGGTGGCGCTGCAAAGGACTCCGTGTGCTTTTCCGAGCTGGCTCCGGCGTGAAGGTGGAAAACCGGTCATAGAGGGTACATACACGCGAGAGACGAAGGGAGACAGAGACCTGTCGCTGGTTGTTGTTGCGTTTGAAACAGAGGCGGAGAATATTCCTGCGCGCAACCGATAAGATTTTGTGACCCGAATTTCGAGCGCGCAGTGGGATGTGGCGCGACAGCACGAGTCTGACTGCGCCCGCGAAGGAGACACGGGACCCAGAAGGATCCCCGACCGATTCCGTCGCCCGGACGAAGCGCATCGCGACGCCAGGATCTGCGCTGCCAACTGGCGAAGGCCAATAACGCCGAGTAGAGACTATGCTTGTTGTGGCCAGACGCTTTCTATGGCGCGATCGTGCACATAGTCAGGAGACGCGGCCCTCCCGCCACAGGGATACCGCTATGGACGCGAGAATGTGCAGAGAAATGGCCGTTCCGATGAACCTGGGCGAACCGCACGCCATTGGTTTCCATGGTGAAACAACCGCAGGCGCTAGTAGAGCAGTAGGGGACAAGGTCTCGCGCGGGAGGCATGCAGCTGCGCGGACCACGACGCAATATGCTGTGAACAATAACGAGCGTCTGCGGCCATTCGAGGGGCAAAACCCCGGGGACGGGCACGTCCTGTCGCGATGCCCAGTGGGAACCCATCAACGCGTGCAGCGCGCCCAGCGAGCGTCGACGTGCGCCACAACCGCCTCGTGCAGGAAGCGAGCGAAGATGTGTAATAGGATGGCGGTCGTGCGAGTCCGGGTTTGCGCAGGGAGAGTCACCACCCGTCGGGACGTGTTGGGTGGAGTCGGTCCGAAGCCCGGCGCCAATTTGCTTGCGAGAGACACGGAGGTGCGGGCAACGTCATCCGGTGAAGATCCGACCATGGCGACGGGTGTATTGGGGAGGAATGCGGCGCGCAGGACATGGTCCATCGCGGTTTTGCGCGTATGGCGACGGCGCGACCGCAACGCAGCCCGCCGGGACGAGCTGTCTCTGGAACGGCAAGACAATTGATGAGTGGCGGGCGGGGGAAGCCGAGCGTCGCCGGGCGGAAGCTAGCCGAATATAATGAAAAGGAAGCACGCCGTCGTTTTGATGGGGCGCCCGGCTGGCCAGCCTGTCGGCCCTGCGCGACTGCCAGCGAGCAGCGTCTGAGGAGGGTGTTGGCCCCGTTGCTCCCGTGTTCGCTGAGCCATGCTGGCGACGGGCGCGCGTCTGATGCGCGTGTTGTGTGAGGGCGACGTGGCGTGTTTGGGCGTGGCGAAGGCGATACGGCGGGGAACGCGTCCGGGACGGGTTTGGTCACCGGCCGAATCGGGCGCTATGCACCTCTGCGGGTCCCGGCTTCCGATCGCCAGTGCACAGGACACAAGGCACACATAAAGACAACAACCGACGCGGGCGTCCATTCCCCAACCCTCCCTTGTTGTTTTCCGCCATGGCCCTGCCCCAGTATTCCACTTTCTTCAATCTCGGCCTGTCCGCCACCAGCGCCGGCCGCGACGACCACTTTGCCCCCCGGCCCAACGCGGACAAGTACCTTTCGTTTTTGTCGCTCGACCTCGCCGAGCCCGCGACCGCGTTCGTGCCCTCGCGCGTCTCGCGCCGCGACTCGCAGGTCCTCCCGTGCGCAACCTTTTATGCCTCTCGCCCACGGCAGCCCACTGATCCCCCCCGCAGACTGCCCCACAAGCGAAGGGCGTCCTACGACTCCGACGTGCTTGGAGCCCGTCCTTCTTCGTGAGTGGACGATACACCCCGTATATGCCTTCGCCCGTTGCTGAAACATCCTCTAGTCATCTTGGTCCCCCGCCTCCATATAGCCCTGGTCCCTCTTCAGAGTCCCGTGCCACGCTCGTACCGTCCCGCTCGCCGTCCCTGCGCGCCGTCCCTAGCCCGAAGCCTGCACCTTCGTCACCTCTGCCGTCATGGCCCTCACCCTCTCAAGTCCCGCCCCTCACCCTCTCCTCCGTTTGGGAAAACTCCTCCTCCGAGTCCGACAGCGACCAAGAGGACGACGTCGTGTATAGCATGCCCGCGACTCAACGCCATTCGTCTCGTCCGTCGCGGAACACGGTTCCGCGGCCGGTATCCGGTATGACCTGGTCGACCGTCGCGTCTCCCCGTCGCCGTCACGCCAGCCGCTCCGAGGCGTTGGCCCTCCTCGAGGGTCGCGGACGCTTGAACAACCTCGTCCGCACCCGATCGAGCAAGCAACGCAGCAATTTCATGAACATGTCCGACGATGAGGCCGACGACGAGCATGACGAAGCCGAAACCGACCCGGCGGCGGACACCAAAGTGCCGGCCCTTTCGAGGATATTCACACCCGAGATCTCGCTCTCCTTCCCTGTCACTCCCGGATACCTCGACAAAGACTCGTCCCCAGCACAGGCACGAACGAAGAAGCCGCGCCATCGCTCGCGGCGCTCCACCCGCGGGCAGAAACTACCCTTGCTTCTGCCAAAAGGACTCAATTTCATGGACCTCAACGCGGACGTCGACGAAGACACCGCGTCGTTCGTGCTGGACCTAGGCGCTTGGCTGAGCGACGACGCTTCCATCGCCGCTCAGTGATCTGATTTCCGCCTCCGTCTCACGTCAGTCCCCACCTTCGGCGCTTCCTGCCTAGATCTGGTTTCGATACCAACAAGAACCCTCATCACCCTTCGTGGGGTACCTCACACCCTGCTCCCACCAAGACCCTCGCTCTGTTCCCCATCTTGCCATCACACGATCACCGACCCACCACAGTTCCACCGACTGGACCTTGTACTCGCTTTCGTCTTCACATTCCCATCATTCCAAACTATCCTTTGTCTCTCACCCACGCAATCAAAGTCAATGTACCAATATTCATCCCACACGCAACCCCTCTCCTCTTCTGTCTGTCGCATATTCCCGTAACCTATCCGTGCACGCGCCGCAGCTGGCCGCCTTCTTGCAACAACTAGTATTACCCCGCTCTCTGTGCAATTATCCACCGTCCCCTCTCCTTACACTGCGATTGCCTCCCATAGCTTAGTGATGTCGCTCCGTACATATATATACTACTTATACGCGTATAACGCCCCTCCCTCCTTATTGCCCATCCTCCATCCAGCCCTTTGATGCCGCTATCTATCGACGCAGCAATACGACCGACCCATTCTTGTCTGCATCACCCGTGAATGCACCCGAGACCCGTATCACGGAAGCATTAGAGAGGAAGCTTGGGGCCGACCGCCACTGTCGTGATCTTCGCACCAAAGCACGCTAGCGCGACTGCCATTTGACGTGCCTCTGCGCGCGCGCTCGCGGTATTTATAGGAAGGATCCTCGTAACCCCCGCGCTTTGCCGTCGTTTCATCTCACCGCCATTACTGAAGCCTTCTTGGCTCGCTGATTCCAAAGGAACAGGTTTAGCTCGCCTGCAACTGATCATCGCACGACGACAAACTGCGATACACTCGAGTTTCCAGCATCAAGGATCATGAATAGGCTGCGATTTCCAGCGTGTACCGGCGCGGGTCCGAGCGCAAACCATGATCATCACTTAGGCCGATGAATCCGAGGTCCCCCCGCTGTGCTTGGATCCCTCTCGTTCCCTCGGACAGCATGCCAGCATGGGTTCGCAGAAATCAGCGACGCGAACAATAGCGTATGAGGGGCTGGTGTTGGCAACGAACTCATGCTGAGAATATAACGACCGCGGAATTAGCATCGGCCTCGACGCTCGTCGCGACCACCAAGTGATTCGACTCTCATGGCGTCTTCTATTGCGAGAGGGTCATACATCTTTCGTCGGGAACCGTTTGCATTGGTTCTGCCGCGTCCGGCGAACGAGATCAGATGTGGAGATGAAGCGTATTTCACGCCAATTGTCTTCGATCGTCAGCGGCGTCTACAGTCCGCATATCAACCATCGTTGGCATTTCCAGAGGGCTAAGGAGAGTGAAAGTAGAGAACGAGTGGATTCGAGAAGAAATAAGGGAGCAGCCTTACAACCGCAATAGTTGTTCTAGGCGAACCATCGAACAGATTGCGCCAGCGCACTAGGGCATAGGTCGTGACCAAACGAGGGGAAGTAAAGGCCGATCGGACAGCGGTATCGAGGCTTCAGGCCGCTGCCTGCAGGACCGGCTGGGCGGGCTGGGCATCCTTGGCACCGGACACTGCTTCGTTTTCGTCTTCGCCAGAGCCGCAAGAACATTCATCCTCGTCAGACTCATAGTCATCCTCGTCCTCGTCGTCCTCGTCTTGGTCACCCTCAGTGTATGATTCCTCTTCAGGTTCCTCCTCGGCCTCGTCGTCGCTGTTGCAGGCGTCCATGCTTATGACCACCCTCCGATCCTGGAGCCTTCGCGCCCCCATCGCCATCTCTTCCCTATCCTGGCGATCGATCAAGCGCTCTGGGTGCGCTACGCCCTCCACCTTGCCCTGTCGCACCCACCGCCTGATCAGCCTATCTTTCCGAACGTCGTCTACGGTTCCCCGCGCGATACCGTTGAAGGTTGTGAACAGCATCTCGAACGCCTCCATTTCGGACATTTCGCCGGTTTCGATTTGTCTGCGCCATTCCAAGACTTGGGCCTTTCGGCCCTCCGCCTGATAGGACAAGAGCCGCGATTAGCACGAAAACAGAGGGTGGACCGCAGGATCGCACTTACCTTGAGCTGCTGCCTTCTCTGGATCTCCAGCTCTTCGTACCAAAATTGGGAAAAGAGAACTGTCCAGTCCAACCTCATCTCGAGGTTGTCCCAGTCGACTTTGAGCCCGGGCACCTCGACATCGTTGACGTGGTGCCTGATGACGATGTCCCACTTGCCCTCCCATCGCGTACGCATGGCGAGATGTTCCAGCATCACGTTCTTCATCATCTCCTTGTGCTCGGGGGCACACTCCGTAGTGAATATGGCAACGTTAGGATCAGAAGGATCAAGCTCCTTGTATACAAAATCTGCGTTGAAGAGTACTTTTCCTGTTGTCTTGGTATAACGCATGCCTGGTGCAGGTGAAGGCGTGAGGTCTCAAGCATATATCAATCGGATCTCGCACTGACCGGCACTGGTGTGAAGACTCGTCTTGGGGAGATGCCTCTCTCGACAAAAACTCTCTGTCAACGCTTTGAAATCGCGAGAGACGCGTCGACAAGAGGTCCAGAGCCACGTAAGATCCTGCACCTGGCTGCTGCTGGCAGCAGCGACGATGAGCGCGTAGATTTCATTGGGGAACGCAGAGGAGAAGGGGCGAGAGGTGGCCGACATCAGGGAGATGGTTCAAGATTGGTCCAGCAGATAGCCCTGGCTGCAAATCCTTTTTACCCCCGCCACGGCAGCGCGTTCTTTTCGTGGGTTTGTCACGTGTATGTGACATCACGCGTATTCGTATTGCCGCGTCGTCTGCGGTCCTCTGCTGTAAAGTGTATAGCTTACGTAAAGCTATGCTACGACGCGACTAGACCGACACAGAACAGAACCGAGTGTATATTGAGCTGAAAGACAACGGTACAGGTAGTTCGTGCGTAGTTTATATGTCTCTGGCCCGGAATAAGGTTCTATGGGCGCCATATGATCCTTCGGCGCCCTCGCAGTATTGTGAGTGACCGCGCCCAATGAGGCGCGGTGTTTCTTGATTTACATCATGCCGCCTTCGGCGGCTTACAAATCTTATCTACGGTAATATTATACTACCGTTACATCCTCCCCCCTCCAGGAAAAGAGGTGGTTAATACATAGTTAGCGAGTCACAGAGTCGATGGACTCACTGCGACGCGAGGGCCTGTCAATGGACACGGCTTCTCGTGCTTCGGTTCTCACGCCACAACGGGCCCGGAATAATCGGCGAGCCACTGGGTCGCGAACGAGTGGAGGGGACCCTCAGCCATTTCGTGCTGTAGGCCGCAGTTCGCCGCGTGCTTCAGGAAATCGTTGATTTCCACGTTCTCTCCGTGCCGATATGGCGTCGGGGCCCACATCTCCGATATAGTGCATCCCAGCGATATGACTGTGCCTCGGTACTCTTCGGCGTGATCCGCGAAGTATCGGCAGATCACGTGATTTGCGATGTTGCGCGTGCGCCGCGATTCCTCCTTCGTGCTAGGGCGGGCTGGCCCAATCTGCTTGAAGATTAACCAGCCTCTCAACTGGGCTTCGTCGGGCACGTTGCCCTCGAATTTGATACCATGAGGGCGGCGATTCGCGTATTCCGCGAGGAGCTGTGCCCAGGCCTCGATGTCCGAGTAGTCCGGGTCGACCGGCTTCTCGGCTTTCTCACGCTTCTCGCGCTTCTCGCGCTTCTTATTGTCCAATAGGACCGCGTTTCGGAACCAGTCAGGATCCTTCCATCCAGAAACGAATTGTTTCTGCGTTTCGGAGGCGTCGGCCCCCAACTCCTTGATCAAATCAAGGTAATGCTTCGCGAGGAACACGGCGAACCAATGTTTCTCGCGGCGCGATTCCTTGATCAGTCGTTCGTAGTACGCGATGTCGGTAGGCGGTACCACGTGGTCTCGCATTATTTTTGCGATTTCCTCGCGGGTTAGGTGTCGGCGAGGATCACCTACATGCGCAAATGGGCGGACCACGACGCGACCGTCCTCTCGTTCTGGACCCTCCCCCCCCCAAGCGGAGGGCGTTCCCATGGGGGCCGGCAGAGCGGCCGGATGCCCATCAGCATCCTGGACCCACTGAGTCCCGGGGCCAGATGGTTGGTAACTCGGGTAACCGAGAGTGGCTTCCAGCGCTTCGACGCGCAGGGTAAGGTTCTCAACCTGTTTCATCAGGTTGGGAATATTGATGGCGGGCGCGGGATAGGGCGCTCCGCGCATCGGCCCAACGACGTATGGCTTCGAGGGGGGCATTCGGTACAGTACGTAGACTACGGAGTATGCGAGTTATGTTGTTCTGGGGCCGGTGCATGGTATCGGATTTTTATACCTGCAGGACCCAGCGTCCAGAATATTTTGCCATTGCGTCCAACGGGGCGCATACTGTACGGCGTGACTATCGCACCTTCAGGTGCAGGGAGTCCTTGAATCGGCGGCCGAGATCTCGGCAGGTCTTCCACGCGGCTCACGCCTTCGATTTCGAAGTACCTATCAATCACCGCGAGGTTCTTCACATTATCCCACAGTTCCCAAGAGCTGTCGCCCAACGTCCATCGTACTAAGAATAAGATTTCGTCACCATGCCATTCATGGGTCAATATTTCTTCAACCTCATACTCAAGATCTTCGGCCTGTCCGAAGTCGTAAAAGTTCACGGGATCGCGCCCGGGAAACAGCGTGTCGTCATTCGGCAGGTACGGCCGAAGTTTGGTGATGTGAAATCTAGGGTGCACGCGGCGCGCTTTGAGATCAGCGGGCAAATCAATCAGATAGACGCTCGCATCATTGTTCGCTTCGATAATCTTGAACGGTCCGATGAATCGAGGCACGAGTTTTTGCGCGCGCTTGATGGGCAAGTTAAGGTTTGCCGTACTGACGTAGACCAGATCGCCTGGCCGATAGGCTGGGTGGTCACGTCTGCGCTTGTTCGCATGGTGTGCCTGGCGCACGCGCGCAGCTATGATAGCGTCATGCGCCTGTTCCAGACAGTGTTTCGCGTGTAGCGCGAATTCCCTTACTCCAGGTACAGTATTTTCCATCCCAAACTCACTGAGCATTTTAGGAATGTAGCCATATGTTAGTTCGAACGCCGAAAATCCTGTAGTTTCGGAACGCGCTGCATTCATCGCGAACTCAGTGAGCGGTAGGGCATCGACCCAATCGGTCTGATCGGGCCGGATCAGAGTTCTCATGATTTGCGCAACTGATCGGTTTGCGCGCTCCGTCGCACCATCCGTTTGGGGATGGAAGGCTGTTGACATCAACAGCTTCGTTCCGAGTATCCGGTGCGTCTCACGCCAGAATTTGGAATTAAACTTCGAATCGCGGTCAGATACTATCGTGTCTGGTAGCCCGTGTAGTCTTACAACATCGCGTACAAACATGTACGCTAATTCAGACGCTTTAGATTTTGTGGTGCACGGTATAAGGTGCACCATATTCGTTAGTCTACATATGACTACCCAGAGGTAATCATATCCGCGGGACCGGGGAAACGGTCCCAAGAAATCCATCGCGATCGAGCCCCATGGGCGCCCAGGCACCGGGAGGCTGTGCAATAATCCTTCAGGTTTCCTATTCAGGTCTTTCGTAGTTTGGCACATGTGGCATGTTGCGCAGAACTTCTCAATATCGCGCGACATCTGCGGCCACCAATAGTATCGTCGTACGTAATCCAGCGTCTTCTGTAGCCCGAAGTGGCCTAAAGTCCGATGGGCGGTATCGATTACGAGTTCTCGTAGGCTCCGAACACCGAGCCGGCCATTCGGTAAGCATACCGCGCGGTTTCGGCTTACGATCATACCGTCCCGCACCGTGAATGCTTTGTGTTCGCTCGGGTGCTCCAGTACCTTTGCGAATAGTGTATCGTTAGCGTAGTTACTTTGTACGGCTTGCTCAAATTCAGCATGCTCGTTCAGTATTTGCGGCGGGAGCAGCGTGGCGGCAGCCGCTTCGTATGCGATCGGATCGTCCGCGGCTGCCACCGGCTGGCTGGCCTCGGCCTCGTCCATTTCGGGAGCCATCATTTCCGCTTCGATCTCGCGGCTTTCGATGGCTTCTGGTAGCCTCATTGCATTGAGGTGAGCAATTTCCTCGTTTCTGAGCGCCGGTAGATCATCCCCTGCGGGATCTAATTGGCGATCCGCGTCAACAAAGTTGTACGGTGCTGGGTTCTCGTCTGGTCGGTCAGCCTTGTGGCACCGGGACAGTGCGTCGGCTACGACATTCGTCTCGCCTTGTATGTAGGTTAGTGTATAATCAAATCGGCTGAGGTATTCAGACCATCGGCGCTGCCGATAAGACATATCCTTCTGGCTCTTGAAGAATTCAAGAGTTTCGTGGTCGGTTACAATATTAATTTTTCTTCCGAGTAGCTTATCCTCCCACTTGAGGAGTGCCTCGAGTATTGCCAGGGTCTCATGTTCATACGTCGCGTAGCCACGTTGCGCGTTAGTGAACTTCTTTGACATGAATCCCGCGGGTCGGCACGTTTTCCATTCCGGGCCTTGCCCGTAATAGGCTCCGACGCCCGTGGTCGAGGCATCGCATACTACCCATATCGGGATCGGGCTCTCGAAGTTCACCGGTTTCAGGATCGGTGCTTTGCAGGCCAATTCCTTGATCATTCTGAAACATTTTTCGTGCATCGGGCGCCAGTGGAATGGTGCGCCATCGCTGCAGATGTTAGATAGCGGTGTCATGTACGTAGCTACATTCGGCATGAATTGCGCTAGGTATTGCACGAGTCCGAGGAACCGCGCTACCTCGCTATAATTTCTCGGAGTCTGCCAATCGCGGATCTGCTCCAATTTGTCTTTCTCGGCATGGATTCCTTGGCCGTCAATCAGATGGCCCAGGCACTCCATTCGTTCCGAATACAGGTCGACCTTCTTTTTCGATAGGTACAGGCGCGCTTTGCGCAATATATTGAATACTATTTCGAGGTGCCTTTCGTGCTCCTCTATGGTATTCGAGAAGATAAATATATCATCTAAGTATACATGAACAAATATTCCTATGTGTTCTCTAAAGAGGTGGGTCATCAACCTCTGGAATGTCGAAGGCGCGTTACAATCGCCTTGTTGCATGACATGGGACACCATCGTGCCCAGAATAGTCGAAAATGCTGTCTTCGGTACATCACCTTTCTCGATTCGGATCTGCTCGTACGCGTCGCTCATGTCGAGCTTCGATCTGTATCGGGCGCGCGCTACATCATTTCTAATTCTGTCTTGATCCGGCATCGGCGTTACGTCGTGCACCGTATTCTCATTTCGTTCCCGCAGATCAAATACGGTACGCAGCTTCCCATCCTTTTTGGGAATGCATAGCATTGGTAATGTGTTGTCGACCGGTTGCCATTCCCACCAGCCGGCTTTAGTGTATTTCTCAATCTTATCTTGTAAGATTTTTTGATAGGCTTCTGGGCATCGTGGCCTATGACCTCGGTATCTCTTACGGGGGTCTATAATATTAATTCTATGGTTCACCTCGCGGTAAGGAGGTCGCTCGAGCGGGATATCGCCAGTGATATCGGCGATCTGGGCCTGCCATCGCTCCCGCAATCGTGGGATTGCTTCTTCGTTTAGCGCTTCTTGGGCGCGTGATGATGGCGTCGTGGGCGGTCCGGGGAACGGTATCCGCTTTCCCCACGGAGTTTTTAGTTGAGCCTCTTCCAAGGCGTTGTGTTTATTGTAAGCATCCTCAAATTCCTTCGGGAATTTGATGTCCTTGATCTCTTCGTCGGCAATTGCGCTTGCCATTGTCAGTATTGTCGGACTATTATGCTCAGAGATGTCTGGCATTCGTGTTTCTTGCTCGTGTGAGTGGACCACTATCTTGGGTCGCGGGCGGAGGCTATTGAATCTAGGCTTGCTTCCGAAAGGAACGCGGTTTCGGCTTCGTTTCTCCGGACTTAGCCCATTTGTCGCCTCCTCCGGTCCTCCCCCCTTCCAATTCGGCAGGGATTAGAGTACCGTCACGTAGTTTTATTGTCCGGCGCTCAGGAATTATTGTAATTCCATGTTTAGCGCAGAACGGTAGGCCTACTACGGCATCGTAGTGAGCAATATTCGCTACATCGAAATACCAATTGGTTTTGATGCTTCCGAGAGCGGTACGGGAGTATCCGCCATGTGTAATCTTCGATCGGCTACCCTTACAGCCGAGTTTCAGGGTAATTGGATTTTCGAGCTCGAATACGTCGAGTCCGCATATCTGAGCAAATTCAGTACTGACTGCGTCCGTATTCGACCCTAAATCGAATAATGTCCAGGCGCGGACGCCATCAATCGATACGTACGCTGCAAGAAGTTCAGTCCATGCTTTCGGATACTTTGGACGACTGAGATTGCTGTCCCGATGTAGCGCAGATCGGATAGCATCTCGCGCTTCACGCGGTGGGTCTGGGCGCTTGCCTTTTTGGGAAGGCTCGGCGTATGCGAATGGCGCTGGGTCGCGCCCATCATCGTGGGTGCCATCGTCACCCACGAGTAATTCATTCATGAATACAACGTCCCCTCCATCTGACGAGTATTCTTCATCAAATTCATTGCCCTGATGGGCCTCGTAGGCCTCTAGATAGTATGTTTCCTCATTTTCCGCATTCTCTGGGGACGCGTTCTCATTTTCGGCGCCTTCCGGCGCTGCCTCGTGTTCGGCCTCGGCGCGCCCATCATCGGCGTCAATAGCGTTCATCTGGGCATTGGCGGCGTAATGATCCGCGGACAAGTGTCCCTTCTCACCGCACGTCCGGCACGCCAGATGAGCTATCCTGGGATTGAATCGCGGCTTCGCAATGTAATTAGCATTCTGGTTGGGCGCGTTCCCGCGTCCGTCTCCCTTCGCGTTTCCTGTAGCGTAGTTCCCTGTATTGGATATTTTGACAGGAATAGCATTCGATTGCGCAGGATTCTTTGTGATTCTGTACAAATCATCTCTCGCTTGCCGGGGGCGGAACGAGTTTCTATTGCCTCGGCGGTTATCCCCGCCTCGATCGCGATCTCTTCGGTCGTCATGCCGCTCCGGTGATTTGGCTTTGACGGCGTATCCTTCCTTACTTCTTCGAAGCGCCATCGCGGCTTCTATCGCTATGTTAGAATTCTCGTAGTCAATCGCATACCGCAATATTTCTCTTAATTTGGTAATTCCAACGCGGACTCCTTTGTTCCTCATTAGATGGGTTAGGTACGCTTGTGGCAGCTTCATTAGGAAGTGTTCTGATATGTCAACCTCAGATGGGGGTTGCAACAATTTGGACGAAGCTTCAATTAGTTCGTCGAAGAAGCTCTGTACCCCGGCTTCCGGGTCAAATTTAATTTCTTTATACGTCTTTATTGCCTTTTCAGGCGTAATGTCTATCACAAAGCGGTCGAACATTTCGATCACTGCTCGAGTGAAACTGAGTACAGGGATCCCGGGGTTAGTTCGGGAAACCTTGAGGCGCCACCAGTGACGCGCTTTCTCGCCTAATCGGGCAGGTGTGTGCAGCTTCCGTAGAAGGTCGCGGCGAGGTCCCGACAGTCCGGTAAGTACGAAGTATTCCAGAAGTGACTCTAGCCAATCAAGGAATTTGTCCGCATCGTTTTGGCCGTTCCATGCCTCCGGTGTCGGCGGCTTCTGACTCTTTGTGTTAGGGTCAGGCTCTACATATTCTCCAATGTAGGTTTCAATCATATGTTTAATTCTATTATGATATACTGTGCGCAGGCTTACACCTGTGAATTCACTACTGAATGGGATGTACGATCCTTCGCGCAAAATTCGCATGTCCTCATCGTCTGATCGCGGCATGTTGAGCCTGGGCGTATCATTCCCCGATTCATCGCCGCTATTCCCATTCGGGTCAGATCCGGGATCTCCGCCTCCTCCAGGGGCGTTTCCTCGTCCTCGTCCCATTCCTCGTCCACTAGTGCGTTGGCTTCCTCCTCCCGAGCGGGAGTTCCTTCCACTACTGGACGGTCCACCCGATCCTCCGTTAGGGGTGCGGTGGATAATTTGTCTCGGCGCGGCGGGGGGCATAGAATTAGTCGGCCCTTGTGGCGCTCTGACACATGTTTGAGCGGCCCGTCCTACGGGTGGTGCATTGCCATTGTTCTGGGTTCCCCCAGTTGGGTCTGGATCCGCGTACAGATCGTCTTCCTCGTTAGTGGCCTGGCGGCCTCGAGGGTCTGCCGTTGCGGCACGTACCTCATTTTCTTCTTCTTCGGTATCGCCCTCGTTTCCGTCACCACGAGGGGCGATGAATTCTCTACGCGCTCTGCCGCTCTTAGGTGCGGTTTGTTTTCCTTTTCCGGTGCTTCCACTGGTTCTTTCGGATCCTTCCGCGGTCTCGGCCTTGTTCTCAATGCTGAACCATTCTGCTGGACCGATATCCTCAAGCTTTCGCTTTTCCATTCGCCGCTGTAGTAACAATAGTTGTAGATAGTCCTGTCCTTTCTTTACAGTAGTTTGTTCTACAATTAGATTAATGTCTTCCATTCGAAGCGGACGCTTTCCGCCTTGGTTCCATAGTCTTTCGGCTATGGTCCTCATCCCGATTAGATCGACGGGCTCAGTTAGGTACGAGGGCGATAGGTGGCCCCCGTCCGATTGATCGTTTCTCACGCTGCCAGGCTGCCCTTGGCGCCTGCCTTTCTTGTTCTTTGTGGCTTCATAGCCTTCGTTAATAATTGTACGGGCGTCAAGATCGATGCCTGCGCTTCTCAGCGTGTGAGTTCCGGACATTCTCATGTACTCGTTGTTTTTATTTCAATAGTATACGGCGTGTTCAAAAAAGTGTAAAGTGTATAGCTTACGTAAAGCTATGCTACGACACGACTAGACCGACACAGAACAGAACCGAGTGTATATTGAGCTGAAAGACAACGGTACAGGTAGTTCGTGCGTAGTTTATATGTCTCTGGCCCGGAATAAGGTTCTATGGGCGCCATATGATCCTTCGGCGCCCTCGCAGTATTGTGAGTGACCGCGCCCAATGAGGCGCGGTGTTTCTTGATTTACATCATGCCGCCTTCGGCGGCTTACAAATCTTATCTACGGTAATATTATACTACCGTTACATCTGCATTCATCACCACTTGTTTCTATGCATACAGCATCGGACTTGCGTTACATCCGTATGTACATTTCAACCCTTGGTCGGGAATTGGAAGACCGCCACGCTCATCGGCGGGAAATCGTGCGTGAAGCTGCCGCCGACGATAGAGACCGTCTGGTTCTTGGGCGTCACGTAGTTCGGGTTATCGAGGGTATTATATCCCGCCGCGTCGGGCCCGCTGAGAATGGTGGCAATACCCTTGTTGCCCTTGACGGTGAAGTCAAGAGAGACGGTGGTCGAGATCGTCGCGTTGCCCGCGTTTGACACCTTAAGACGAGATCAGGAGGTGCATCGGCGGTTGTCAAGGATGGACGTATAACTACCTTGAGATACACGACGTTTGTCTTGTTGTGAATACTCGCTACCCAGTATAGCGGTGCGGTTTCGGGCGATGAGATTGGTTCGGTGATGAGGGTATTGGTGCCCTTGTTCGTGCTGAACAACTGCAGACGGGGTTAACAGGAGCCGCCATAGAGGGGAGGAAAAGCCGCAAACCTTCTGTACGTAGTAAGAGATGCTCCTCACTACGCTTCCAGCATCGAAAGTCATGATGTCGGGCGTCCATTGATAGCTATCGATATGTTGGAGCGACGGAGCATCTGCACCAGTGTTCAGCCGACCGCACGTCGTTATGGAATGTATTGACTCACAAGCCGAAGCAAAGACAACGTCTGCGTTACGTTCCATGCCCGTCATGAACGCAGCCTCCGCGCTGGCACCCTGCAAGGTCGGATACCGCAGTCGACCGGTGTCGAATGTGCCAAGCGGGTCAGAGTCATTGGTAGAAGTGACCGCATATTCGCCGACAACTGCAAGAAACGCATTAGAATAAGTGATAGGAAGGACGGGGTCTGCGCGCACAATACTGCGTTCCGTTCCTCGGGTAGTTGTCCCAATCAAACATGAATGCAGCGGTCTCGAACCAATCCGGGGTTTGGTACTGGTGATAGTCAACTGTAAACCGAACGTTAGGACACCAAAGGGAGGAACAACTCAGAAAACGAGCATACTCTTGTGGTAAGGCGGGTCCAGTGCCAAAGAAGGGTACGATGTCGCAAGGAACTCGAGCTGCGGATACTTGGCGCCGATTTGAGTAACGAACATATTCCACCTGTACGCCTGGTAGCTCGGTTCTTGGAACTGGGTGTGTCGCCATCAACATCCGCCGCGCATTGTTGGACTGGACTGCGAACCTGATCCTCGTTCCCAATCTCGATGTATCTTAACTGGTACGGCTTTTTCCTGCCTAGGCTCGCCCTCAGGGCTCCGTACTTAGTCGTCTTGGCATCACCGATGATGAATTCTATTTCGTTGATGGCGTCGTCGATGTATGGTTGGAGCTGATCCTCAGGGACGACGGGCCATCCACTCAGGTTGGCATAGTCGTTGATCACGATGCCATCCCAAATGCCGAGAATAGGTTCCTATGATCAGCAATGAGTACCGGCGTGACATGTGACGGCGGGGTGGATCGTACAGCTCCCAGGTCCTGGATGAAGTCCAGGTACTCAATCAACCCGAGACCGTCCGTATTCGGGTATCCTATTGGCGAAGCGTCAGCGCGAGGCACGGCATAAACGGAGCCGATGGCACTACACACCCCAGTTGCCCCACCTCCCAGGTCTGTTCTCCAGCGGACCGAGGGTTTCGTTCCACTTCCACCTGTTGTTGAACCCTCCGGGGTCAGAGCCTCCGCCCGTGGCCGTGCCCTAAGCAAACGCGTCAGATTTGGGGATGCAACCAACGATACATAATCCGAGTGCCAACCTCCAGGTTGTTGCCTCCCAAGCGCCACAGTCCTGGCTTGGTCTCCGCGAATGCTTGGGCAATGTCAATGCGCATACCGTTCGGCCGATTCTGTGATTATACGTGAGCATGCCACAGGTTGGGCAGCTCGATAACGGCTAGGCTCACGTTCCAAGTGGGCGGAAAGAGCGTGAAGAGCCCAAAGTAGACTGTCTTGCCGGCCGCCTTCTTCGCGTCCACGGTGACGCTGAACACGTTGTCGATGCCGCTGGCCGAAAAGCTCGGTTCGAGCGTGTACTCGAACTTTTTCCAGTTCTTGCCGACGCCGGAGAGCGTCTTGGACGCGAACGTCGTCTTCCCGTCCGCGCTCTTGAGCGCTGCGGTGATGGTGCCGGAGAAGGAGGACGACTTGGCGTAGAAGGTGCCCGTGTATTTCCATCCCTTCTGCACTTTGATGCCCCAATAGCCGGTGTTGAGCGCACCGGCGGCGCCCGTAGTGCCAGTAGGGACGTCCACGCGCAGGCTGTTCGGAAGGGCAGACGAGACGGGGCTGGTGTCGTTCACGACGGTAAGGGTGGCACCACCCGTTGCGTTCCAGGCCGTAAGACTGGAGAGAAAGCGTTAGCATGCACGAATGGATCGTGATTCGTAGATCGACGCACGCTTCAGCCGTTCCAGGGAGTTGGACCTGGAAGGCGCGGTTCTGGAGGAGCTCCGCTACGACGAAAGTTAGCGATCCGTGATCGTAGGATAGTTTCATATCGACCGGACGTACCGTATAATCCTCCGTCGCCTGAATGGTTGATATCCTCCCACATGTAACCGTATATGGTGCTTGGGATGGTGACATTCTTGGTTTTTGTAACGCGAATATCGAGCGCGTGGCTTCCGGTTAGGATAGCACATGCTGCCAACAGAGCGAGCAGCGCCGCCATGGTATTGGCACGGACGGATTCCCGCTGTCCTTGGGCACCATGGGATGTTGTAGTCGGGCGATTTTATGGCAGGATATACGATAAGCAGCGGGCCGCCGTGCTTAGGATCGCGCGAGCCGCGGGAAGGTGGGCGGGACCGTCGGGACGACATGTGAGCGGCGGGGGGCGACATGGCGGCGCCGTGACCCTGTAGAAACGAATCACGAGAGGTCGGTGCGGGTGGACATGAGGATCAAGCGAGAGGCGAGGCTGAGGACGGCGGGGCAGGTGACCGTCGACGGCGAGTCCGGGACGGCGAAGCAGGCTTCGGCGACTTCTTCCTGAGATCAACATCCGCGTCGGGTCGCACGTCTTTTCGCATCATGACGTCATCCTGGCATATACTTGGGTGCATATATGCATTGTTCGGTGGACTGATCATGCTGGACTGAGGACTCGATGCGCAGATGTCCCAACGAACAAACGTTCATCCATTTATAAGTGAGGCTTGGGGGAGATATGTCGATGAGGAAGTGAGGGGTCACTCGGATTGAATACGGGTGTGACGCGACGCGTGCGCGGTGTTATGCGGATTACTTATAGTCACGCCGCCAACGATCAACGTTCCAACGCTGACGCCGAGAACTGGCCGTCGATTGTCGCAATAAATGCGCCGCGCGGATGGCTTCGACAAGAAACCTCTCCCCAAGACGCGTCCAGTGAAGACACCGGTCTTCCAATCCGCGTTCGATGCGCCAGGCTCGAAGACGACCGCTGCGGCTTCCGCCGCACCCAAGCCGTCAAAGCCTTTGGTAACAATCCCCCGCTTCGCGATACCGACACCCTCGGACCCTCCGGAAGCTGGGCCCAGCAAGCCTCCATCTCACTCGCAGACCCGAAACCCATCGTTCGTCTCCGCAGATGCAGCTCGAGCAAGGCTCCAGAATGCCTTGGCATCTTCATCTTACAGCGAACGACGACAGGAGCACCCCGAGTCTGAGCCACCCCGTAAGCGCCTCAAGGCCATGATCCCCGGAGAGAAACTGCGAGCCATGGTCATGAACGCCAGACCCGCGTCCCCGACGACCCTACCCCAGAAACCAAACACCGCTGTCGCCCTCCGGAACCGCGCTGAGGACGCAAGCTCGAGCTTGAGCCCCGCTCCGAAAGGCGCACTCAGTCGGATTCCCAACTTCATCATCCCTCAGAAGCGGTCTTCGCCTGCCTCCTCGACCTTCCTTAGGCCCCTCCCGCCTCCTCCCGTGATCCTACCGCCAAAGACGCAGAAGGAGCTTAAACCGCTCTCTGCGATCCGCATTGCGCAGCTCACCAATTTGTCCACCCCTTCCGGCCCCTCCGAGATCGCCGCGCTGTTCGCGTCCTTGTCTGAGCCGACTGGCTTCCGCACCCCAGCCGACAGGGAGCTCAAGCGCGGCATCCTCATCAGTCCCCGAAAAGGTCGGATGGACAAGGGCAAACCCAAGTTCCTCAGGTCAGCCCCCTTTCCATCAAATGACGCCTCATTTCCCTTCTAACGACGGAATCCTGCGTGTAGAAACGGCCTGGCCGCACGGGCGTTGTCTGTTATGAGCGCCCGCGGCAGGAATTTCTGTTTGTGGGAACATGAGCTTGAAATCTATCTTGAGCAGCGCGCGAAACGCCCGCCATCGCCGGCGCCGCCTAGGTCGGCCGCTGGTTCCTCGCTCGTCGCCTCGTCCAGGCCTCGCATGTCCGCCGTCGCCATACTACCCCCGGACATCCGCTTGCGCATCAAGCGCGTCGTGATATCTCCAGAAGACCACTTCGTCGCCCTACGACCGCCGTCCGCTCGCGCTTCGGCGAAGCATCCCGTCGGCATCGACAAGGGACAACCTGTCATCGCGCTCGCTGCGTGCCAGATTCTGTCAGAAGGGCCGGTAGACGCAGGAGCTCGGCGGCGAAACGCGCGAGAGAAGGTGGCCCGCGAGTTCAACGCGCTCGTGAGCGGGAAGAGTGCGCTCAAACATGAAGTCGACGTTCCCGAGATGCATGAAGGCGGAGACGAAGAGGGGGCCGCCGCGCCTTCCTTGCCTGACGTTGATGTGCCCCCGGCGCCCGAGACATTGGTGCTCTTCTCCGTGAAGGACTCGAGCACGATTTCGTCGCGCCTCCGTTTGGATCACCTGAAGGCCCTGACGGGACGGGAAGTGCGTGTGTGGAAGCCGTACTTCACCGTTGACTCATCGCCGGTTGCTACGTTGGTCAACGCTATTCGAGAGTCCGGAATCGTCACAAGGACGGACGGTGGCGGCGAACCCCCTGCACAGCGCCAACGGCCTATCGAAGGCCGAATCCTGTTCGTGACACGCTTCTGTATAGACCCACCACGGACCGCCTGAACGTGAACACGACCTGCTACATGCATACCGTGCGACTATGATCATGCGTACTCTACATCCATGTTGCCGTCGTGCACACGCAGATGATGGAGGCTACACCCACGAAGCCACGCATGCTACGATGTCCATTGATCAACATGATATCGATATTCTGGCGGCCGACATCCCGCTACGGCCTCTCCGCACTCATTGCATGTCCCGCATAAGAATACCGACGCCCTTCAGCGTCGTTACAGTCGTCTTCATCGCTGGTATGCTAGTTCAGCGAAATGTTCGCGGAAATATGCAGAATCTTGGAACTCCGTGATGCCAAGAATCTTATCCGAGCCGGGCTCGAATCGGAAAGTCAGAATGTACTCGACATGGTAAGGGCTCCCGTCCCGTTTCAAGCCCGAGTCCGAAACCTGCGACGCACGTTATACTCCAATCTCGACAACCAAGAGCAGCGTGCTCACCAGGAAGACGATGCTGTCGGGTCCCTGAACGATCTGTTTCGGTGGCAACTCGATCTAACACATTGGGTCCGGCTCAATGGTCTCTCGGGGGAATGGACGTCGGCGGAATCACGTCTACCTGCTGAACAACTTGGCTGAATACGATACGGAAGTGCTCAAGCATCTCTTTTTTACATCGTGGTGCCTCTGCGAGCTTTCCCAACGACTTTGGCGCGTATTCCTACCGTCAGGTATAAATGTACAATGGACGTGGAGCAACAGGATTCGCTCACGTGAAAGAAATCCGGACTATCCGACGTCAGCCCGGCGATGCGATCTACGACGCCGTCGGTCAATGCCCTGCAAAACGCTAAGGCGGCGTTCATCTGTGCGACATCGGTGAAGCCAGAAGACATTTTGTGAGCGGCTGGATAACACTGGGTAAGCACTGAGCGATACGCTCACTCTTAAAAGCATAGACGGAACGAAACCCACGCGACTCCTGTACTAGACACCGGTGTATTGAGACAAGAGTTGTCCAATGCCATGAACCCTGTCTTCCGGCATCTCTTGCGCTGGACACAAGTCAGAAAGGCCATGGCTCTACTGCACTGCTTTGTCTCTGGGAAATCAAGCCCGAAACGAGATCTTACCTTCCACCGGCATGCCCAGACAGCAAACGAAGGCCTATCGCGGTTGAAGATGCGCGAGATGGACTCACTTCTCCTGGTCTTAGCGCCATCGCGGCTTGGTGGCTGTCCCATTCAGACTTCCGATCAAGCTCGCCGGCCTTTACCCCATGGCGATATGCCTCGTGCACTGCCAGCCGCGCATTCGAAGCGTCATCCGACACGGTCGATGTCGTGAAGATAACGATTGAACCACAAATAACCGCCGCATCTCAACATGCAAACAGGTCATGAGGCTCCTGAATGTGGCCTCGAGAATTCCAGCATATTCCAGCACGGGCTCCGTGCCTTGTATGTGGGCCAACCTGAGCAAGCCGCCATCCAGGACACATTAACTACCAAGGGTTGGGTTGACGCGGACTCTGGCGTATTTCTGGCCTGTGACGGCAACACGGGCCATTGCTCCTACGGGAGTTTATCCGAGGACGGATAAGAGAAGCATGGCCCCGTGGAGAACGGATGCTTCGCAAACAGTTGCAGTCCAACATTCATTTCGGCCTCTGAACGAGAATGACATGCCCATGCATCAAACATAGCACTGCTCGATAAGGAATATACTTCGAAGATTGATTGCAACATTACTGGTATGTAATAGTTCGATCGAACGTCCGTTGATCTCAAGGTTCGGAGTACTCGCGCCGAGGCCGAGTACTCACCCGCCTCTGAACGCTCCTTGCTAAGTATCGAAAGGGCAAAGCTGGGCGAAAGGCGGCTCAAACTGGAAAATTACCCACAATCAACTATAGGAGCCCTGCGATGCTTGAACTCGTAAAGTCTGATACGTGCGACGATCATCCACATCAAGCGCATCGTGAGGCCGCTCGGTGTTGGCATTGCCGTTCGATGCTGACTGTCCGACCAAGTCCAAAAGTTGGACTTCGACTGCGGCATCATCTTCATCGTCTTTCTCAGCGTCCACGTCTTCTCCAACAGGGGGAAGCGGCGGCGATCCAGGATGTCGGAGACGCTCAACACGGGTTGAAGGCGATGCTGGGGTCGCTGACAGTGAACGCGAGCGCGCCCTGGTCATTGGTCCCCGAGTAAGGCCTGAGCGAGCTGCAGAATTCTTCCCAGCCCGCCGGGGTTTCGGTCGGGGCTTGCCCTTTGCTTGTGCGATAGAAAAGGGCTCCATGGAAGCAAGAGGAGCGCGCTCATTCGTCTTTACCTCCCGTATTTCGACTCTGCGTTGGGAGTTTCCTTGGGTACCGTGAGGGATACGCGAGGTTCGTGACGTGTCAGTCTGTGTTGGGCCCGGTCCTACCAGTGTGACCTGGCTTGTTGAGGGTGCACCCTGAGAGGGCGAGGGCGATAGGCCGGTACGTTGTCCGCGAAGACCAAAGGTTGAAGGCGCCTCGAATTGCATGTCGAGTTCATTATAGGCACCGTAATCCTCGAAATCCACGCCACTGCAGCCGTGGGGGTCTGTGTCAATGTCAAAGAGCAAGCACAAATAATGAGAACTCACAAATCAACACGCAGGTCCTCTTGCTCGGGTCTGTACTGGTCGTCGTCCGCCATGTCTATGTTATCAACTGGGGGCCTCTTCTCGTGTCCATCACGCAATCTCTTCTTCTTCGATTTCCGGTTCTCGTGAGCGCTCCCGGCTTCGGCTTGTACTTGGGCGGACTTTGAAGCCGAAGATCCTGCCGTAGGTGGGGCTTGTCCCCGATGGCTCGCAGTTCCTCCCCTGCCTTGCTCCCTGTGCGAATCAGAATCGTCGTCGCTAACGGTGAGATCGATCGCAGTGTGCCGAAGTCTCTTAGCAGGCCTCTGGACGGTTTCCTCGTCATCATTGTTGCTCCTGTCCACTTCCCCCTCCACTTCCCCCTCCTCCTCCTCCTCCTCCTCCTTAATGGCTTCAACGTAGCGCCTCTCGTATTGGCCGCGGCCATCGAGACGAGGCCTCATCTGCATCACAAAGCGGTTAATCATAGGCTTGAGCCCGCCTTCGTTCCTTCGGTAGTGCTCTTGGATTGATTGATACGAGTGCCTTGTGGTCCAAGGCATGTTACCACGCTCTTTGTGCTGTCGCAGACGCAGTTAAGCCAATTCTCGGGTTCCTACATAAAGATTACCAACCTGAGCAATGGCGCGTTTATAGATTTCATATCCACATCGACCCCCTTGATCATACGGATCCACGCTGGCAATATATCGGCACAAGCCAAGTTCGTCTTCGTGCGTCCAGGCATTGCGGTGACTAAAATCGGCTGAGATGAGCATCCCATAGCCCGAATACATATAGAACCCACCGAGGGAAATTACTCCGAGGAGGGCCGGGCATCTTTCGCACGATCAGACGGTCATGTTCATACTTCCCGGCCTGAATACACTCTCTGACAAAGCCAACGTGCTCTGGGAGCGGGTTGCCGCTGCCGAAATATATGACGGTCCGCAAGTGATTGAGGGCAGTGTCCGGTGCTAGGACGACGTCCGCGTCCGCCCCAAATTTGCATAAATCGCGCTTATTGTGCTTCGCGGGACAGATTTCGCCACCATTCACCTGTAAGATTGCTCGATACGCGGGGCAGAAAACCAAAAGAACATGCCTACCATTATTTGTTCGGTGACGCGGGTAATTTGGCCTGTGGTTAAGCGGTAAAAGCAGAACACAACGGGACGACCGTCCTTCGTAAAAAGTTCTGACGAAGGTTCTTGCAAGTCCTCGACTAAAGGCCGTACAGTCAGACAACTGAGCACTTTGGTCGGGAAAAGAATACCTGATTCAGGGTATACGTCATCGGGGTCTTCGCCGGGGGACCACGCTCGGAATTCTCCCCCCTCGAGGGGCGGAGAAGTGGTCCTCTGAGGCCTGGCAGATGAACCAGCCTCCCTCGGAGCCGTTCGAGCCATCAGGACGGAGCAGTGACACCGCTCAGAGGTCAGTGTACAATGGTTGGTGCCAGGCTGCTATATAGTATATGATTCTGAAACAGGCGCGCCGTGTTCCTCCCCGCGGCACCGAACGCGTCAGTCACGTGGACTGCAGCGTCTATGCAGACTGCCGTTCAATTGTTATGTGTTAAGATGCACTAGTACTCTTGCTCTATGTGTTTCCTTCTCGCGGTCATCTTCCGTCATACATCAACGAGCTTCTTCGCGAGGGTTACGCCGCTTACGACGGCTGTGCAGTGCTGCTGGACTCCAAACCCTGCTTGACATGATCGTTTCACTTTTAACGCCCGTCGTCGACTTCTAATACTCTTATATTCTGGAAGAATGGCGGACCATGTAAGAGTCCCTTCCCAACAAGCTGTCCGTACAGTGATATCTTGTTCAGGAAGCTAGTAGTTCGTTAGAATCGTACGGGGAACTCGATAAGTCATTCTGCCCATCGCGACTCAAGATTCAGCCAGTTGGCGTCGGCTTTTCATATACCGATCACGGAGAGACTGTGATTGGTTGAAATGAACTGACATCCCTCTCGGTTCCTCTACTGACCAAAATTCGCAGTGGACCACGGAGCAGGCGGCGGTAGATGCAGTTGCCTTCATACTCATCATTCTTGAATACTTCAATCACTTTCAAGGCCTGCCACTTCACATAGCTGGGGAGTCGTATGGTGCATGACACTACCAGCCTGTCGGTCGCTGCCTTATCGACGTTTAATCTAATCAGATAGGGACGATACATTCCGTTGTTCGCTGCAGAGATCTATGATCAGAATGCGCGACTCTCCGCCAGGGACTCCACCTTTAAGTCTCTCAACCTTACGTCGCTCATGATTGTTAGATCTCATTACATTTATTCAGTTTACTGCTAGCTCTTAAACTCGTACAGGAAATGGTCTTGTCGACACACACATCCAAATACCTGCTCTTTTATGATATTCAATGCACCAATGCTACCGTAACACTTGTAGCGCACATCTCGTATGTCCCCTGGGTCTTGTTCTTCCGGCGCATACTGATGCTCGTCCTTCAGAAGATGCATTTAGATGAGGGCAGTGGTGAGCTCGGGGTCGCATGCTGGGATGTGTTACTCACTTATATTACATTCTAGTTCATGCGGTGTCAGCAATGGACAGGCACTTCCTGCATCGATGTATGCGATCTGACGAGCTGCCAGGCCGTCGAGGATTTTTGCCTCAAAGAGCCGCTGGCTTTGTATTGCTGAAAAGGTATGAAATTCCCAGACTCTTCAGTCCGATTGCCTTGATGCACCGGCCAAGGCCTTCGCAACTACCACGATATCACAAAAATGTGCGAGGTGGAAGAGGACTACTGCTACAAGATCGTGAAGTGTGTTTCTAGTTGTCTTCTGGTCCATAGGTCAAGACATACCTATCGCGACCGGATGTTCAGAAACACCTGGGTGCTAATGTGCCCTTTGATCGGTCAGGAGTCGTAGGATCCTGCTTCATGGCGTCAGGTGACGTGATACACATGAACCATGACTATATCGCCGAACTTTTTCACCGTCGCATCAAGTAAGCCCATGCAATCTTCATCGGTGGTGTCAAGCTAACGATAGCCTATCCAGAGTTTTGATTCACATTGGCGCGAACAATTTTCCTTTTCAAACAGATAGGCGTGGAGCCCTGGATGTTTGCGATGGATTGGGCGGGGAAGGACCGATTCTTGACACAACCGTTAAGGGAGTGGAAAGTGGGAGAAACGGCGGGTAAGACCAGGTGCTATGGTGATCTGACCTACGCCAAAATCGATGGTGCTGGACATTTAGTGAGATCCGTTCATCTTCTTGGACTTCGCTTGAAGATTGACGTCCGACAGGTACCATATGATCAACCCAAGGTTGCACTGGAGCTTATCAATCGCTGGCTACTCGGAGATGAGCTGTAAGTTCGCCACTTTGTCAAGGAGCAGGGGGTTAAGGGCCGTATTCACAATAGTGTACAGTATATATGCATATATGGGGGTAAATATGAATTAGTTCTTGAGTAGATATAGGCAGGTTATCAGCGCTGGAGCTCGAAGCAACGTATTGGGAGAAGGGTGGCATCCAGCCCTGTGACGCGGGTGAACATCTCAGAGAACAAGACCAATGGTTGCCCAATACTCGAGATCGGCGTAACCCCAAGGGCCTCGATCTGGGTCCCATCTACGCCCGACAGTCGCCCATTTCCACCTCTGACAAGGATACGTTACTTCGGTGCCATCGGTACCAGTCCATAGACGTAGCAGACGTACAATGTATTTGATCAGCTCCTTATCAGTTGGCATGACATTCATCCAGTCTATACCCGGGTTGCAGAAAATGCGGTAGGAGTCGAGAGCGTAGCGGCCAGAGCCAGGAAGGTGCGAGACGGGGGTTGCCACTGGGTAGTTTCGGGATTTGTGCAGAATGCTAGGGTCAGGGGGAGCAGCGAGGTACATCTCAGATAGTTGTATGAGACGTTTTGCGCGCATCGACTGAAGGCCAAGGGTCTTGATCATATGTGTTAGCTCCGTAACATCCGCTGCGACATAACTCAGGCAAAGGACGTCGCGTTTTGTTACTATAAAACGTACCATTGGAAAGAGCCTGCGGGGAAGGCCATCGGTCCAAAATCTTCCAGAAAATGGGTATGGCGGTCCGTCCTGCAGTCTTGTTCAGGAGCATTGTTGCTATTAGGACCTTCCATGGATCCGAAGCAACTTTTTCTACTCCACGGTTCAGCATGCCTATACAGCAATGGTGTCACTTACGCACCCTGTATCAAGAGCGGCTTTGCTGCCAGTATTGCTGTCGCTAGACCGCTGTCGGCGCCGGGGCCGGGGCAGAGCTCGGTTCTTGTATCCCGTGGCAAAAGAGTCTTAATATCTACGTCACCCGAGTCCGTCGGGTTTATGAAGCACGTAGAATCTGTCGACGGCGGTTTGCCCTGCTGGAAGTATTTCGACACTATTACAGTGTCAAGTCCTGGATTTCGCGGAGGACGCGGCTTCCGCGGCTGTCTCGACTTAGGCGCATTTTCAGGGCTGGGAGAGAAGTCAGGCGAAGTGCTGCACGCTCTTGCCGAAGATGACGAGTTGAAGTAAGGAGATACCGTTGCGTGTCGAGAACTCTTGGGCATGCTCGTCAAGAGAGGCGGCATCATCGCCACCGACTCTGACTTGCTTCTCTCCACGTTCGCTGTGATCACAGACACCGATTCGAAGTCCTGACCTACATAGGGATACACCATGGCTCATGTCGAAAACTCTACACCAAAAGTCCTCGCGTATCGCGTACAGTCTTCCGACCCGATGGAGAAGATACGTGCCTGTTAGCAAATGTCTTATGTGATTGGAACACCACGGGCCTTGCGGCGGACCGACGACATGCGGTGTCCACCACGGCGACGGTTGGAGAACTTCTCCCCTCAGAGTGCCTCCAGTGAATATGTGACCCAGCCCAGTGATGAGCTTCCCAGTCCCGTACAAGATCAACCCCGCACCGTATACGCAACCGCCAGCGATCAGAATGGGGGACGCCACGATGATCGTGAATCCCTTGCTGAGATCGGAGAGGATGCTCTCGCGGCTTGCTCGGTTTCCGCTCTCGAACTCGCGTTCCTTTACATCCCATTCCTCCGCCACACGGGGGTCAGACTGTGCCTCGCCGACTTGTCGCATCAGGCTGGATATTCGACGCTGCTCCTCGATGGGGCTTGCCGGTCTATTCGCGCAGGCATGCTGGCGCGCTCGGGTGGCCTGCTCGAGCTCGAGGAGAGCGGATTTGATGACCGGGCTCTCTGTGTATGCTGGTGCCGTCAGCTCTACGATGAGCTCGCTATTCCTCGCATTGGACTGATCTTTGATGTCATCGACAGCGACGGGGAGCTTGTGAATCGTCAGATGCGTGATGAGAGCTCGTACTTCTGCGTGCTCACGCTCGCGTAAACCATAACCAGTCTATTGTTGGCCGATTCAGTTCGATACGCTTGCGCTCTAGCTGAGTTATAGGGATGTATGGCCGTTCGCCGCTTGGACTCTGGGATTGGCGAGATCATCTCTGCTATATAGACTGATTTGTGTCAGCCGGAGCAGGCCCTAGGGCACACGCAGTCTAGCGCAGCGCTACATGGATATGATCGTAGTTCGGAAGTTCGGAAGTGAAGTGCGGGGATAGTCAGAAGCGCTGGTTTTGATACAAGCTATGATGAGCGCTATCAAGAGGCAGACGCACCATGGCTTGCGCAACGAGATCATGCCGACTGCGACTGACTTCGCCCGCAGGCGACCTTGCGGCGCAGTCATCACAGGAACATAAACCATTTCTATTTCTATTGACCCGTGATATGGACAACCGCCCCACTCGCTGGACATGCATCGCTTCATCGCCTTGATCATCGGCTGTGCGCATATTGTCGCCAGCAGGCAGACGTATGCAGATCAAACGCCTCTGAGAGGAAGCGTCCCGAGAAACGCAGTGAACACGACCTTCCATGGGGTAGAAGCTCTCGACTATGACCACTACACGCGATTAGAACATCCCGAATTTCCTCGCCACGGTGTCCGGGTGAAGAAGACAAATCTATGCGACGGTGTAACGTGAGCAACGTATCTGGCGTGCATCGAGAGCCCCCATCACACCATCAACAGAGCATACACGGGCTATATCGACGTCGAAGCAAGACATTTGTGGTTCTGGTTAACAGAGAGCGACAACAATCCATCCAACGATCCAGTAGTCTTCTGGACAAACGGAGGTCCTGGTACGTACCGCTGACATCTGACTGAGGCGGTTGCTACAATCGTTGAATTCGTGTTGGCAGGTGCAAGCAGCTCCCTTGCACTGTATGGCGAATTCGGTGAGCGAAATACAAGGGGTCTCGAGACTGTGATGAATGTTCTTTGTTCACGGCAGGGCCATGCCGCGTTCTGAACGAAAATACAACGGTCCCTCACCCCTATGCATGGAACCGCAATGCTTCTGTGATCTATATAGATCAACCTATCGGCGTCGGATTCTCCTATGCTGATCACGGCGAGTATGTTGTGAGTGGTCTCCGTTTCCGTCGAGGACGCTGAATTCATTGATGAATGCTAGAGTACAACCGAAGAAGCCGCAGTGGACGCTGCCGCTTTCATCGCAATTCTCTTCGAGCATTTCACTCAGTTTAAGGATGTGCCTTTTCACATGGCAGGAGAATCGTACGGTGTAAGAATGTTCACGCACGTTGTGTCACAAATCTGTACTGGAACTTGATCGCAGGGACGGTACATCCCGTTGTTCGCCGCAGAGTTGTATGATCAAAATACTCGGCTCGCCGCGGCCTCTGGCATAAAACCTGTCAACATCACATCCGTCATTATCGGTGAGCACAGTGGCAACTTGAGCGAGTCGATACTCAGGAGCTGCAGGCAATGGGCTGGTTGACACTCACTCGCAGTTCCAGGCTCTATACGACTTCCAGTGCACAAGCGTCGGCAAAACGGTCCTGGACATCTCGTATGTTCTTGATGCTCTTCTTTCCTATAGTTCGTAGCTTCTCATTCCAATCACAGCACGTGCGTCCGCATGAAACAAGTGGTCGGTCGTCTCCGCGCTTGCGCTATCCTCCTGACTGACGATTGCATGGACCTCACAGCTGGCGAGATGCAAAAAATGGCAAACAGCAGCGTGCATTGAGCAATTCGAGCATATGAACTGCCAGGCCGCCAGCGATTTCTGCTTGGACGAATTCATGCAGCCATACGTTGCCCAAAGTGAGCATGCGAACCTTCCCTATGGGCTTATCTCTAGTTCTGAGGATTTTATATCCTCGCCCCTTTCGCAGATAGGAATCCATATGACATTACGCAACTATGTGAAGTCGATGACTGGTGTTATAAGATCAGCAAGTGGGTACCATATATGGCTGGTTTCCCCTAGTAAACTAACTTGTCCGTACTTGAAGGGACATATATTTCTACCTCTTGCGCTCTGATGTTCAAGCGAATCTCGGCACCGACGTAGATTTCAGCAACGGGAATCAGCTCGCAACGCGGTTCCACGCTGACGGTGATTTCTTCCACGAAAACCATGACTATGTGGCTGCCCTGCTTCACCGGGGGATCAAGTTAGTCTTCGCTCCATTTATTTCTTTCAGCGCGACGAATAGTACTTTTAGAGCCCTAGTTTACGTTGGCACATATGACTTCGTCTGCAATTGGGTTGGTGTTGAACAATGGACCCTCAAGATGGAATGGGTTGGTCAAGGTGGCTTCGCCAAACAAAGCCTGCGCCCGTGGACGGTCAATGGACATCCCGCTGGGAAGACTCGGAGCTACGGTGGACTAACCTATGCTACTGTCGAGGCCGCCGGACATTTAGTACGTTCGAGATAGGATTGAACAGCACCTCTCTCATCGTCTCCTGCTCTAGGTGCCGTATGACAAGCCCAAGGAGTCGCTGGAGATGTTGAACCGGTGGCTCTTCGATGGAGAGCTCTGATTGCTTGCAGACCGTGCATGCAACTCGAAGTCGCTCAATACTTCCGGTGTGCTATGCCCAAACCAATACATTGCCCTTGACGTGCTGTAGCGGACGCACGCTGAAGTGGATGGTCCTGTGGTAATCTGCTGAGCGCCATGTATGTTACAAAGGCGATGAGGTATTTGGCGCTAACTGGCAAGAATGCATCGGACGTTTGAGAGCATGGTCGATTTATGATAGGTGACTCAGCAATATAGAGTACATCTGTGCATGCTTCGGCTATATCATCTTCGGGTCCTTGCGCCAATCCAAATCTCCACTGGAGGATCGCCACAACCCGCCTTGTGGGCGATTTTCTCGAAGTTTATGCCAATGCTTTTTGCCATGTCCCATAGTGACCGTTCTGACACATCGCGCTCCTTGTAGCCCATCACAATTACTGGCCCCGAGTGCGAATTACCAGCGCGAACCAACGCAGCAAGCGTTCGGATGAGGGACGGGAAGGAATCAGTGTTATAAGTGACATCAGCCATGCTAATATATCGCAGCTTGATCAGAGGGTAAAGCAGCGATCACAAGGATAAATGCTCGCACATAATCGCGTCGATGTGACCATCAGAAAGGACCTCGGCTGGCAAAGCTCCGTCATCCCAGTCCAAAATGAGAGCATGCGGGTGCGTGAGCGAATCCGCATGAAAACAGTTCAAATTGTGCCTGATGTTCTTCTCTAGCAGAGGCATTGCAGATGCTAAAATGGGGGTATCAAATAGGAGGAATCAATGGGCGAGTGATACATAACCTACGGAGATCTGTAGCGTATATCCTGGACTCAAGATTCTCGTATGCGGCTCGTAGACTAGCCAGGACGACAGAAACAACTCCGGTACCAGCACCTGTTTGGCCGCCCGAGATTAGCAACTTCAGTACCACCATCAGAAATTCGCTATGGCCCACCCAATTCTACAAAGCGCCGCACACCAGCACCAAATAATACCTCATGGGCTGCTTGTGAAAGGGCAGATCGACAGCTGTCAGGGCGATTCGCTTCGTCTACCAGCCAAGAGCTTAGACCAATGCCACTATCCCAAAGTTTCTGAAAACCTTAGTTCGTGTAAACGGACACATCGCCGGATCGCTCGATAGCTGCTATCGAGTCCACTCACTTTGTCCAAGTCAAATGATGTCTGCTCAGTGATTCGGAGTACTTGACGAGGCTCAGCCTGAAGCTGATTCTCATCGCTAGTTTCTGCTCTGGAAATACTAAAGGAGAGTACTCGTTCGATTTGGTCCTGTTTAGCTCCGAAGCTTGCGGATTTGGTGTTACGTCGGGTGAACAGGGTTGGCATTGACGCTACCGGGAAAATGGTGGCAGTATCATCGGCATTGAGGTGTATTTCGGGTCCCATAGTATGCAAAGGAGTTTTGGTCGTCGAAGGAGGCGAATGTACGTTCGTGCCAGGACCAACCAATGGAAAAGCGGTTAAAATCAACCTCCAAGACTGCCCTTCCCTAATTCCGGGTGGAAGAGGTACGACTACATCTTTGTACGCGCTGTCTTGCCCCTTCCAAGTGGTCAGCTTGATGGGCTTGGTTGGAAACCTGATGATTGACAGGTCGGTCGTATCTTCGGTCCATGAGCCGTATATGTCTGCTATACCCTGATAGAGTTCTGTCCGGAGGTCGTTGGCAATTTGCGGCTTTATTGTGAGTTTGTCGATGAGCTGTGCTTGAACGGGGGGTGTGCGCAGGAAAGACAGGTAATAGTACATGGCGCGGGCTAATGGCTATGTCTTCCCATAGATTACCGGCTGATGCGGAGGCAGCCTGACCGAGATATCGAGGTAAATAATGGTGCAGTCCTGTGGGTGTTCGAGGTAGAAGGATATCGTCGTGGTTTCCGCGAAAGTCGTTTGCGACGGTTTCCGCCACAGGCTCAACGGTGACGATGCTTTGCTTCTGCCGACGACCATGGCCTCGTATACCTTTACGGCCCCAGCAACGGCGCTCAATCTTCCGCTCAACTACACTAGCCAATGCTACCTCATCTGCAGGTGTAAATTCGAAGCTGATACCATCCTTCCGTGAAAATGTTGCACGGTCCGCGCCAACGAAACATTTCATCGACACTATACAGCGCCCTAAGGTCGGCAGGCAGATACTGGTACGTACCTGATAGTCGTCATCTCGATCAAAACTTACCCCTCTCGCACGTAGTTCGCATTCGCGGGGACATTCGTCGTCGTCGTGTTTGCTGCAGCCACTACCAGTGCGCATACGGAGAGGACCATTTTGGCCATGTCCGAAATGAACGAGGCTTTCCCTCAACTCCAGAAACGGCTTCCGACAAACGAGGAAATGCAGCGAGTGCAATACTTGGCGATGGGCACGGTAAGTTCGTGTCGTACGTACATGCATTGCTTACCGATGATTACTTCGCATGCAAAGGCGATGCAAAAGCGATTGGCGGAGATCAAGGATCGTGTTGAAGAATGGCCTATTGCATTGAAGAACTTGGTTTATTGGAGCTACGTGCAGGTTGCACAACCGTGGCTGGACGCGAACGAGGGGCGTCGGACGTGTTGGAAGATATGCATGGTCAACACTGCTATATGGATGGCGTGGCAGGTTCCACGACTGCAGCCGTTGATGCAACGGCATTTCACGCACAATCCCCTTAGCGGCTTGTCATATACAATATTGACAAGCATGTTCAGGTGAGTGGGTGATGGCGATATATCTACGGGAACTCTCTGACGAGAGTGATAGCCATCGATCGTTGTTACACCTTATAGCCAACTGTATGGCGTTATCCAGTTTCGGTGAGTTTGTACCCGAACATTTGTACACGACGCTTACGTTTTTACAGGCTCGGCTGCGGGTATCTACTTGGCAAGACAACAACACACGAAGGGTTGTGAACGGGAGTCCACCATTCGCTACCACCTTGAAGCATTTATATTGAGCGGTCAGTGAAGCCAAGCCTACCTCATGCATCTCTAATGACGGTATGTCATCAGCTGGTCTTTTCTCCGGCCTCATCTCGCATGTTGCCTCTTCCAAGATTCTGTATCCCATGATGGTTAGACGACTCACGTCTTCAACCGCTGCTGGTAACGTAGCGAATGCTACCCGAGACACCACTGAACAAGTTTCACGGAAGAATGCCATACTCCCGTCTCTGGGCATATCTGGCGCTGTGTATGGCGCTGTCACCCTCACGGCGCTTGCATTCCCAGACACGGAAATCTCCTTGATGATTCCGCCTACTTATCCGATACCAATTCAATACGGCGTCGGGGCGCTAGTGATGTTGGATATCATTGGCGTGCTCCGAGGTTGGAGGTGAGTGCTGATGAACCTGAACAGGCCTGGGCTCACGGCCTCCACTAGATTTTTAGATCATTATGCCCATTTGGGCGGTGCAGCATTCGGAGTTCTATATTATCATTACGGACCTAGGACATGGAATACTCTCAGGTGTGCAGCAGAAGACGAAGGCAAAGCACATAAACCTTGGCGGGTGGATCCAGGACGTACCTAATCCTACGTAACATTCCTAGGCATTCACTGTAGTCAATGCTAGCCGGGGCCAAACGTACGGAGCACAAGTCGCTTTGCTCCACATACTGACATCTCGGCGAGATATACAATCAAACCGGCATAGGTTGCAAAACATAAATATATAGAACACAGAATACGCGGCGAAATAATGTATGCCCCGATTAGCGCCTAACGCACAGTTAGGGGCAGCCTCAACGCATGGATTGGACTCATGTCCTCTCGCCACGGAGACGACGAGCAAGGGCAAGATCCTTAGGCTGGATGGTAACGCGCTTGGCGTGGATCGCGGCAAGGTTGGTGTCCTCGAACAACGAAACGAGGTAAGCCTCGGCAGCTTCCTGCAGCGCCATGACCGCGGAGGACTGGAACCGCAGATCGGTCTGAAGACGAACGGTCGAGTCAGCATGAGTCACGACGACGCCCGAAGCCGCCGCTCACCTTGAAGTCCTGGGCGATCTCTCGGACAAGCCGTTGGAACGGAAGCTTGCGAATAAGCAGCTCCGTCGACTTCTGGTACCGACGGATCTCACGAAGAGCTACGGTACCAGGGCGGAAACGATGAGGCTTCTTCACACCACCCGTCGCAGTCGCGGCCGTCTTCCGCGCCGACTTGGCGGCGAGCTGCCTTGCGGGGCGCCTTGCCTGAGGTGCAAA